GTGTAAATGCAACATGTCATCACGGGTGATGAAGAGGTGAGAACACGAAAAGCAGCTGTCCGGACTCCAAATTCTACCTCCCTTAGCAAGGTTTGGCACTCCTAATTCTATGCTCTGTGCATAGCTGCTTAGATCAGGAGTAAAACGTTCCTCAGATAGCTTTTTTTAATATTGCACTTTTTCTGATTAAAAGTGACTGCAACTAGGGTGTCCACAATTCCATAAAGGATATGGTAAACCTGTCATTTTAAGTTACCTCAAACAGGACAATGTTCACAGGATGATTTTCCAATAGAGTTGGGAGATGCAGCACCTGTAGAACATCTGTCTTCCTTGGAGTTGTTGTTTTTTTTTTAACAGCAAGAAAATCCAATCTCTTACAGAATTTTGCTCCCTTTAGGTACAAGCCAAAAGGCTATTAAATCTACTATTGCTATTGCGATCACACACAACTCTTGGATTCTTTCAGAAGTTAAAAAAGGGGAACAATCAGAGGCAAAAATTAAATTATATTATAGTGTGTGTGTGTGTGTGTGTGTGTGTGTGTGTATGTATGCTGAGCTACTCGGTTAGCATGACAGAAAAGTTGGGATAATAAGACATGAAATATATACATGTAAATTACATCAGGGAAAAGTAGTTCTTAACTGCTTGTAAGGAAACTTTGTCATAATTTTTGTTTGCCTGATGGAACATTCTTCTCCTGTGTGCTGTTCTGGGAATTCTCCTGCCCTCTGGCAATTTGGTAGGGGTATGAGGTGAGGGAGGGGGAACTGTGTTGCGCTGGAACTATAAAATATGAAGAGCTGTTTCACTCATTACAAAATTCCTTCATGCAAGGTACTACTATGTAGGAATTAAGCTGCTATCCCCATTAAGATGACCAGGCATGTGACAGCAATATGATTCACCAGAACAGAAGCTAACATATTTCTTGGGGAAGCTCGTGTTATTTTTGGATGCATGCAAATGGAATTGTCACAAATTAATCTGGGGAGCTAATGATAATGTATGGATGTTTAAAAATAGCCATTACCCAGAAAGAATCTGGAAGCAGTTGTAAAGTTCCTCATTTCAAGTCAAAATGTGAAAAAAAGAATATGGCTATATTATGCATATGGCATATTTTTCATATGTGTCAACTTCACTGTTTGGGTGTGGTTTTTTTTAAATAAGAATTTACTAGAGTCATAGGAGGAGGAGATAATTGTTACGTGGCCTGCACCCCAACATAATTTTGTTTTGGTGTCAACAGAAAGTGACATGAAATGTATATGTCAGTGATTCTGAATCATCTTGAAATTCATAGCATTTCTAAGCTGCAGATTTGACTGAGTTCTGAGACGAAACTCTCTTCCTAGCCTTGTACCGCTCCTAAGATCACAGTTCAAGGTGATTTAGCAGGTCGGTTGCCAATAGCAATGTTTTACATAACCCTGGATCTTTGTATAGTCTTGGAATGCAATTTAGATTCTCCTCCACTAGGAAGGATTAAAAGAAGGCCTCTCAGCAAAAACATACATATAAAAGAACTCCAAGTTTTTTGTTTTTTAAAAATACACCAAGAGCAAAAGAAAGCGATGGAAAAGAAGGGTGGAAAGAGATACCGTATTTTTCGCTCTATAAGACGCACCAGACCACAAGACGCATCTAGTTTTTGGAGGAGGAAAACAAGAATTTTTTTTTTCTGAATCTCAGAAGCCAGAACAGCAAGAGGGATCACTACGCAGTGAAAGCAGCGATCCCTCTTGCTGTTTTGGCTTCTGGGATAGCTGCGCAGCCTGCATTTGCTCCATAAGACGCAGACACATTTCCCCTTACTTTTTAGGAGGGAAAAAGTGAGTCTTATAGAGCAAAAAATACAGTATGTAAAGGAAGCTTGCATTGCTATTGTTCCAGTCTTGCATCTATCGTGTAGGTTAGCAGTTGGAATGGAGAAAAAAGGCATATTTGTGATTTCAAAACAAGGTAGAACAAGAACAGTGGCCTGAAGGGAAAACATTTGCAAGAGAGGAAAAAAAGCCAAGGAATATCCTTGCACAGGAAAGTGGAAAGCACCAGAGAGAAGAAATGAGTCACTTGCTGGGGTGATAGAATGAACAATTCTGCAAAAAGGCAGGTGAGAGTTAGGAATGCTAATGTTTCCTGCCTAGAATGTAACTAGATCATAGGACAGGGAAGGTCCTGGAAGTTGTGACAAATAGGCTGGATTTTTGATGCAGTGCTAACCTGCTAGTTCCATTTTGAAAGTAGGAGAATTTGAAGGGAAAGCCAACTGTGTTGAGTTTTCTCTGCTTATGGGAAAACCTGGCTGATAGGCAGACCCTAGAATGAGGTCAGTCTCTGAAGTGACATTCTGCAGTTGTAATGTTGAGTGGAGGAGACGTTTTCTTGTGAACAGATATGGTCCTCCAGAGGTTTCTGGACTCCCAACTTCTGTCAGCCCCAGCCGGCATGGCCAACAGTCAGGGATGATGGGAGATGTGGTTCCAACAACATTCCATCCCTGGCTCAGAAGCTTGCAAAACAGGACAGTGAAACTTACAGGGTGATTCCAAGCAATAATAGGAAGTAAATCCCTAAGAATATGTGCTTAGAACTGCAGCTTCAGATGTGTTTCACTTATTCTGTAGACTCTGTCTATAGAGGTGCAAACCAGGGTTTGTTACCAAGTATAATCACCAGGTAGCTGCAGGTATACCTGGTTTGCAGCACACATAGACCCTGTCTATGTTGTACATGTGCAGGTGTAAACACATCTAAACAAAATTAATGCATGTGGTGATCCTGTAACCCAGAGTGGCCATGTCTTTGAGCCTCAGGACCAGAGACTGCCAAGCCCAAGATTGAACTATTTTTTGAGCCTGAGAAGGTACAGTCAAAAGGAGACTGTTGCCTCATCCATTCACTTTGCTGCGGGTTGTGTTGAGTGAAGCAGGGCTCTGTGAACTGCAGCCAGGTTATCTTTCAGTTGGAGGAGGTGATTACAACACAGTACAGCATGACTAGCAAATGTTACACAATCCCAGCACACTCAAGCATGCGGTGTAATTACAGGAAAGAGGACAAGTCACACCATAGACATCTCCAGGGTAGACTATGAATCATTTATGACAATGCAAAAGGAGAGGTGAGGATTTCTTGGTAGGATTGCAAGGAATTAGCCTTCCACAGAAGGGTGAAGAAAGTTGCAATTGTGATGCTAATAAAATGGTGATTTAGGCAGAAAGAGCAAGCCTGGATCTGCTCTCAAAAGCAGAGGTAATAAAAGAACCCGCATTTTTGAAGCAGTTGGTAGAATTTTTCTTATTAGCTGAGCATCTAAAGCAGGGCTGTAAGTACTTGGTGCCCCACTTCACTCTGAAGAAATATCAACTGCCCCAGGCATGTAGATGAGTGCTCCCTCCAGGCTGTAAAGAGTCCTTTATGGCACTGTAGTGGCTGCCATGTCTTCTTTTCCTTTTGATATTGGGAGAGGCAATAGGCAAGTTTTGTAAAGGGTGTTGTGCAAAGCTTCTCCACATCAAGCGTAGCCACAGTGTTGACTTAGACACCATACAGGTACTAGGGAGCTAATTTTTTACAGTTATTGTTGAGTAACATGAATTCTTCCGCTTTGGAATTTCAACATTCTGGCAATTCCAGGAATGCCACTTATTGCACTCCTGGCTGTATGAAGGCATGACACTGAAAGTCACAGTGAGCCATTACAAATGGGATTAAACCTTTTGGGTTCTTTCCCCCACCCTACTCCTTTTGCCACTTAGCATCCTAGAAATTGCATTTAAATAATAATAATAACAACAACAACAATAATAATAATAATAATAATAATAATAATGATGTGATATCCTGGTAGATGTAACGTTGAATGAAAGTGACTTTTCCTCAAGAGCACCAGCACAGAAGCTTGCAAAACATGGTGGAAAAGAATAGTAGGTTGGAACCTGGGATCTGTTGTGAAATGACTGCAGTTCTACATTCACAACTTTTGATAACTTTCTCTCCAGTTCATTCCCATTTCCAAATCCTAGATGGGATATGCCCATGATTTGTTTATTTGCTTTCAATGAGTGTAACTAAATTGTATTGCTATGAATAGACAAAACTCTGTGTAGCATTTCGTTTACCCATTTGTATTTTACTAGATACCTGGAACAACTTGGGAGTTAGCTTCTGCTTGATGTAGTAGTTGCAATGTAAACAAGCTTCATGCTAATTTTATTACAGTAAATAGTGGCATAGCAGTGTATGCATATTGAGTTCAACATCACTGATTTTCTTGTGCTCTGTTAGGTACTTGGTAGTGACAGCAGAGAGATCCTACCTTTTGAAATCTTAAGACGTGAGGCTGCCCTGAAGGCATTGACTGTAGCCAAGCACCATTTCCCCCTGTTTTGACAACCCCCCCCCCCAATATATTCAAATATTTTGTTAGTGCTGGTTGTCAGCCATCATTTCCAATTCATTGTGTTACCTTTATATGAGAAGGGCCATATCACTATGGGCACAGATTAGAGCCCAAGTATGTAAATTATCTCCTTCAGTTTGCATGCAGTGACATTTTAAAAATCAGAATGTTGCCCTGCTGTTACAACAGAATAGCACTTCATTAGCATTTTAATGACATTTCAAGGTTTATTTTTAAAAGAGAGGTTTTAAACTGTAGGCCTTCATTTATGCCTTTAGGTAAGAGAGGAGGAAAGCTCACTCTGTACAGATTATGATTCTTACCTACACTTACATCTCAGGACTTTGCAATGAATGCTCTGCTTGCAACAAATATTTTTAAACTATATTATGGAGGCTGTTGGCTGATACCTGACATAGTATCAGGAATGCCACTTTTTCTGGCAGGGCTGCTGTGTCTCTTTAACAGCTGTACCGCAGGCAGAAATTCAACAGTTGAAGCTTTTGCTTGTGTGATGTTGATGCTGAGTTACCCTTCCTTCACTGGAAGGTCCTAGGGCAGGTTACATCTGAAAGGTATAGTACAATGGGGATAGATCAGTTGGTAGAGCGCGAGACTCTTAATCTCAGGGTTGTGGGTTTGAGCCCCAAGTTGGGAAAGTTTCCTGCAGGTGGTTGACCCTGACAGTCCCTTCCAACTCTACAATTCTTTGATCCTATGATATGATTCTACAAGTATAGTTAAATCATGGGTAGGCAACCTAAGGCCCGGGGGCCATATCCGGCCCAATCGCCTTCTAAATCCGGCCCGCAGGCGGTCCAGGAATCAGCGTGTTTTTACATAAGTAGAATGTGTGCTTTTATTTAAAATGCATCTCTGGGTTACTTGTGGGGCCAGCCTGGTGTTTTTACATGAGTAGAATGTGTGCTTTTATTTAAAATGCATCTCTGGGTTATTTGTGGGGCATAGGAATTTGTTCACCCCCCCAAATAGTCTGGCCCCCCCACAAGGTCTGAGGGACAGTGGACCGGCCCCCTGCTGAAAAAGTTTGCTGACCCCAGATAAATAAAGCCCATCCTACCCAAAATCGATGCAGGGAATGTTTGTTATATATGTATATATTTCAAAACTTTTAAATACTGCTTGATTGCAATAAAAGCTCAATTCGGTTTATTTTATATCTGCCTGCCATGCAGCTGGAGGCCTGTCGGTGGGGGGGAATTGTAATTTCCACTCAGTTAAGTCCTGCAAAGGATCCTGTCCGTTCATTGTGAAATGTTTTGTTTTATTTTGGTATCCTTTAAATCAAGGGTGGGGGACTTCAGGCCTGCAGGCCAAATGCTGCCCTCAAGGTGTCTCTTTCTGACCCTTGAACTTTTTCCAGGCCACACCCTCCCCATTCTACTTCGCACCTCAGGGTGTTTTTGATTGGCCGGAATGTGTCTTAGAACTTTGCTAATGCTTCTCGGTGGTCTGGATGGAGGATAGAGAGGGATCAGTGTGTGTGTGTGTGTGCGCGCACGCAGAAACAGTTGTCTGCAACAGGTTAACACGGCTGCTCTTCTGGAAGTTACGTACCTAGTGTGTTGGTGGCAATATAAACATAAATAATAAGAAGTAGTATAAATAAGTAACTGCACTGCCTTAATGTGCATTGAATATAGCATTCTACCTTGCACACTCCTTTATTTATGCTGCTGGGGCATACAGTTGTACAAGTGCTGCAGCAATTAATGTGTGCACATGTGGCAGAGGAGGGGGAGACAACTGCCACGAATCACCGGTGACTCTTCTGTCCAGTTCTGGTTCACGTGAGAAACCTCTGAATCTTGACCAAGTCTGGATTGATTCCCCTTGGGGCGGGAAAAAGTGCCTTGTTTGCTTCAACTTCTCTTCCCTGGCAATTCTTGTTTCAACATCCTCTTTTGTGGAATGCTGTGGATTAACTCTGTTAACCGAGAATTCAAAGGAAAACAATTAACGTTAATTGCAACCACATTGTTATGGTCTGTTCACATCAGACCTCTCAAACCTTAAGCCTGCTGTGGTCACCCATGTTTGCTTTCTCTTTCTCCGCAGAATGCAATGAATTTGCCTCCTGACAAAGCAAGGCTACTTCGACAGTACGACAATGAGAAGAAGTGGGAGCTGATCTGTGATCAGGTAAGTGTGACAACCAATAGGTTCCTTAAGGCTGGTCTTACAAACACTGTCCCTATGCCATGATAGTAGATGCCTAGGAAGCTGCCTTATACAGGACCAGACTCTTCATTCATCTGGTCTGGTATCTGCCATTCTGACTGGCAGCAGCTCTCCAGATCTAGAGCAGCTCTTTTAAAGTGCCAAGGATTGAACCTGGTACTTTTCTCCATGCAAACAAGACCACTGCTCTCATTAAGTCTCTTAAAATGTTGGGGTAGCTGAGAACAGAAATATAATGGGTTGTTTCTGCGGGCAGAAGACTTCTAACATAGGATTGATTCATGCAACCTCTTGAGTGTATGGTAGCTGTGAGAAAAGCCTGTGTATGAGGCTTCTAGTCTCTGATGATCCAGTTGTGTGCACCCGCTGCTGTGTTCAATATTCAGTATTTCCCCACTTTTTTTGTACCTCAATCCAAACACCTCTTTTTGAGCAAGCACAGACTTTCCTGGTCATTACCACATACCCATTGGCTATGTGATTTGATTTAAAGAGAGCCTGACCCCTGGGGAAAGGAAAGCAGCCACCCCACTTTGAGGTTGAGAAGTGGAAGCTGCAGTGTGGATGATGCTCTACACCCGGAATGTGTGATTTGCCAGTGATGGCCAGGAGTAATAAAAGTGCCATGACTGTGAAAAAGCCAAGGGGAAAGATGCAAATCTTTGGGCTCTAAACCCACGTGAACTGCGTTAGCTCAGACTAAAGGACAGGCCAGTTGTAAACCCTCATTGAAAGGATCCTCCCTATCTGTATTTTAGAGCATATGTATTTTATTTCCCCTTTGCAACACTTTTCTTATTGTTGATTGATATGATACAGGATATGGACAGTGTAGCTTTCTAAGCTTTGGCGTAAAATGCAATAGATTAAATGGTTTGCTTGACCTGAGTAGAAACAAGATGGGTTCTGTCTGTTTCTTGGTAGACACAATTCCAGGTCGCAGCGTCCTGAACCATGGGGTACCTGGAGGCAAGTCCGGCTGGAGTGAATACTCCCACAGCAGATGTTAGTGTGCAGGCCAACAAGTCAAAAGTTCACTCAGGCCAAATTCCCACCTCTGCAGCCAATCCAGGGGTCAGGGCACCTGGAGGTCAGTCCCACAAAAGAATAGTCTCGAAGAGTTCCCTGGAACATCCAAGCCATGGTCCAACCAACGTGGCAAGTTGAGCAGACCCAGCACCTCAGCTCTGCTTCCCTTTTATACGTTGCCTGCTGATTGCGGCATCTGGGCTTGACGAGGCAGATGACCCTCACCTTTTCCAGGCTCACTCCAGCTGAGGAATCACACACATCCTCCCAGAGCTAATGAGCCCTACCTGACCAGCTAGGCAGCTGGGCTCTGGGCCTGCCTCAGCTTCCTAGATCATCCCTACACTTCAGAGCCCACTGTGTTCATGGAGCCTGAGGCTCCTCTGGCTCTGGTGATGGGTCTTGCTATTTTGGTTCCTGTGCACTGAACCTATCCCCTTGCCATGCTCTGTCACCCGGTGAGTACTTCCTTCCCCATTCCCTGCTTGCTTTGGTGTGTCCCAGTCCTGGCTACACCCCTCACCAGGATCCTCTTCTTCCTCTCTGTCATCCTGCCAGTTCATGATGCAGCATGACTATCACAGTTGGTCTCCTCACAAAGAGAAACTGAGGGATCAGCAGTCTGTTGTCCCCATTTCATTTCCAGAGACTAGGCAACCACCATTGTTAAGGAAAGGGGAAAAGCCTGGCCCTGTGTCATACTGTTTGGATTGCTTAACTTGGGCCAACTTCTGCAGGATGTAGAGAAGTGAAACATTTGCCTCCCCTCTTCTTTAGTACCTTTTAGTCTTTTCTGAAAATGATGGAATTGCTGCCAACCATTCTGAGAATGAAACCATGGTCTTTGGGGATGCACAGTTTCCTGCCACTGCACAATTATTATATCTGCAGCGGGCCAAATAGAAATACAGCATCATTTATTTATTCCCAAGCTGGATTTCGAAGGGGTAGAGGAACCAGAGACCAAATTGCAAACATGTGCTGGATTATGGAGAAAGCTAGAGAGTTCCAGAAAAACATCTACTTCTGCTTCATTGACTATGTCGACCACAGCAAACTATGGCAAGATCTTAAAGAAATGGGAGTGCCTGATCACCTCATCTGTCTCCTGAGAAATCTCTATGTGGGACAAGAAGCTACAGTTAGAACTGGATATGGAACAACTGATTGGTTCAAAATTGGGAAAGGAGTACGACAAGGCTATATATTGTCTCCCTGCTTATTTAACTTATATGCAGAATTCATCATGTGAAAGGCTGGACTGGATGAATCCCAAGACGGAATTAAGATTGCCGGAAGAAATATCAACAACCTCAGATATGCAGATGACACAACCTTGATGGTAGAAAGTGAGGAGGAATTATAGAACCTTTTAGTGAGGGTGAAAGAGGAGAGCACAAAATATGGTCTGAAGCTCAGCATAAAAAAAACTAAGATCATGGCCACTGGTCCCATCACCTCCTGGCAAATAGAAGGCAGGCAGTGAGAGATTTTACTTTCTTGGAATCCATGATCACTGCAGATGGTGACAGCAGTCACGAAATTAAAAGACTTCTTGGGAGAAAAGCAATGACAAACCTAGACAGCATCTTAAAAAGCAGAGACATCACCTTGCCGTCAAAGGTCCGTATAGTTAAAGCTATGGTTTTCCCAGTAGTGATGTATGGAAGTGAGAGCTGGACCATAAAGAAGGCTGATCGCCGAAGAATGGATGCTTTTGAATTCTGGCACTGGAGGAGACTCTTGAGAGTCCCATGGACTGCAAGAAGATCAAACCTATCCATTCTTCAGGAAATCAGCCCTGAGTGCTCACTGGAAGGACAGATCATGAAGCTGAGGCTCCAATACTTTGGCCACCTCATGAGAAGAGAAGACTCCCTGGAAAAGATCCTGATGTTGGGAAAGATGGAGGGCACAAGGAGAAGGGGACGACAGAGGACGAGATGGTTGGACAGTGTTCTTGAAGCTATGAACATGAGTTTGACCAAGCTGTGGGAGGCAGTGGAAGACAAGAGTGCCTGGCGTGCTCTGGTCCATGGGGTCACGAAGAGTCGGACACGACTAAATGACTACGGGGAAGCATTAGGGTTCTTTGAATCTGAAGCAATCACTAAAAAAGAAGGGGAAATGTTTTACAATACAGTGGTGCCTCGCAAGACGAAATTAATCCGTTCCACGAGTCTCTTCGTCTTGCGGTTTTTTCGTCTTGCGAAGCACGGCTATTAGCGGCTATTAACGGCTTAGTGGCTTAGCGGCTATTAACGGCTTAGCGGCTTTAAGAAAAAGGAAACAAACTCGCAAGAACTCGCCAAGACGTTTCGTCTTGCGAAGCAAGCCCATAGGGAAATTCGTCTTACGGAACGACTCAAAAAACGCAAAACCCTTTCGTCTAGCGAGTTTTTCGTCTTGCGAGGCATTCATCTTGCGGGGTACCACTGTAAAGGGGTATCTGGCAATCTTGGAAAGGCTCTGTTAAACAGAAGACCTGCAAATAGAGGACTAGGCTCAGCAAATTTGTTTGCACTTAAGCACTTCTGAAGCTCAGCCAGTGGGTCTGCCCATAGTTTCATAGAGTCACCCCAAATTAATAACTAAAACCAAAAGCAACCCATGGACTATGCCTTGTATATCCCCCAGTGCAGTTGTCATTTTGTCTTGGAGCTACAGGACTAACAGTTTGTGTTGGTTTGATATTCCATGCAGAACATTTAAAAGCATTGTACAGCTTACAATTGCAATTTACTGAGACACTGTGGCAAATTGCTTAATCTGCTGTAAGTAACTCATTTCCTCGGGGCTGTTTGCTTACAGCGTGCACAGTTAAGAGCGAAAAGCCTCTATGAATTGTGAGCTTTGTCCTCGGTTGTATACACTGTCAGCCAGCAGGATTCAGGAAGAATGCAATAGCTATATGGTTGGGGCCTAGGCACTGTCATTCACACCTCAGAGTCAATTGTGCTCATTTGCAGCACACAGCCCTGCCGTTTCAGATAGAGATCAGTAGTCTTGGAGTCTGGAGATACATTGATAGCAGGGTTCAGGAAGGCAGGTGAGAATTTCAATCAGAGGAAAGGGCTGGGGAAATCTGAGAGATACTCTTGAATATTGTCATTTCGTTGTCTGAAGCACCTTGGTTCATCAAAGCCCTGCTGTTAAATGGCACTTGCTCTCATCTCCCTGTTCCAATGAAAGGGGGAGAGTTCCAGAACAGTTATGATGATTCCTCCTATGCATCCCCTTTGCCATTCCTTTCCACCTCTACCACAACTGTAAACATCAAGAGCTTCTGTGTTGCAGCAGCCCCATCTGTGGCTGACCTACTGACTCCTCGAGGGTCATTGCCAGTGGGTGTAAATTAGAGCAGCCATGAGGCAGACATTTCATAAAGAGATTTGGATGAAGCATATGGTGCATGCAATATTTATATCTCTAACCATGCAATTACAGCACGTGGTTAAAGCAGATTCGGCATGTCAAACAGCAGAGACCATAATACTGACAAGATCCTATTTGGCGGTAACAGACGGTTTATTCCTCTGATAAGTATTTGATTGTTGCTAGGCCCCTGTCCAGGAAAGGAAGGGGCACACTTCCTCTGTAAGCTGCCTTATGTACCGTATTTTTCGCTGTATAAGATGCACCAGACCATAAGATGCACCTAGTTTTTGGAGGAGGAAAACAAGAAAAAAAATATTCTGAATCTCAGAAGCCAGGACAACAAGATGGATCACTGCGCAGCGAAAGCAGCGATCCCTCTTGCTGATCTGGGTTCTGGGATAGCTGCGCAGCCTGCATTCGCTACATAATTTCCCCTTACATTTCCCCTTACTTTTTAGGAGGGAAAAAGTGAGTCATATAGAGCAAAGAATACGGTATTTGAATCACTAGCCTAAGAAGTTGAGAACCCTATGAGAGATTTTGGACATCTGAAGCAGGGGTGTGGGTGTGTTTGTGTTTGGGAGAGAGAGAGAGAGAGAGAGAGAGAGAGAGAGACCTGCTTTCGTTTTCTCACATAGCAAAATATTATTTAGTTTAGTTAAGAAAAATGGTGAATAAGGGAAGACATCTGCTTTGTGACTGTGAGAACAGGATGCTGGACTAAGTGGACCTTTGGCCTGGTTCAGCAGGCTTCTCCTTATTCTTTTGTTTATTTATTTTTAAAAATCATCCATGAGAATTCTCACTTTAACTTGGGGTGGGGAAAGAGGGCTCATTTCAAAAGTCTCATCATCCCAAAGGCAAATAAAAATTACCCCAACTTTTATAGTTCTCCAAGCATCTGAGATTTTGGATAGTTCTGGGATTACATGTTAAAATGTTGCCCCCACCCCGTCTGTTCAGCTAAATAAGTAAACAAATTAAGATCAACGCAAGCATCTGCATACTTCACAAATGCTTTCCCCATGAAACCTGGATAGGAGGAGAAAGAGCAGGGCTCCTTATTGCGACTTCAGTAGAAAGACTAGGGTGGAGGCATTTTTTTAGAATGGGGAGAATTGCTTGAGAAAGCTATTTCTGCAGTTTGGAATGGTAGGAATTTGGAAGGTGGGGGAATCAGATTATGTTTCAAGACAACACATGCACTAGGTAGGTCAATGGGAAAGAGCAACACGAAAAGAAATAAAGGTTGCTTTTTCCTGTTCTTGACTGCAAATTCATTTGCCATCTTCAAGTAGGACCTCAATGACTAGGGCAAGTGATGAAGGAGAGTTTTCTTTCATTGGTTTAGGAGAAATGTGATCATTCCATCCCTTGTGTTTGACTAGTACAATCTGTTGGTTATTAAGGTTTGTGGGGAGGAGATTAGGTGTTTGGAACCTTTACAAAGTTCTTTTATGCCCCCTGATGGGTGGTTGGGGGCAATGCAGTTTCAAAAGGGAGATGTGGGGGGAGGGAATGCTTATTTTTTAAAAAGTCCTTAGCCCTGTAAGCTATGTTGACCTGAAGGATGAAGACTTGAGTAAGTTTTTGTCCAGTGAGCTCTTTGAGCAGGAATTCAAATAGGGGGCTTGCATTCAAATATGGCTTTCCATTCGATCGCCAGTCCTCTGCCCATTGCACCAGAGCGGTTGAAATTATCAGGTATATTCAGAGTAAGAGTGTTTTGAAATGCAAGTTTTGGAACCTACCAAAGGAAGGAAAGCTACAGGATTCATAGTGGAGAGCTGATGTGACCAAAATTTTGGACTGGATGTAGGGACACTCAAGTAGACTTTGAATCTGGTCTACGAAGTCCAAGTCCTTGTCCAATAAATGACACAAGTGCTCCTGGAGACCGTGATTCCAAATTTTTAATGTTCTTTATTAATTTTTCTGTGCAGTGCTTAGTTTTGTCTGTGGTATATAGTTTTACTCTGCTTTTATATAGTTTTTGTTGTTTTTTAAGTCTGATGTGAAGGCTGTTCTTCTTTGATTCTGTATTGATGCCCCTCCAATTATATTGTATGTAAAAAAAAAAAAGACTTAGATGTTATTTTATCTATTAGAAGCAGAATACAAATTTTATAAATGAAGAATCGAATAAATTTATCTCGCTCCCCCATTACAATTTTAGATCTACACCCTAAGGGCTTTGTAGACACGTCTAGGCAAATGTTCCCTTTTGTTTAAGGCTAAAGCCCCAAACTTTTGTTCTTTAGTTCATTATGCCTAAATTGGCCTTTAGCCAACTAGACTAAGGAAAAATAAAACAAAATATTCCACTTCTTGTCCTCTTGTGGAGTTGTTAACCTTTCTGCAGCAGTGGGTAGGATATTCTGGAATCAGCTGTTCCATGTTCTCATTTATGACTCGGTTTATGAGTGGCTTTTCCACCTTCTTTAGAAAATATTTGTTAGCGACAAAGGAATATGAGTGTGTGTGTGTCCCCTCATTGCATTAAAAGGTGGGTTATTTTTAGAAACTAAGGCCATAGTTCTTGGCATAAAACATGTCAATGAATCTTGAAACACCAAGAGAGTGGAATTTGAAATTTAATTTGTCCAATTCACATTCTTTTTTTTGGGGGGGGCGGACAAAAAACGCCTTAATGTTTATAATTCTGTTCTGAAGACATTTAGAACCTCCCTTTGAGCTACTACTTTTCTTCACTTGCAGTAGAATATGAATTTTGATATGAAATTTGGAAAAGGGCAACCAAAACGATAAAAGGGGATGGTGCAATTCCCCATGAGGAAAAGGTTTCAGCACTTGGGACTCTCCAGAGTAGAGAAAAAGCGAGTAAGAGGGGACGAGGTAGACGTTTATATAATTACGCATGGAATGGATAAAGTGGGTAGAGGAAAGTTTTTCTCCATTTCTCGTAACAACTAGAATTTGTGGACATCCACTGGATGTTGGAAGATTCGGGCCAGATAAAAGAAAGTATCACACAGTTAAACTATGGAGCTCGCTTCCACAGGAGGCAGTGGTGGTCACCAATGGTAGATAGCTTTTAAAAAAGGAGTAGGCAAATTCATAGGGAATAAGGCTATCAGTGGCTACTAAAAACAATGGCCATGTTCCACCTCCACTGTCAGAGGCAATATGCACCTGAATACCTGTTGCTGGTAATCACAGGTGTGGAAGGTGGTGTGGCTCTCAGGTCCTGCTTAAAAGATCTTCCCACAAACTGCTTGGCCAGTTTGAGAACAGGATTCTGGACTAAATGGGCCATTGGCCTGATCCAGCAGTCTCTTGTTACATCATAATAATAATAATAATAATAATAATAATAATTTATTATTTGTACCCCGCCCATCTGGCTGGGTTTCCCCAGCCACTCTTTCATATACAGTGGTACCTCGGGTTAAGTACTTAATTCATTCTGGAGGTCCGTTCTTATCCTGAAACTGTTCTTAACCTGAAGCACCACTTTAGCTAATGGGGCCTCCTGCTGCCGCTGCGCCACCGGAACACAATTTCTGTTCTCATCCTGAAGCAAAGTTCTTAACCCAAGGTACTATTTCTGGGTTAGAGGAGTCTGTAACCTGAAGCGTATGTAACCTGAAGCGTATGTAACCCAAGGTACCACTGTAATTATGAAATTATAACTCACCCACACCTGTAGATTAAATACCACCTAAAAACTAGGATTGCAAAGCAGACTGTAGTTATGAAATCCTGGTTTGTAAACAGTGCTTAAACCAGAGTTTCCCAGTTTAGACAACACGAGAGACTGTGTTTGAACTAACAGGGAAGTCTTCTGTCAAGCCAGGCACACAAGGGGATGAGGGAATGCTTTGTCTGTTCCTTGTTCCCTCCTCTGGAAATTTTCTAGACTGAATTTTATTTTATTTTATATTTTATTTTATTTTAAATGGGCTGTAATTACACAGCCGTTTTTGAAAATCGATCAGGGCACTTACCACCTGATGAAATTATTTTTATTTGGCTGTTTTATTTTGTGATTTTTGAGAAGTACACTCGGAATCTTTGCAGTAAGGCTAAATTTAAATAAATATATAAGCAAATGTCAGCAAATTTGTGATTTCAGATCTTGTGGGAGTGAACTTTTTATATTATTAACATTATGAATATAAACCCTTGCAAGCCAGGTTGTGTCTTGTGTTGCACTGGGGATATGTTTCTGCTTCTGCTTCAGAGCATCTTAAGTTCCATCACTTCTTGCTGAGCAGCACATTTGTATGCAACTGTATTGGGATTCCTCCTTCAGCAGTCCCAGAAGCATGTGGTGCTAGCCTTGTTTGGTACAGCAGACTCAAACAGCAAGTGAATTCCTGTCAGAGGATTTTTTTTTTAGTTTTTATTTTAAATCAGACTGTCATACTGCATATGACAGACCACATCCACAAAATCTCTGCTCTCTCTTTTTTCCTTCTTGTTCTTCCTCTACAAAAGAAGCCTTCCACTCTCCAGGTAAAATTATCCAGCCATTCTTTCCAGAGAGTAGATGTAAGCATTGGGTTGTATAAAAATTGCTTCCATAATTCTTGCTGCCTTTGTCCTTCTGTTTATCTATTTCTCTCTTTGTAAAATATCATCGTATTTATTTCTATATAAAAAATACATTAGATGCCATCAGTTCCTTTATCGGTTCATAACAACTGCTAAAAATAGTAGCAGCAGAGAAGGAAAAAAGCCAGATTAAAACAGTGTAGAATTCAGTATCTAAAAGGCCGTGCAAAATTTAAGGAGGCCCTTTCCTTGTGCTGTGAAGACATCAGACTCTGCGCTGGGGGAGCCTTACTGAAGTGAGCATTCAAGAGTCAAGTCACCACAGTCAAGAAGCCCCTCTCATGGGTCATTGCCTGCTTCACTTCTGAAGGTGGGAAGACTTTAAACACAGTAGTCTGACCTGTGCAGATCTTGCTTTGTAAGTGGGTTCCAACTTCCCTAAGAAAGCTTCATCACCACAAGTTGTTTAAGCCCTGCTGTGGTTCACGTTAACTATGGGAAACGAGCCAAAGTTTGAGGTTTGCTTTCTTCTCTAAACTAGGGTTGGGTAGAGCCATATGCAGCCCTACAAACATCTGTATCTGGCCCCTGGAACTGTCCTTAAGCCAGCCCTCCTCCATCACATCAATGCCTTTCCTTTTGCATGGATGGAATGTGTCTTTGAGCGGCAGTAATGCCTCTTGCTTGCCTAGATGTGGTGTGTGTATCTATCATCTACCTACCTACCTACCTACCTATCTATCATCTATCATCATATCTATCATCTATCTATCTATCTATCTATCTATCTATCTATCTATCATTTATCATCTATCACTGTCTCTCTTTTCCACCTCTCCCACCCAAGTATCGGCTAGTAGGGTGGAGCGAATGGGGCTGCATTACTCTTCTAGCTTCCAAATGTTGTGCATCGCTGCTGTTTACTGAAGAGTGGGGAGTTCAGCATGGTGTAGGTGAAGCAGTGAATTGACCTTTCTGCTGCTCCAGTATACTGTTGAGCATCCTGCAGCATTGCACCTTCCCCTTCTCAGTAACCGGAAGTGTCCTGTGGTGTTGGCAAGGCAGGAGACCAACCCGTGTTGCCTTTCTGGCCACTACTGTGTATACCTTTGAGTTTTGTGTAGCAGGAATGGTAGGACTGTGCTACATAGGTGGATGTCACACCCAATGCCCTGCCCATCATGCCACAGGAATGTGTTCCCCACATTCCCATGTGGACCTCCCACCCGATGGCCCTAGAGCATAGTTAACACTGACCATTGTTTGTAACCACAATTAACTGCAGACGGAAGCATAAACTTCCAATCCCCTCCTCATGGCTGCATTGGAGAAGAAGAGAGTCAGTGAACTCAAGTTCACTTCTGTTAGCACTAAAACTATGGTTTTGGCTGGTTGCCTTCATGCAGAGTGGGAATGATGCCTGTGTTATATTTATCTACCACAACAGGACTGTGTGTTCCAAGGCCCTAGACAATGGCAGGTGTTCCACATCAGTGTGGTTTTAGGCTAGAGGCAGGTCACTCCCTAGAAAGCCCTTAGCCAATGGGTAAGGCTAAAGCACATTTTAGAAAATGCTTTCTGTTCTTATGTTATGCAGATGAGCAAGCACTGCTTTTTTTTTTAAAAAAAGTGAATTTGCTTTGGGAAATGAAAAGGATGTATGGAGTGTTTTGAAGATAAATTGTAAGGATATACTCCCTGAGATTTCCTTTAACAAATGCACTTTCATCCTCTTATTACTGGTTGCAAATTGCAGTTTGGACAGGCTCATACCATAACATTTTCTGATCATTAATAGAAAGCATTCCACTGCTGCCAAAAGAATACAGGATTTCTTGACAATTAGACTAAACATGGCAACATTGTGTATCTCTTGAGGAACTCCCAAGAAGATACAGATTCTTCAAACTAAGGAGGGGACGATCTTTTGTTCACAACTGGTTTCACTATTCCAATTTTTAGTATGCAGAAAAAATGGACTAATTTTATTGTTTGCTATTATCTCTTTGAAGTCTGCTTGTAAACCAGTTTGTAGTTGGATTTCATCTCATGCACTCTGAAGCCAAGTTTAAACTCTCTGTTATTTCCCAGCTTGTAGCTCCCAAGCTTTGGCCTATTGATTTAGCTGATAAGGCATTTTTTTGTTTGTGTTAAATATTTATAACCTGGCTTTTGAACACACAATCCCTAAGGTGGCTAAAAACAAATTAAACCAATAACTTCTTTCTTTTCTAAATTTATATCTTACTTTTCCATCAAGCCAACAGATTCCAACACTTAATAGTGGCCATAAACAAACAAACTTATCAGGCCAAAGGCCTGTCAGAATACAGATGAGGGCTGTGCATGACCCCTTCTTGGCTGGGTGAAGTTGTAGGGAGGATTTCTGCAACTTTTGTGGAATGCCCACAAGAATCACAGCACTTTAGGGCAGGGGTCAGGAAACTTTTCCAGCAGAGGGCCAGTCCACTGTCCCCCAGACCTTGTGGGCGGCCGGACTATGTTTTTTTTTGGGGGGGGGGAAATGAATGAATTCCTATGGCCCATAAATAACCAAGAGATGCATTCTAAATAAAAGCACACATTCCACTCATATAAAAACACACGGATTCCCAGACCATCCGCAGACCGGATTTAGAAGGCGATTGGGCTGGATCCTACCCATGCTTTAGGGTGTGTAGGGACACTTACAAGGTGAGGAGGTGGTCTTTCCATCTTTCTCCTTTGTCTCTTCAAGTTTTTAATCCAGAGATGGGGATCTTACAGTTCTCTCCAGATGTTATCGACCATCCATGCTGGCTGGTGCTGATGAGAACTGGAGTCTTAAGTACATCTTGGAGAGCCGCAGGTTCCTCATCCTCGCTTTAAAAACATGCATGCCATGATCAGCATGTAGCTGCTTGGTTGCTTTAAAAACCTATTAAGATCGGTGCATAGAATGATGCTGCAGGATAGCATGATATAATTCCCAGGAGCATTGTATGGAGAAAAAATTATGGTTGCCCTGTAGCTGCTGAGAATGCCTTCTCTCTAGTTTCTACCAAATGATGACATACATTGACTAGTTGGATATTAACTAGACAAAGAGGATGTCCTTTCCCAAAGAGCTTAAGACCCAGACAAACTTATATGAGAGAATGGTCCAGTGGCCTGTGAAGCTGCTGTAACATGGGAGCCTCATGAGTCCTATATTTAACCCTAGTCAGTAGTGTTGAAATTTCTAAATGCTCTTCATTCAAAGGCAGCCCTGCATAAGATGTAACCAAAGTATGTGTTGCCAGGGCCATGTCTGACCTCTCAGGGAATGGGCACTGTTGACACTCTAACCCCTGTTGTGCAAAAGTACTGTGAAAATGTGGGCTTCTGGGTTCAGAGATGAATGCTTCAAGGGGAGTGTAACACCGTTCAAGGTAAGTTGAGCCCCTCTTCTCTGCCCTACCTTTCTGCTGCTGAGGAGCACCTCTATTTTATCTTGGTTGAGCTTCCTTGGATTTAGGTGGAAATGAGAGCAGGCAGGGGTCAGGTTTCACCTGCATGTTGGTTACACCAAGTCCCAAATATAAGAATAAAACATACAACAATTAAGATTGTACTTACTTGCCTGGGAGAAGAAAGCCTGAGCAAAGAAAAGAACCCTAAAAGAAAATGGTTGCTAGGCAAGCATGTTTTGCAGTGGTATTCCATAGACATGGTGCCCAAACGGTTTAGCTTTCAAAGGTGGAACCATTTACGGTTATCCATATAATGTAATAGCAACTATAATCCATTGACATCAGCACTGTACTAAGAAGTGAAGTACAAAAAGGCAGATACCAAGGAGTTTACAATCTCATTTGCTTACTTTCGGTGAACATGCTTTCTTCTGTTGAATTAGTAGGAATGCAAATTGCCCGTGTACAGTTGTTCCTTCAGGTAAAGCAAACCTGTCAGCCAATTTTTTGAGAAATGAATGGTGTGCTATAAATATGATTTCCTGGTGGAGAAGATGGAGAATTGTTTCTTCTGTAGCATGGTTGAACTTCACATGTTCAGTATCTGTATTTCACCAGCCCCCACTAGCCCTGTCACCCTGAATACACATTTACTTTTTTCAAATGTGAAAGTGATATTTTTTGGTGAAATGGGTCAGTGAGTTCTTCCCACCGGCCCCAGAAGATATAGATTTAGAATTCTCTTCTCTTGACTATAGAACCTTTGTGCATTTAGGCACGGAAACTCATTTTTTAGAGAAACAATTGTTGGCTCTGTTTTATTTGCGGAGTGCGTCAGTGTATTGAAGTTAGAGGTTCAGTGTAATTGGATAGAGATTATTCTTAGATTTGGATTAAGGCAACTGATTTCAAATCTTGGGACATTCAGCAGCTGTCAGAGATTTGCCGTGCCAAAAAAAGTCATTGAGTGCTCTGTGTACATTGGCCTGATTTTCATTTCATGGAGGAAGGAATAAAAATGTAGCTTATTAATAAGGAAGCACTCGTCACTCTGTTTTGAACATTATGGGGTTACTTATGGTTACAATGAATATTTGCATGTGATGTGTGTCCCCCTGGTTTTTTGTTTTTAAGTGATGCCATATCCTGCCAGGTAGGACATGGGTGGCACTGTGGGTTAAACCACTGTGCCGCTTGGGCTTGCCGATTGAAAGTTCAGCGGTTTGAGACCCCGTGTTGGGATAAGCTCCTGTTGTTCGGTCCCAGCTCCTGCCAACCTAGCAGTTTGGAAGCACGCAGTGCAAGAAGATGAATAGGTACCACTCCGGCGGGAAGGTAAACGGCGTTTCCGTGCACTGCTCTGACTTCGGCAGGAGCGACTTAGTCATGCTGGCCACATGACCCAGAAATACTGTCTGCGAAAGCAGACAGGCGGCGGCTCCCTCGGCCTGTAAAGCGAGATGAGCGCCACAACCCTAGAGTCATTCGCGACTGGACTAATTGTCAGGGGTACCTTTACCTTTACCTTTATATCCTGCCAGGATAAGACACTGAGTCTGGTGTGTGTCCATTGACACTTGGCCTTTTCTACATAGGCTCAAGCACAGACAATCCTGAGTTTTTATTGGTGCTGATCTCTGAGGTCACCTTGCCCTGACAAGTGTGTTTATTAAATCATTTCTCCCTTTCTCTTGAAAGCTGAGAACAAAGTATTTGTTATTGCAAGAGGTAGGTCTTTTGTCGTACATTCTAGTTCCACTTTGTAATATTAACAGTAAGAATGGGAAATCAGTTCAGAGCACCCTGAGACTGTCTCCAGTAATGTAACTCAAGTCATCTGCTACCTGCCAAGTCACCTTACTCAGGTTTTACATTTCCTCCCACTTTCCCCAGTGATGTGACCTTTAATTGTTCTTTTACTACTAGTTAAATGATTTTCAAATTGGGCTAGGCTTGGTTCAGACAAAAGACTTCATGTTTTTCTGGGAGCATTACTAGTCTGTATTCAGTGCAGATCTCCCTGGAGTGTATTTAGCCTTCACAGTGATCGGAAAACTCCAGCAAAAGCTCAGACTTCCAGATCTCTTCATTTGCAAACCAAAATGAAACAAAAGGAGTTGAAAGAGTTCTGCAGAGAGGAAATGAGAGTGGAGGGAATGGCTTTGCAGACAGTTGTAAACAAGCTCGAGCAAACAGTATTCCCATCAGAATAATGTGCTCTCAACAGCCACTATTTTAGAATAGTTATCTTGTCTGCTCTAGGGAAGTTGGCAGGAAAGTCATGCTTTCGTTATATGAGTTTCTAACTAACTATTACATTTTATGGATTATGCATGCCGGGTTTATGATTCAGTGAGCAGTTTCCCACATGGTTGGTCAAAGAAGCTTTATGCACCAGGGAGCAATAATGTGAAACTTTCAATTTCTTCTGTTAGCTTCTTCGAAGATGATTTTCACATTGCAGATGATTCATGGAAACAACAATTCTAACTCATTTGAACCACTGTGCCATTTCATCAAGTGTGAGTGACCTTGGCAGTTATGCCTATGGGCGGCAACAATTTCAGGGGCAATGGCAACACTTTTTAGGAACCTAAGAAGAATGTGATGTATCAGGCCAATGACTCATCTAGACCAGCATCCCATTCTCTCAGTGGCCAACCAGATGCCTGTGGGAAGCATGCAAGCGGGATCACACCCCCTTCCAGTAGTCTCTAGCAACTGGTACTCAGAAGCAATTCTGCCTCTGACCACTGCTATGGTTGTGTGTGTGTGTGTGTGTGTGTGTGTGTGTGTGTGTATATGTGTGTGTGTGTGTGTGTGTGTGTATATATATATATATATATATATATATATATATATTATAATATATCTGTGCCTACGTAATAGATTACCCATGGAAGGCTTGGACTGTTGCTCTGGAAAAGAAGCCCATTGTGTGGTTTATCCAAAAAGATGAGCATTTTGTTTACATCTAGCAATACATATTAGCAATTTGGGATGTTGGTGGTCAAGATACCTACCTGGTATTTAAGGTTGATGATGATGTAATAATGCATAATAATAATACGTGTAATATTTTAGGGCTTTTTTTTTTTGCTGGTCTGTTGTATGCTGTGCTACTAAATTGTTTGGCTACTGTTTGGTTTTCTTCTTTTTGGATTCTTTTGGGCTGCAGAGTGAGAGACCGAATGCTTGAAACAATGGGAAAAAAAGTAAACAAGAATAGTGAAAATGGCAATGTAGCGAACATTTAATACTCTTAGTTCTTGAAATAAATTGTGTATCGCTTCTCTTCCTCTCATGTACAAATGCATTTTCCAGCTTTGACCATGGTTATAAGTTGTTGACATTAGAACTAACCATAAAAGGTACTATGGTTTGCTTTTAATGAGGCTTTAAATATCAAATCCTGCTGAAACTCTGGATTCAGTTCCTAGTTAGCATGAACCATGGCAGTGCCTTCTGTATTAAATTATGTAGGTCTGCAACCTAAAGGCATACTCTAAGGTTCTGTTCGGACATTATGCCTGAATAGGGAAAGGCGACATGGTTGACATCCTCAAGGTCTGTGCATCCAGCCCTGGCCCCAATGTACACAACCCCTACATACACAACATAACAAAAGCCCTGCAAGATTAGACCAAATGCTCATCTAGTCCAGCATCTTGTTCCTGCAGTGGTCAACCAAATACCTGTGGGATGCCCACAAAGAGGACATGAGCACAATAGCACTCTTTGTGATCCCCAACAACTGGTATTCAGAGACATAGTGCATCTGATACTAGAAGTAATAAACTGTAGCCCTTGAGATTAGTAGTCATTCATAACCTCATTGTGGTAGAGACTTCCATAACTTACTAGCTGCTGAATGAAGACGTGCAGTGAAGGGGTCGTCTAGGTGTGTTTGGCTGAGCTTGCTTAGAAGTCTCCGGGAGAGCAGGAGCACTGCATTATCAGGGTTCCTTAGCACAACGAAACTTCTAAATGTGTATCAGCCATATACTGTAAAGCCCCATTCAGACCTTTCCCTCAATATGGGAAGGTTTGTGGTGAAATAGGCGTGGTTGGCACATATGGGAATACTGGGGGCAGGGCTAGTGTTCATGGCCTGCAGACCCTACTTATGCTGCATAACACCTGAGTAACGTGCCTTTCCATAGTATGTTGCTTTATGTGTGAAGAAAAAAAAGCGGAATCTTCTTCTAGAGTTGGCTTTGTTTGTTTACCCACATGCTACTCTTGATTATCTAGGTTGGATGTTCAAAAAGGGTTAAGCATTTATTTTTCTGCTTGCTTAAAAACACAGACATATGCATGCACACATGGGGTGGGGGGAATGAAAGTAGCCACAGAACTATTCTGAGGAATTAAAATGGTGCAAGGTCTTAGCCAGTTAGTGCTGACCTGCAGCCACCTTATGCTGCAGACTTGCATAAGTCACGATTTCTAAGCATTTACTAGATTTGCCTTTCACATCGTGGTTCACAAGCTTTAGATTTCCACACGTGACTTATTTCTTTTTAATTATCTTAGTCCCCACTTCTCATGTGCTAGCAAATTATTAGGATGCATGGAACTATTCATAAAGGTGGAATGATGTGACAAAGGAAAAGGGATGTAAGTTATAAAGTATGCCAACAGGCTCAGTCATAAGTCGATATTAAACAGTGTAATTTGTGAACCACTGCTTTAAAGAAACAATGGATCTCTCTGTTTCAGTCTTCAGGATATGGTTATCAGTATTTAGCATTCACTGGGTGTTGATAATCGGTAGATATGAATATGATAAGCATATTAATGTGAAGGATTTGTTGTTGACATAAAATGGTGTGTGGTATTATAATTCAGCTTTATGAATTTAATCCATATTTACAGGAGATAAGCAAACACTTAAAAAAAATACTGTACCAAAGCAGCACATAGTGCTGGAATCATAGTCACACTATGCAGTTATGAGATTAGCATATGAACAAAAAGGAGGATTTTTGAAGCTCTTAGCCATACTACAGGAAACAAAAACGCAAATCTTATTGTAGGATATAACTCATGTTTATTGCCCACCCCCCTAATATTCTTAAGAGGGTCTCTTCTTCAGTCTTCAGAGAGTGGCTGGAAGTGGGGAGGCAGAAAAAGGTCCTCCTTTCTTTCCACTCTGCAGTTTTAATCTGAAATCTTAGGCACAGTACTTCGCCCAGAGCTCAGAAACTGCTTGCGCTAATGAAATTCCTTGTCGCAAAATGCGCCTAGAACAATGGGAGTTTCGAACACTGCAGACTCATGAACATGCGGAACTGAAATGGACCAGAAATAGAGTAATCTGCCCATTGCTGGCTTGTACAGGACATGATCATGGATAATATTTGCTTTCTGTCAGTGATTTCCATTGTATTTGCAGATTGGCTACAGTGATGAATTAAACAGATTTAATAATTTTTGTTTATTAGTAGCGTTTCCCATTTCCTTTTCTCTTACTGTCCCATACATAATATTCTCATAGTTTAGTTTACCCTTCAAAGCCAGCAGCAAGTTGTAAAGCACAAAGAGGTGTTGAAAAGAAGGAAGGAAGAAGACAGAAAATGAACTCAGAGCTTGTATGTTGAAGTTGGTAGTGGAAACCTCTCTTTCTCATGCAAAGCTTTTTCACGGCACACATAATTATCCTATGGTATTAATTGAAACAGGAGAAGGTGACAGAGCTGTTAACTTGCATAACTGTGCTCATTTTTAATTATGACATGTTTAATTTTTTCAAAGCATTTAGACTCCGGGGCCTTTATTCCAGTTTCTGACACCTAACGAAACTGAAGATAAAATATTAATTAAATGAAAACAGCAAGCGAAGAGTGGCACGTTCAGTTATGGTATCTAGCTATAATGCATATCTAGTAACTGTTTGGATGGCTAACCTTTATTCTTCTCCCCTACAGGAAAGATTTCAAGTCAAGAATCCTCCACACACATATATCCAGAAATTAAAAGGCTATCTCGATCCAGCTGTAACTAGGAAGGTAAGAGATTTTATTTTGTAAATGTTTGAATCCCCCCCCCCATTTTCATTTAGGAGTAGTATATAAAATCAGCCAAATGAAGCAGTTGACCAGGTGTGGGGAACTTTTGGTTTTTTGGATTTTGCTGAACTGCAGCTCCTCTGAACCAAGACCAAGCACGGCCAATTGTCAGTGATGATGGGAATTGTAGTTCAGCAATGTCTGGAGTGCAAAAAATAATTATGTTGGAGATGAGAGGGGTTAACTTTTTTTTAATGCTGCCTACCTCTTCTATAGGGACGCGGGTGGCGCTGTGGGTAAAACCTCAGTGCCTAGGACTTGCCGATCGTATGGTCGGCGGTTCGAATCCCCGCGGCGGGGTGAGCTCCCGTCATTCGGTCCCAGCTCCTGCCCACCTAGCAGTTCGAAAGCACCCCAATTGCAAGTAGATAAATAGGTACCGCTTTATAGCAGGAAGGTAAACGGCGTTTCCGTGCGCTGCGCTGGTGCTGGCTCGCCAGAACAGCTTCGTCACGCTGGCCACGTGACCCGGAAGTGTCTTCGGACAGTGCTTTTTCTCCTTTCCCCCAAAGATAACCTTTGTAATTTTTATGTACGCTGCTTTGAGACTTAGGTCATTAAGTGCTATATAATTGGAAGCAAGCAAGACTTGTACCCAGGAAATGTCTAGTCAAAACTTCACCACCTGATTCTGCTGACATGATGGAATAAATGGGGCATTCTTTTATATCAAAAGACAGGTCCCATCAGGGTTCAGAAGAGTGTGTCTTCCTTGCATATTTTTTTAAAGTGAAAAGTTTATATTTCATTTTATAGTTGCATGGCTGGTTGGGCATTGAAGGATGTCTTTGCAGGTCAGTGGGCAAAGAATTGATGGGAATTACAAACCCAGTAGACTTCTGGCATAAGTTGAAATGAAAGTGGTTTGGCACAAGGTTCATGGGTTGCAGAACACAGCACCTGTAGGCTGCAAGTTAAAATCTAGTTTAGACCCAGTAGCACACAGGCAGGTAGCGTTGTGCTTTAGGGATTGGTGTTCCATGAATCCTACCTTGTTGTTAGCAACTTGGAAGTTTAATTCTGCACTAGCTGGAGCTTTCAGAACATTTTCAAGGGTTACTCACATAGAGCAGTTATCCAGTTGTGAGGTTATTGAAGTGTGGATTACTGAGGCCATAGCTGAGGAAGCAGCTGGTTGTGGACCTCGGCCTCTAGTGTTAGCAGAGATTCAAGGAGAACCTCCAGTTTCTGCACCTGCTCCTTCAAGGGGAGCCTTCTAGAACAGGCTGTCTCTCTTAATTTCTGGATTTGGGAACTAACTGTCCACAGCAACTCAGCCTTATCAGGATTCAGTCTCAGTTTCTTGGTCCTCATCCAGCTCATCGCGGCTTCTGGGCACTATTCTGTCACTTAAGCTTGTCCTGCTCTAGGTGGATTGGAGGGAGAGAGGGAGAGAGCACAATGAAACACATTTGCCAGGTGTGTACAGATCATGCAGTAAAATGTGTAGCTAAATGTAACTATTACCCATATAGTATAGTATCAGAGAGAAGGTTAAAAAGTCAGGATGAAATATTGGATAGCTTTGGAGAAAGTGTTGTGTAAAAGATAAATTTTGATTTCTAAATGTATTTCATATACTATAAGTTTATTTGTACTGGAAATTGTGTGTGTGTGTGTGTGTGTGTGTGTGTGCGCGCGCACACACACACACACACACACAACTGGTTGTCTGATTAATAGAGTAATTCTTCAGAATTTAAACTTAATATGCATCTTAATGACTTATGTATTCCGCCTGTCATGGGAGTGTGAAGGTTTTATATACTATCTACCTGAATCTAAATATCACACTCAGGCATTGTTTTCTCTCCTTGCAAATTATAGAAATTTAGGAGAAGAGTTCAAGAATCTACACAAGTATTACGAGAACTAGAAATTTCTTTAAGAACCAATCACATTGGGTAAGAATGATTTTTTTTATTTTACCTTTGTTGACGTTTGGGCAAAAGACATTTATCGCAACCTGTCTAAAGCTTCCTTGGCCCAGCTGTGTATCTTCATGGCTCAAATGGAACCATGGTTCAAATAGTATTATGACTGTGGGTTTTCAAGCTTTGCTATAGGAACCCTTTCCTCATTGGCTTACCTGCTGAGGTACTCCTAAATATCTGCCATTGACTCCCTTGTGTTGCAGAGCATTCTGGGACATATTCCAGAGAATGCACAGTACATATAAGTACTGGCCAGGCCTGCGGGGCCTCATTGTCACGCATCAACTGAATAATCTCATGAATATGTCAGACCTAGACCCTGCAATCATGATCTGAGGCCCTTCTTCATATGCCTCCTCTGTGAGAGGTCCAAACAGGAACAACATAAGAGCAGGCCTTTCCTACAGTGGCTCTCCTCTTGTGGAATGCTCTCCCCAGAGAGACTCACCTGGCACCTTCTCTGCATATCTTTAGACGCCAGGTGAAAGCATCCCTCTTCTCAAAGGCTTTTGGCTAATTAAACTTTCTGTGGGCTTCCTATTGAGGAAGCCATTGTTTTTGTTTGTTACTATAGTATGTATTTTTATGTTTTTATATTGTAAACTGCCCTGTGATACTTTGATTGAAGGTGGTATAGAAATTTAATAAATCATCATCACCCATGGTGGGTAAAAATGTTTTTTTTCTGGGTGCCTTGGTTTCATTTCATTTTTAAAAATTAAATTATTTTATTTTATGAATAATATTAATTACAAAGAGTTAAAGTAAAAAGATAAAGAAATAAAGAAAAATAATCTATAAAACCTTTTTAAAGGCAGAGAAAAACAACAATAACAATATACCTCAACCACCATTACAGATCTTTCCTTTGGGAACCCTGAGAAGCTTTTCAGAACCCTCAGGGTTCCCTAGAACACAATTTGAAAACCACTGCTTTGGCATATTTTTCTTTCCTTCAAGGCATTGTGACTTTGTGATGTGGCCTGGTTTTGCATAAGCGTTGTGCTGCTCAGGCAATGAGAATTTAGAGACACACAATTCAACAACTGCAGTGTTGCTTCAAAAGAGAGCTGCATTTAAAGTGTGTTGGAACACGCCCCCCACCCGATCTTTCACAAACTATTTTTGTTAAAAGTTCTGGCTCTCTTTCTTTCTCTCTCCCCCTCCCTCCCCCACCTTTTGCAAAGCCCGTTTGAAGTGAAATTGACCATGAAATACCAAAGCTAGGCCAACATTGCTAATACATAGTTGGCAGAGCAGCAAATGTTTAGGCAATATCTTTGAGATGACATGCCAATGAAGTCTGTAAGCAATTGTAGCAGTTTTGTCATCAGATGGACGTCAAACTTCAGTAATATTTCCCAAACCAAATATGCAGTAGAAGTTGTCAGTATATCATCTTTTACTCTTTTCTTTTATGGAAACTTGCCCGAGAGTTAACTTTTTAAAAATGCCAAGCGAAATTTATGACTTACCCTAATGTCTTGCCAGATGTTAGCTGTGACTGAAGTGAGAGACTATTTCTGCTAAGTTCATTAGGACTTTGAAGTCAGTGGCTGCTGTGAAATTCTTTTGTGTGTGTCAATGTGACTATTACCTTGAGCTAATTGGTTGTGTGCAGCTATCCGTACCTGTACACATGAATCCTTTGAGACAGAAAATGGCTTCCTTCCATATGTGGTGAAATGTCAGCCGTACCATGCACTCCTGGTCCCATCCATCGAGAGCATTGCTTCTTAAAACTGTGACTGATAGCTCAATCCTATACCTATCTACTTAAAAAGTATAAATGGGCATCCCCACTTAGGCTGTATGTGATTACAGCCTAAATCACTTGCTGTGAAATAAACACAGACTTTGGGCCATCAGTATTCTCCCTAGCCTTTTCTTTCTTCACTCTCCCCACCTCCACCCCCTGGCCAATTTCCCATAGTTCCCAGTCGGAGGAAGGGTCCTCAATAAGAAGGCCTCTGCCTAATCTATGTCAAATGAAAATCCATTTTGAAAGATTCTATACTGCTGTTCATGTAGTATATACTAGGGCAGTGTACAGCATGATAAAAAGAATATTGCATTAAAATAAATCAGTACATACAAATTCGGAATCACTGGTGTGGTTGCTATGGCTCGGGTCCAATTATCCCTGCAGAAAGACCATTGGAAGTTCAAAAACTCATTTGTTTCTTGAGATTTGGGGGTATAATCCAGTTAACATGATATTTGCTTGGGTTTTGCCGCCGTGTTACTTTTGACCAACTTTCTCTGTTAGTGCATTTCCAGGTTTTTCAAAACGATAAAATATCCTTGGCATTACATTTACATAGAGATGGCAGAAAGCCCAAATGATGCTTGCTTTACTGCTCAGATGGTTAAATTAAAATAAGTGAAATACCTGGTAATTGTGCTGACCTCTAATGATAACCTCAAAATCTTGACTATTTTACCTTGGCTCTGAGCACGTGCAATGGCCTTGTGATTTGGTGACACCATTCCATTCCATGCTGAAAAGTTTCTGAGAGAGAAATTACTGTATTTTTTGCTCTATAAGACGCACCAGACCACAAGACGCACCTAGTTTTTGGAGGAGGAAAACAGGAAAAAAATATTCTGAATCTCAGAAGCCAGAACAGCAAGAGGGATCACTACGCAGTGAAAGCAGCAATCCCTCTTGCTGTTCTGGCTTCTGGGATAGCTGCACAGCCTGCATTCGCTCCATAAGACGCACACACATTTCTCCTTACTTTTTAGGAGGGAAAAAGTGAGTCTTATAGAGCAAAAAATACAGTACTAGCTTTTGCAAAATGTGTTTCTTTTCTCCTGTAATTACTGGGTTCTTTTTTTGTGTGTGTGCAGACTTGCTTGCACAAGTACAAATATGCTGATCTCTAATGATTTCCCCTAACAGGTGGGTCAGGGAGTTTTTGAATGAAGAAAACAAAGGCTTGGATGTTTTGGTAGAGTATTTGTCTTTTGCACAGTATGCAGTCACGTAAGTAAGACCCGGCTTATGCAAAGCAAAACATTACAGTGTAGAGTGATTTGCTGTTTTGGCCTTGCTAGTATATCACAGTGCACTAAAGCTTGAACACCCTTTAGTGCAATAGTTTACCGTTCTAGCAATTGATGGTGTTCCAAAGATTGCTGCCAGAAATCTCTTCTTTGTGGGGTTACACAATGCACTGCTTGTCTTAGTATGTTGTATCAGCAGCATATAGGAAACACTGGATACCGCACTTGTTTGTTCCTCTATCCTGAGATGAGTTCGGCCTTCTGCATCTTTGTCCAAAGTAGATAGTTCCATACCTTCAGAACATACCCATTCAAATGTTCCATGGAAGCAGTTAAAGCAAAAGCACAAGTGAATTGTAGACCTCTTAGGGACACAGGAAGCACTTTTGCCCAGTATTGTCAAGTCTTGCATTAGTTGTCCAAGGTCCCGAACAGTAGTTTTCCCCATCACCTGCTACCTGAAATCCTTTTAACAAGAGATGCCAGTGCTTTGAACCAAGGATTTTCTACATGCAACACATCTACTCTGCTGAGCAATGGGCCCTTTCCAAAGCTTTTATAGCTCTAATTTCCCTAAGTGAGATTTCATATCTTAAAATGCAGTAGGTTCGCAGTCTTACCACGGCTGAGACCAATGAGTTCCACTTGGTATGCTGTGGCAGAACTGCAGAAAGTAGAACCACTTTGCAGTCAAGCTTCTTCTTGCCACTCTCAAAGTTTTTGAACTAGCCATGAAAATGCCTACAATAAGATGATGGCAGTGGTGTGATTGCTAGTACTGGGCAGAAACTGGGAAGCACGGGTTGTCTTATGGAGCTACATGCTGTTAGCTCCCCATGAGAAATCCCCTTGCAGTGCTGATCTATCGGGGAAGCAGGGGAGAGGAAGATTGGCCTGAACTGTGCTTCAGTGTCCTGTTTCGCCTCTGTGCTGTCCAGCCCTGAATGTTCTGAAGCAGCGATGGGGAGCCTGGGGCATTCTGGATGCTGCTGGACTACAACTCCCAGCATCCCTGACCGTTGGCTCAGCAGACTGCGGCTGATGGGAGCTGCAGCCCAACAGCATCTGGAGGGCTTACAGATTTCCCATTTCTACTTCAAAGGATCATGAATTCAGCAACGGGCAAACAAGTTTCTGCTTTACTTGCAGTTCTCCTGGTTCAGGACCTCAGGTTCTTAAGACGAAGAGAAATGTGATTTGGTTTTTAGGACATATACAGACAAAGGTGCTTGGGAGAGACAGTTGTTTTGTTTGAACTGGAACAAAGTTAATGGCAGGACATTACTGATTTGGGGGGAAAGGCACGTTGCAGGAAAAGAAGTGCTTGCTTTAAATACTTTCACCTCCCGTACTGAACCAAGAGCAAGGCGTTTTACTTGTCGTTTACTCTTCCCTAACATGGCATGCATAGAGAATAACCTCAGAGCATATAAGAAGGGAAGAGATGGCTCCACTTTCAAAGAGCAGTGCATCGAGTAAGGGCTGGGGAAAAATAAAACAAAGGAAGAGCAGAAATGATTACATTAAATGCATTGCATATGTTTGGAGTTTGGTCTTGGCCATTATACAGGGATAGATTTGAAACTAAATTAGAAAGCAAAGCTAATTGATTTTAAAAAATAAAATAAAATAAAAATGAAGAGAGCCCTGGAGACTTGTTTTCCTCCAACGAATCAAGCAGTTTTGAAGTTAGAAAATCTGGATAAGGTTGTAAGATTCTTTCTCAGTTCTATCTGCACGATGGCCCTCTCCCTGTTTCTCAAGATCCAAATTTACTGTGAAACGTACGTGTAACTAGCACTCTGTTTTTAGCTCAAGGGGAAATATGTTACAGTGCGCTCTGTCACTGTATTGTTGACTGTAATCAGCTGGGACAGAGTAAATCTGCAGATGTTCAGCAGCAGGAAGGAAAAAGTTGTCTACGTCTCTCTCTTCTTGCTTACTTTCTCTTTTCCGTTTTTGTGTTTTGCAAACCTGCATTGAAATGTTCATTTCCGTTTAGGTTTGACTTTGAAAGCTTGGAAAACAACATGGAAAACTCAATGGATAAATCTAAGCCTTGGAGTCGATCCATTGAAGACCTCCATCGAGGAAGTAACCTCCCCTCTCCCGTTGGCAATAGCATTACCCGCTCTAGCAGACATTCTACCCTACGGTAAGAAAGCACTCCAGGGCTGGTGGCTCCAGGGAACAAGATGGCGGCTTCATGCAGGAGAGAATTCAGTCGAATATTACATATTTTGAGATTGACACCAACCCTCATTATACAGTTTACATATTTTGATGACTACTTAGCCAAACTTCACTGGCTGTGCTTAATTAAATTAAAAATTATCTGAGGAAGCTAATTATTTATATTGTTGTGAGCCGAGTTTGTAGTTTGCGTGTGGTGTTTTTTTATTTTGCAGGTGATTGCTTGGCTAATAATTAGCATGCCCCTAGGAGTGCTTTTTTCTTGGTGTTGTGAAATTAACGGAGCGATAAGGCTGTTGTCCCATACCCGCTTAACACGTTCCTGCTGAACTCAATGAGGCTTCCTTCAGAGTAGACACCTGTAGAGTCCTTCCACTTTGAAGAGTCGTCTGGTTACATTTCTAAAGCAAACAGCCTTTTGGAGAGCTCTTACTACCCTCTGGCATGGATATACCAAAGAATAAATAAGTACTCAGAACTAAAGAATAAATAAATACTCAGAATGACCAAGGCTGGCAAAAATCTTTGAACTATTACATGCCAAACCCATTACTTGTGATATTTACTATATGGAGGAGGGGGAGGAGTGGAAGCCCATTAGGTGGATCCTCCCAACAGTATCTAAAACCAGTCAATTTATTTTGACTCCTGAGGCAGAAAATCTTGGAAGCACCTCTCTCCGTCCTTGGTAGTGAAAATAAGAACAGTAATAAATTGAATAACTACCAGTTTGCTACCCTTTCATGACACTCTGAATCTGTTTCATGAAGTGGCTATGTTACTCTGTTTAATGGTAGATGGCCCTTCCAATTTGTTATTTATTTAGATGGAACCTCTTTGTTCTTTCTCATTTCCTACAACACTCCCTATGGCCTTTTCCGCTCAGAAGGGAGAAGAGAAGCTCTCTGGCTCAACAGGATAGTGGGTGGAAAGAAAGGAGGACTGTTTGGGCATGTTCGAATCTTCCGTTCCTGGGTAAGGTGATTGAGAGAGCGGTTGCTGAACAGCTTGGTGGTTTTCTGGATGAAACATCGGCTCTGGATCCATTCCAGTCCGGCTTCCGCACTGGTCATGGGACCGAGACGGCTCTGGTTGCCCTAACAGATGATCTTCGTAGACAGCTGGATCGAGGCGGGTCGGGGCTGCTGATTCTTCTAGATCTGTCAGCAGCTTTCGACATGGTCGATCACGAACTTCTAGACCACCGCCTTGCCGACGTGGGGATCCAGGGCACAGTCCTTCAATGGCTGCGCTCGTTTCTCTCTGGTCGGGGACAGAGGGTGGCGCTTGGGGGGGAATTGTCATCGCGCCACTCCTTGGTGTGTGGAGTACCTCAGGGTGCGATACTCTCCCCGATGCTTTTCAACATCTTTATGCGCCCTCGCCCAGCTTGTTCAGAGTTTTGGGCTGGGTTGCCATCAGTATGCCGATGACACCCAACTCTATCTGTTGATGGATGGCCATCCTGACTCGGCCCCAGACACACTGACTAGATGTTTGGAAGCTGTGGCTGGATGGTTTCGTGGGAGCCGGTTGAAGCTAAATCCTTCGAAGACAGAGGTCCTGTGGCTGGGACGGGGCGATATGGGATTGGAGGGGCAACTCCCATCTCTTGCGGGGGCGCAATTAGTGCCAGCACCGTCCGTTAAGAGTTTGGGTGTAATCTTCGACACCTCCCTTTCCATGGAGGCGCAGATTGCAGCTATAACAAAGGCGGCATTTTTCCATCTCCGCCAAGCTAAGCAGTTGGCTCCTTACCTCTCTCGCCCTGACCTAGCCACTGTGATCCATGCGACGGTCACCTCCAGACTGGATTATTGTAACTCGCTCTACGTGGGGCTGCCCCTGAGACTGACCCAGAAACTCCAGCGGGTGCAGAATGCTGCAGCGAGATTCCTTACGAGGTCTTCGCTGCGAGATCACATTCACCCGGTGCTATACCAGCTGCACTGGCTCCCGGTGGAGTACAGGATCAGGTTTAAGGTGCTGGTTTTAACCTTTAAAGCCCTATACGGCCTAGGACCCTCGTACCTACGGGACCGCCTCTCCTGGTATGCCCCACAGAGAAACTTACGGTCTTCGAATAAAAACATCTTGAATGTCCCAGGCCCCAGAGAAGTTAGGCTGGCCTCAACTAGAGCCAGGGCTTTTTCGGCTGTGGCTCCGATCTGGTGGAACACTCTGTCACAAGAGACCAGGGCCCTGCGGGACTTGACATCTTTCCGCAGGGCCTGCAAGACAGAGCTGTTCCACCAGGCCTTTGGCCAGGGCACAGCCTGACTCCCTCCCTCGGCAATCTTCGCGGAGCTCTGGCCCAATGGTTGCCAGTGGCTTGAATTAATTAATTTTATAACGAATGATTTTAGACTGTTGTTTATGCTGTACTTTTGTACTGTTTTATTGTTGTTAGCCGCCCTGAGCCCGGCTTCGGCTGGGGAGGGCGGGATATAAATAAAATTTATTATTATTATTATTATTATGAGCGCAGAGCAGAGGGACTAGACTGCAGAGAAGCAGCCTCGGGCACTTCTCGACTCCTTCCCCTTCGTTCTCTTCCTTCCCTCACACTTGAGGAATCAGTCTGTCAGCCCACCATCCATTTCATCTTCCTTTTCCCTTCCCTCCCATCCAACTTGTGCCCTAGAAGCTCTCTTTCAGCGCTCTCTTAAACAACTCTCCCTTCTGAGTATGCTTATGCTGTTTGCTTTTGGGGAGCTGCTGCTGCTGGTGTCAGTGCAACGCAAGGTCAAGGCCAGGCATTTTTGAGGGCCACCACCAAGTAGGCTGAGATCCTCTCAAGGTCCCTAGTTCAGCTCCTCTGAAACAGCTTCTTCATCGCTGCTTATTGTTCTGTGGTTATCATGTAGTATCTCTTGCTTACTATCTATCTGTGGTGGGATATTCCCTCTAGTACTATTTCCTCTAGCACTTACTATTCCCTCTAATACCATGTAGAATTATCAGTATAGAAAAACTATGCCACTATTGTATAGTTGGTTTTCTTCAACATCACTTGGAAGTAGTGAATGCCTGATCAGCAGGAACTGCTCATGCACAAGCTAATTTCCCTAACGATTTACCTCAAATGCAGCCTTTTTTTTATTCAATGCAAGTATCCGTCTTAAGGCAGCTATTGATAGTAAATATCAAATTGCTGTAAGTTCACTGCTCCTTTTTGAATATTGCTGGCTGACATCAAAAGTAAAGAAGCTTTCAAATCACTAAGGGTTTAGAATTTAGAATTTTATGCAGCCTCTTTCACTCCTTTTCTTGGAACTTCGACATTAAACAGTCAGGCTGCATCAGCGGACTTAGAACAGATTTAGCCCATGCCATTGATTCAGGCTTCAGAAGCTTGGAGAGAATCAGAGGACAGATAATTTGCAAAAGAGATCCATGCAACTGGAATGAAGAGTGCAGAGAAGGAAGATCAAATTGTTAGGGCTAGTTTTTGATCTGGAAAAAGCGGAAGAGAGAAGGTAATATCAAAAACGTCTCCAGTGGGCCAAATAATTTGAATGCTTTCAAGAGGCAAGGCAATTGCTTATCAGGTGATACCCAGGAACAGCTATGCAGCAGTGGTTCTTGCACAGTTGGTACACTGTCGCTCCATTTAAGAAATCAGGGCTTTAAAACTTCATAAATCAGTAGTAGATGGATTTTGGTCGTGTTCTTCCTTGAACCCCCATTGGGAGATGTAGCAGAAATACAGGTGTGCATTACACATTGCTTACATTTTCTTTCTCTCCTCCTCTCCATCTCCTTTTTCATATGCGCCGCCCACACTGTATACACCTTCTCTTCGCTCTGTGTCAACAGCTTCTCCTGTGCTTTCCTTTCCTTTCCCTACGGCATCATTTTCTTCTTCTTCTTCCTCACTTGCCTTGTTCTCCTTTTCTCCTCCATGCTCATCCATGCCTCAAAATGCCATCAGAATGGTTTGTCTGCCTGAACAACTTCAGTTCAAACGCCGCCAGAGCTGCTTTTCACACAACTGCCTCTGGAGTGGCTTCAGTTTACACTCTGCTGGTGAGGCTTCAAGCCGGAAAATCTCGTAAGTCGTGGGTGTAAAAGCTATGCCCAGAAAATAGAATTTAAAAAGCTGACTGGTACATGGAAGCAGGCTCCCTTGCACTGTTTGCCATGTGTTATAATGAAGGTGGACCACATGTCATTCATGAATGGTTCCAGCTAGAGGAACTTTCAGTGTCTGAGATGTGGATTATCTCATTATATCTAATATGCTGATACTTACTTCTGTATTTTTGTGTGTGTGTGTGTGTGTGTGTGTGTGTGTGTGTGTTGGCAGCAGTGGTGGTGGTGGGGGTTGATTTTAAAAAATAAGATAGGAATTTAAAGTAGGAATTCCCCATAGCTTGTGGTTAGTGATAAATAAACCACAAAATGTACACTGTTGTCTTTCAGCTTTTATTGGCTAGTATTCCATCATATATTAGTTTTCATAGTATGGAATTTTAAGGCTTTCGCTCTGGCCTGTTCTGAGGCCCATGTCACCGCCATCAAGGGGAACGTTTTGTTTTTTAAACGTTCCCAAAGATTTGTTTCTGGTTTGCTAGCCTAGTTCAGGCCATCTCCAGCATTCTAATCTGGCTGAAGTCCCAAAAGGAATTGTAAATCGCACCTTCCCAGATATTCCTTCCTCAGGTATGTGTAGTTGTTAGAGAGCCTCTTTTCAAAGCTAATGTGTTTGTCAAAGCAACCCACTGTCTCATGTGATCTTTATTATGGCCTACCAAAAAAAAGGGGCTCTGTGCAGTTGACTCTAGTGTACTGTCTTCATACGAGACAAATGTTTAACATGCATAGGACTGCACTGTATCACCCACACCTTCCACATTTGTGCTGTAACGTTCACAACCTCACTGCAGAGGCAGAAAAGCGGCGGAGGCGACAACAATGTATTAATTGCTTCCCTTTTTGTTCTGCACTCCCTGCAGATCTACCTCCAAGGCAACAGTTTTGTTGCACCGATACTGTAATTTCTGAGCAACCAAAGTGCGGTATTTTTCTACTTGGGGAAGCACATTTATTTCTTGCTGTACAGAATGTCAGAAGCACCTCTTGCCTAATGTCTGTTGATCAAGTTATTGAAGGCAACACGCCCTCTGTGCCCTACCACTGCTCCCCTGAGGTTGCTGCTGCTTCTGAATGAGCATTCGTTTTCTGTTTTTCATTGTTGCCAACACAGCTGGCAGTTTAGGCGAAAAAGAGGCCATCCTTCCACAGCAAAGTTTTCTCCTCTCCAGCAGGTCTCTGCTTCCACATTCCCCAGTCTGTTAAGTCCCTGCAAAATCATTTGCTGAGAATGGTGCAGTGGATGGAGTAGGCCTATTAAAGCAACAGGGTTTCACTTAATCAAGACTGTTTTAAGTCCCATTGATTTCTGTGGTTTAGCATCGTTATGTCTGGATCGAATCCCGCATTTGAGCAGTTGTCCTGAAAAGCTCGAAATGGGAAAGATGGTTCACGCTGTTTAATACCTCTGTACATGCATGTACGCAAAGGTGTGGGGCGGGGGGAAAGAGGCTACTATGAACTACCCTCTTCATGCAGAGAAGCAACAGCTATTTCTCAACAACAACAAAATGTGCTGTTTTCATCAGTCCTAATATAATAGCTACCTGTTCTATAGCGTTTTTAAGACTTTTGAAAGTGCTTCATTGGCGCTACCCATACAACAATATAAATTTTTGGGATCGCAGTAGTGTGCACTGAGGCTGAAAGATAGTGGGATTGCCTAAAAATCTATGGCCCTGGTGAGCTTTGACCTGGGTGCTTTGCAGCTCATTCTCTGGAAGTAAGAAAACCTCTAAAGCTAGAGAAATATGGACAGGGTGGATTTCTTCCCACCCCCCAAGGCTTCTCTATCTTTAGAATGTGCCTTTGAAGGAGAGAAAGAAAAAAGCACAAGTGGAGGGCAAAAAGGGAAACATGTGATATTAATTACTAAAATAAATATATTATCAGAGGCATCATCTCTGACTTGCAGCAGAAGAAAAATGAAAATCAGCAGCTCGTCTAAGAGCTTTTCTTTGCCCTAACATTTGGTATCAAGAAATGAAAAGAAAGCAGTGAAAGACCATGGGCATAACCTCACCCACCCTAGATTCAGTTGGGGTGTGTGTGTGTGTCATGTCAAGCTCTCCTTTAAGTGAAATGTCTCCACTGGGTACCAGTGTTTTCTGCCACTATAAAGCAAACAAAACAGAGGGAATGCTGAAGATAGAGATACACACTAGAGCTCTGATATCTGTTGACAGTTGAAAAGCACCAAAAATATGCCCACATCTTACAGCCATTGTCAAAGCAATAAACTTGACGCTAAAGTCGTGCTGCATAAGCAAAGATCAAGAGCAACGTTCTGTTTTCTATTCTCCTTAATATATATATTTTTCTGGGCTATGGATCTTTATTCACAAAGTGTCAGAAACAATCCCCACTTGTTTCTCAACTGCTGAGATAAAGGTAAAGGTAAAGGTACCCCTGCCCGTACGGGCCAGTCTTGCCAGACTCTAGGGTTGTGCGCTCATCTCACTCTATAGGCCGGGAGCCAGCGCTGTCTGCAGACACTTCCGGGTCACGTGGCCAGCGTGACAAGTTGCATCTGGCGAGCCAGCGCAGCGCACGGAAACGCCGTTTACCTTCCCGCTATAAAGCGGTCCCTATTTATCTACTTGCACCCGGGGGTGCTTTCGAACTGCTAGGTTGGCAGGCGCTGGGACTGAATGACGGGAGCGCACCCCGCTGCGGGGATTCGAACCGCCGACCATGCGATTGGCAGGTCCTAGGCGCTGAGGTTTTACCCACAGCGCCACCCGCGTCCCACTGATATGCTGATATGGCTTGCAATCTAAGATACAGTGACATGTTAATGAAGTTCACAGAAGGAATGTTTCCTACCCCTTCTCTCTCTGCAGCCTCTTCTAAGAGTTGGGTGTGGGGTCCTGAACAATGTGGGATACAGCACAAGGGGTTGCTAGTGGAAGTTGGAGTGGGGAATTGTCCAAAATTGAATGGAGGCACACCCAAGCTTGGGCCCTTGTCTTCTTTTCCAGCAGCTCCCTTCACCCCAACCCAGATTTGTTCAGGAGGGCCACTGATCCTCTGGAGAGACTTTCTGGGAAATGGGGATAGGGGCTGCAGTGGAGAGAATGGAAGCGAACATTTCCTTTGACGACCTTACTTATGTTTACCTTAATCTTAGCAATTAATAATAATAATAATAATAATAATAATAATAATAATAAATTATTTGTACCCCGCCCATCTGGCTGGGTATCCCCAGCCACTCTGGGCGGCTTCCAACAAAGATTAAAAATACATTAAAATGTCACACATTAAAAACTTCCCTGAACAGGGCTGCCTTCAGATGTCTTCTAAATGTCAGGTAGTTGTTTATCTCTTTGACATCTGATGGGACGGCGTTCCACAGGGTGGGCGCCACTACCGAGAAGGCCCTCTGCCAATTAATGTAATAATTGAAATGGATAACTTCAAGGAATATCCACACACATACCACATTGCTCATAGCACTGAGAAATAAACATCCAGATTAGGAATTTTCAGTCTCTTCCACTCTTGTAGCTGGTTAATGTAAAGTGTTTCCTTATTAACAGAGGCCCTTAAATAATTGTCCCTTCAGCTTGGCTGTAGCTTTGCCAGCTGTAATGACTCTTGCCTGGTATTCAGCCCAGAATATTCATTTCACCAACAGAAATTGGTGTTAATTTTCCATTCTGGAAACCTGGATTACACACAGTGACTTTTTCTTTAATAGGAGTGTAGAGGGGGTTAGGGGCAGAGTGTCCCAGATGATGAATGGGAAGAAGACAATAGCCTCCCCTCCTCAGCTGACCAGACAGCTGTCTCTTTGTGTTCTATGCCTGGGTGTATGCAAGAGGGTGGTGTGGTTGCACCCACCACTGGTATCTGGCCTTGGAGGATTGGCCCAAGGGTGAATGTTGTCCTCAAGTCACCTCAGGACTAGAAGGGCCTTCCTTGGCAAGGAGATCCAGAGTTTGAGGGCAATCAATGAGAAGACCACCTATCAAATTCCTACCCAAACACTTCAGGTGTTGATGGAACAGAAAGAAGAGGCTCTCTCAGAGTTCTTACAACCCAGACAGGCTTGCATGGGAGAGCACAATCTTTTAGATAACCTTAGAAGTGGTGCACTTGGGTCCAGAAAGCAAAATGAGCTTTGCCCTGTATTTACATGCTCAGTCTGAGAGCTGGCCTGAAGGGAGTTATACTGCAGAGTCCCAACTCATATGTTCTTTAATAGCATTCCATTTTTTAAGTAGCTGTTCCTGGTTCCATTTATGATAATATTTTAGTAGAAGAGGGTGGCTAATAAAAATGGGTAGTTATATGAACATTGGAAATTATGGCAGTAATGCACTTTTTAAAATAGCTTTTCCAAGCCGTAGCATAAACTAGCTTAGACAGTTGACATTAGAGCTGAAATAACATATATCATGTGCTGCCACGATGAAGCATATATGAGCAGTGAGGAACAGATCTCTGCAAGGCCTGCTGCACAGCACAAGATAATATTTTATTTCATCTTTCCACCTATCAGAAATATATATTTTTCATGAATGTACACAGGTCTTTTTCACTCGACTATTTATGCTCAACAGAGAGTATACAGCTACATTTATTTATTTTGTGTCAGAGGGAGATATCAATTGTTTGTTATTTCTGTTCATTGCAAATTTAAGTAATATCTAATGTACAATTCCCTGATTTATTGATTGACATTTGAGTCAGAGGTACATGTTTGGAGAAAATTGTGAATCTTACCCTGTGAAAGCTCTCAGAACAGTGGTATAGGTGTGGTCCTGAATTATCCCTCCCTCCAAAGTTTCAGAGTCAGTGTTCAATAAATGGTATAGGATATGACTCCCCCCCAAAAAAATATGTTGGTCTGAGGCACCAGCTGTCTTTGATGGACTGGCATGCTTGCTTATGAGAATATCCAGTGAGAACAAAGGCTGTGATGTTCTCATATCGAATTTAATTATCACATGATGGTAACTGCCAATGAGACCTGGCAGAGAGTTGATATAGAACAAATGGAAACATTTTCTCCATTAACATGAAGCTCGGGAATATTGAATGTCTGTTTCTTTCATACTGGTAAGTAAGGTTTTCAGTTTAAATGCAGACATCATGATAATTGCATCCAGACCTATATATTTTGGCTTCATATACTTCAACAAGACTTGCTCCTTGTGTAGTATTCCAGCCCCAGTTAAATTACGCTAGGATGATTTAGTAAGATGGCCATTAAAAGCAACAGCTAAAACAATTTTAGAATAATTAGCTTTTATTTGGCTAGGTTGAATAGTGCTAGGTTGTTTTATTTGGCAATTAGAAGGAGCAGGTTATTAAAAAGCACCTAATCTATGAACATTTATATCCGCATGTTAAAATGATACTGTAGATAAAACATGTTAATAAAAGTATATTTTTCCTAATGCATTGTGGGATAATGAGCTGCATTGGAGTTTGTTAGATGATGGTAGTTGTTTTTTTAAAATGCAGAGTGCTGTTGTAGCTTGACTAATGAAAACAGTTTCCCATGAATATTAAATAAGTAAATGGAGGCCATGGAAGAACCGGGCCTGGGTCCGGTGTGTGTGTGTGTGTGTGTGTGTGTGTGTGTGTGTGTGTGTTTCTGTAGAATCCAAGTATGTAATAGCACTTCTAAGCTTAACCATCCAACCAACCATGGCAGCCGATATGTTCTGTGTAAACTTATTCTATAGGACCTTTAGAAGGAGGCTTTGGTTTAGCACAGGGCTTTATGGGGTGGGGGGATGAATGGAGAGCTGATAGAATTTTACATGCAGGGCTGAGTAAGTGCAGGAAAGCCACAGTAAGCTAGTGGGCACCAAACCCAGGTTCTTGAGAATCTCAGCTTTTGTTTATCTTTCTCCATTTTAAAAACGAAGTCTTTAGCCCTTATGGTGATGAATATACACTTGAAAGAGTGCAGTGCTAACTAGGGGTGGCAGCAGGGGGTTTCTTGCCAACTCTACAGCCCTGCTGGCCAGGGTGGAACATGGATGGAGGTGGTGGTAGTTCTCCAGTGTCTTGTGGTGCCAACTCCAGGCTAGTGAAGCAGAGGGGCCTGGATTAAACCCTTTACTAGGAAATGGGATGGCGGTTTTATCCTACCCATGACTTATGATAACTTATGTCAGCAGCAACACTGCTGGTGGGCAGGGTGTGCATTTCTTTCCACTGTCACAGATCAGGGGTTAGCATTGCTCTGAAGATCTGTGAGCAAAGTCTGCAGAAACACCGTAAAACTGAATCAGGTGTTGAATTTCTAGTGTGGTGGAGGTTGAAGCTGCAGTCTCGGGGAGAATCTGCTGCGGATTTTCACTGTATATGTAGGTTTGCTCTCTGTGCAGCTTGAGAAAATCCCCGTTAAAGTGTTGAATATGCTTGTATGGAACTCAGTTGTGTAGGCAGATACAAGATGAAGCCAAAGAACATCGGTGTTAACGTTTCCTGCCTTTCATGCAACATGTAGCTCTTTGGATGAGTGACACTTGGCAAGAAACTGACAGCTAGAGAGTTTATTCGGAAAGAATGTATGGCTTTGCTAGGACCTAAAGTACCACAGCAGTGATTAAGTGATTACTCCAGACATCATGCACTGACGGAGTGCCAAGACCTGACAGGTGCCAGGTTGTAATCACAATGTAAACAGCTGCGAAACTAGCACATCTTCGCTTGTTGTTGCAAAGATGTCGGCTTTCTTAGTGCATCTATTAACCTCAGAAAAGGTAGAAGGACAGGTGCTCGAGAGGATGCAGAAATACTGGGAATTACTGTATTCCAATCCTTTTCTCATAGCATAAAGGCCTTTGAGTTTGTCACACAACTGAATAAAAATAATCCAACTGAATCCAGATCTGTTGTATATCGCACCAGTTAACAGTTCTACTGAAATGTCTTCTAACCCTTCCAACTATGATTCCATGGTATGATATGAAGCTAACTTTGTTAATTTGTCCATGACACTAATACGAACATTTTGCAGCAACTGAAACGCTGATGAAAGACTGAAATTCTGCTGCTGTTATTATTTTGTTGTGTTGTTGTCATTATTAATAATGAGACTGCTTGGGTATCTTCACAGGTGATGGCAGAGAACGGATGGAAAATCAGTTTTTGTTAATAGCCAAATATCTTCTCTTTGCAGGTATAACACCTTACCAAGCAGAAGAACACTTAAAAATTCAAGATTAGTGAGTAAAAAGGATGATGTCCATGTCTGCATCATGTGTTTACGTGCCATCATGAATTACCAGGTAACGAAACTTTAGTTCTTTTGGTAACTTATTTCAATGGGATGGATTGTGTTCCTTCCCTCAGTAAAGGAAGCAAGTGTCCATGCTTATAAAAATGTAGTGGGCTGAGTCATATGGGCACAAAATATTATGTAAAGCACTATAACTGAAAGCTTTGGAGAGAAAACAAAAATAGTGGTTATCCCTGTGACTCCCACTACTGATAATTAATAAAGGCTTGTCTCTAAGTCATACTCATAGTAGATTGAAATAAATAGATGTAGGTTTTTCATGTCCATTGATTTAATTGGGCCTACTAGGAGTATGACATAGTAATATAAAACATGGCAGATCAACCAAGCATTCTGCAACTGAAACTGGGTAAAAAAGTTGGCATTAATTCCTGACATGGTCAGGATGCATTCTTGGTGGTGTTAATAGTCAATTGGTAGGGGGAAACAAAGCAGACTTGGATTGACCCTGAGCTGAATTGGACAACCTACAAACTGCTTTGGATTAAGGTGGGTTGCTATCTAAACACCAAATCAGAATTCAGACTGAATCTTGTGGTCTGAATGTATAGGATTGCCACGTGTCCTCTTTTTCCATGACAAGTCCTCTTTTTCAAGGTAAAATTTCTTTCCGGGAAGATTTTTTAAATTTGCCAAAATATCTCTGGCTATACTTTCTGGCTGAGACATAGACTTAACTGGTGGTTGAAGACTTGTTTTCCTCTTCTCCTGCCCCCCTCAGCAATATATCACAGTCTCTATAGCCTACCTATAGTAGGGGTATTTAAAATGAGAGTCGTCATAGTGTCCTCTTTTTTGCTTCTCAAAATATGGCAACCCTAACATCATATAGATACACTTGCCGAAAAGCCTGGATTGGCTCTAATTCCCAGTTTAATTCAGTTACATTCAGTAGCAAACTTGCGCTCACTATCAAGAAATGAGTGAAGTTGCCCAGGTTTGTGGATTTTTAATAAAGATAATAATGCATTCCAAACACTGAACTCTTATTTCCAATTTCTATTTTAGTACGGGTTCAATATGGTCATGTCGCACCCCCATGCTGTTAACGAAATTGCACTAAGCCTGAACAACAAGAATCCCAGGTAAAAGGCTCCTCTTTTGTGTTGGAAATTTTGTGTGTGGCGATGATTAGTTTTTCCTGCTTGAAGTTGCTCTGCGAGAAACCCTTCATTTGCATATGCTACAGTCCCTGATTAATTCCTCCTTCAGCTGGTTTGCTTTAATCTAAAGTTGCCATCGCTTAACTTGACACAAACAACTCTATGACCCGCAGAGGTACTGAGCATTTGCAACATCTTGCTTGAAGCTAATAGCAGGGTCATTCTTTTGAAGCAGCAGCTGAATATTAAAGAAATATTATTCTCAGATGCCGTCACATCCATCTTGCGAAAGCTGAGTCATCACATTGCTCTAATTGATTTCTCTCTTCCTTTGCGCAGAACAAAGGCGCTGGTCTTAGAACTGTTGGCAGCAGTTTGTCTTGTAAGAGGAGGGCACGAAATCATTTTGTCTGCCTTTGATAATTTTAAAGAGGTAGGTTGCTCTTGTTTCATCAGAGATTGCCATGTGCCTTGCACAGCTGCTTTGGATAAGGTCTGCTGGAGCTCAGCGGCTCATCTTTATTTCATGAGGCCCAGCCTGAGACTAATATAGCTGTTCATACATGTGCATCATGGGGACACATTTCAGCATGCTTATCTCACGCTGCTTCTAGTGTGGTGAACATTAGCCTCCATGTGCAAATTAGTTTGTGACACTAGTTCACACTGAATCTAGAAGCAGGATCCTAATTAATGTCAGATCGCCGTGGTTCATACTACATAGTATCAGCATCAAGCTTTTATTTTGGTCACAGACCAGCATAAGATAAAACTTACGGATAAAGTGAACACTTAAGACTTAAAACAAGTAAGGGATAAAAACTGGTAGTTAGAAGGTGATTATATCATACATAACTTAAAAAGATAAAAACGAGGACAAATGGTTAAAAGCAATTATAAAGAAGGGAGTGTGAAGGAGCACAGGTCTTGCATTTTGGGCCTATAATACATAACATTGGCTCACAACCCCTTGCAATGCAGGAATATGCAGCAGTCCCATATGGTGATCTAACTTGCAACCTTGGCCATTATCAGCACCATGCTGCAACTGAGCCAGACCCTACAATTCCATGACTCTAAGCAGTCTTATCTATTTCTCCAACCTTGCAAATAAAATCCTTGACCCATCTGACGGATCTTTCCTCTGCACTGCTCCCTCCCTCCCCCCTCCTTTCTTTCCACCTCCCTCTCCCTCTCCCTTATTTTGCCCCACTTCCTTCACTGGTAGGGATTTTATTTTCAAAACAAGCCAACATGTTTTGCCCCACTGTTGTTTAAAAACCTTCAGAGGTCAAATTGACAAAAACAGCCCACAGAGTTCTCGGGTAAATATCTCTCTCATTCACATTAGCTGTCGCCAGTTAAATGATAATTGGCCAAAACACATTGGGCTGTTTTGTATATAAAATCCACATATTTTTAGCACATTGAGTTATGTTTCTTTTAATTTGGGGGTCTGTAGTCCATAGACATCTGGAGGGCCCCAGGTTTCCCATCCCAGGTCTAAACAGATCAACCTAATTAGCAGGTAACATTGTGAAACATATACTTTACCATTTTATTATTAAATTTTCTGTAGAATTGTGAACTTGGAAGCCCTCTATGGAGATAGTAGTAGGACATTGACTGGTCCATAGATGGCTGTGGAGTCACAGAGAAGCATGAGGGATGTAGTAGTGTGAGTAGAACCCCTCCCCCCCCACCAGTGCTTTTGTAGTAAGAAATGGAAATATCTGGAAAATACACACAAAAACATTAAACAGTGTGATGTCCAGTGGAACTGTGACTGAACTTGAGCAGCTGCTGACCGAGCAAGATGCTTCCCCAGCTCTCTTGCATCCATCCAAGAAATACACATTTAAAATTTATTTCCTCCATTTTTATCCCTCTCTTCGAACTCGAAGGGTTCCCAGAACTGCATGCAATTGAGAGTTGCACTAAATAATTATAGTGTGTAGTTATTATAGGGTATAGTAATAGGCAATAATTTTGAACGGGCAGAACAGTAAAACCAACTATTAGAGCCAGAGCCAAGTTAAGTTTAAGACTGTTAAAACAGTGGCTAAAAAAAATATAAAAAAATTTAAAGTCATAAATGCAGGCCAAACTCAACACACACACACACACACACACACACACACACACACACCACTCAATCCAGGATCATTTCAAAAATGGAGGGTAAACTAGAGTCTTCAGTCTAAGGAGGGAGTACTCTGTGACAACTTCCTGTCAAATTGCCTTTTAAGAATGAAGACAGAAGCTGCTCATTCCCTTTTGTGGGACATAGAGGTCTGAGCTAGGTAGGGAGTATGTGAATTGGTGAGTGGAAAGGAGGTGTGTGTTTGAGGCTGTGCCTGAATGCTGTGGGGAGGAGGTATAAGAGGCGAATGTGCGAGAGAGATTAGAGTTCTTCTCTGCTGCCGTTTGTTGTTTCCATTCGGGGCAGAAGGACCTCCTGTGATCTCATTAGCGAATTGTGACAAAGGCTTGAATCTGCAGCATATTTCCATTTTTAAGATAGGCACACACACACACACACTTGGTTTTTGCTAAGTTCAGGCAGCAGTGCATAAGGAATACATTCCTTTTGGAATGCATCTGAGAACCGAGCTGTCGTGGCTCATATAAAAATAATGATTCACCTGTTTCAAAGGATATAGAAGAGCCTTTGGCGCTAAAGGGATTTTTTGTGCTTTCTGTTTTGTCTGCTCTTGTTTCCTATACTGTTCTTTCATTTTAGTGCAATCCTCACCATATCTACGCAGATATTATTCGCACTGTATTCAATGGGTCTTAACTCCCAGGGCAGTGGAATTAGGATTGTAGCCTTAGTTGTCCTTGAGAAGAGCTATGCTTCATCCAGTTTGAATACCAGCATGCTCTTTCCCCCAGTTCCAGGCTTAATAAATGACGTTCATTACAATCCCAGCACATTGTTTGGCCACTGTGTGTCAAAAGAAAGTTCCCCTGCACTGCATTAAAATGATATATGAAGGTCTGTTATCTGATATTTACGAGCAGCTAAATGGGACAGGAAGTCAGGCAGACATATTGAGCTGGTTCCAGTAGTTTAATCTAGTTTAATCCAGCCTCTAAAACATCCTGGGATACCAAGTTTACAGATATATTGCAGTTACATTAAAACTGGAGTATGGGTTGATCTTCATTTTTTAAAATTTAATTTTTATCATCATTATTTTGTACAGAACAACTCTTCTGAAGAGCAGCTATACAATATAAATGGATGGATGAGTCGGGATTGTTAGCATTCTCTTCAGTTTAAGGGAGGCTGTATTTCTCTCTTTGTGTTATATGGGATCAAATTGGGTTTTATTTATAAGAAATGAATTGTAGCTACCATCCGTCATGCACTAAATTGTCTGACAGTCATATTTCAGACTTAACTCTCTCCCCCCCCCACTTCCAAGTTGGTTTGTTTGCTTATCATGTTATATCTCACCCTTCCTCCCGAAGGAGCCCAGGGTGGCAAACAACAAAACCACAAAATAACACAATTAAATTTAAAAAATTTAAAAATATTTGAAAACATTTAAAAGCATCCAGATATCCTAAACAGCAAATGATTTCCAGATTACCAGGAACAGTATCTTCCAGACATCAAATGCCTGGATAAGCAGGGATGCTTTTAAATTCTTCCTGAATGTTAATACTAAAGGCAGACAGGCTCATCTCTCTAGGGAAGGCTTTCTGTAAATGGGGAACTGCTACCGAGAAGGCCCTGTTGTGGACCAGCCTAATGCAGTCTCACAAATTGAAAGCTTGAAGAGAGCTCTACTTGTAGAAGGGGCATGCTTAATTCTGCCACTTTTATTTGGGAGGAAAAGCAGCCATACAGAAATCAATGTCTGCACTCTTATTTGCCCCCAAAGTGCAGATGGAAGGGAGTATTTATGGTCAGGAAACCAGATCAATGCCAACACAAATCAAGAATGTGGCCCTGGATTGGGGCTTCATAGGGCTGAATTCTTTTCAGAAAAACCAGTGATGGTGTTAAACATGCGTTTTTAAAACCTGTGATTGAAAGGACTGGTGAAAATGCACCTCATCATGTTCCTTGGTTAGTCTGGCCGAGGCTACAATTCTAAATATGCTCACTTGGAGAAAAAAATCCATTGAAATCAATGGGGCTTACCAACAAGTAAATGCAGTGTTATGGCATCAGAATTTTGGGCCTCTGATAGAAAGCTGTGAAGGATTTATTGTTATTGTTATTATTGTTGTTATTATTACTTTTTAGTGAGCTTGAGGATCAGTGCTTGGCAAGTGAACTGTGGCTGTTTATTTTTCATTACTTTCCCTCCTGCAGGGTCCATTGTTGAACCCCAGACTCTTACAGAGATTAATAGAGGTTCAAATTTATGTATCGTAACTCAGGAGGAGAATTTTATTGCAAATAAGAAGCCAGTTTCATTCTTACTGGTCAATTCAGCTATTTAATTTTATAAGTAACAGCAGGACGTGTTGGAAAACATGAGCCAATCGTCTTTGCCTGGAGATGTAATCTGTAAATGATGTTAGCCCTCGTGGTGTGTGTATTATTTTTATTCCAAAGTATTTTCAGCCTAGTAAACATTAAAACAACCATTTACTTAAACAGAAACTTGCAAGAAAACTGGTCTTTTGTTCCCCCAACAATCTGTAAGCTCGCAATGCCAGTCTGGAAGAAACACCCTCCCAAAATAGTACTACCCTGGAGTGAAATGGGTTGATTACACTAGACCATTGTACTAAGAAGAAAAAGAAGTCATTGTGACCTCTGGGTAGTGGGAGAAAAAGAAAGAAAGCAGAACAATTAAGAGAGTGTGACTTGAAGGTTTAAACGCATAAGCATATTAAAAGTTAGATCATATTCATGGTTGCCTCCTGATTCCCCTGCCTTAAGGAGTTCACTCTGAATTGAATTCTGTGTCTTATTCTCGCATTTTCACTTAACTCAAAAGTTCAGCAGAGTCCCAGGGCTTGATCTGCCTGTTCCAGTTGCCAATTGGCAAATGTTCCACAAATTTTAGAGCAGCTTGCCAGATGGATTGCCCTGATTGTGTAGAGAATTTCTGTGCCACCATCAGAAATCCCTAGCAGTGACTGGGATGAGCCACAGTTGTCCACCTGATCGGAGCTCCTGTGAGCTCCGGCTGAAAAAAAGAAAACCCTGGTCTAACGCAGAAGACCCCTCCTGCCTCAGTTCTTAGGGCCTTCACCAAGACTGTGGTCTAAGCTCTGCTTCCTCTGTAGTGCGAATGGGGAAAGTTTTGCCCTGCAGATGCTGGTCAGCTCTAACTTCCAACACCGCTAGCAAGCCTGACCAATTGCCAGGGTTAATGGGAGCTGTAGTTCAGCAGTATTTGGAGGGTCCAATGGTCTCCACACCTGCTGTAGTATTAACAATATGATTGACTCTGACATGGTCAATTATTATTTTAATAGGACATGATTGAAGGATCCTAAGTAAGTCTAGGCCTACATGCTGTTCATTTGGTATCACACAAATCATACATGCTGCAGCAAGATCAATGATCATAATGAGCTTATGCTAATGGCAAAGCTTTCCACTAGGTTTACCACCTTTTTTTTTTTTTTTTTTACAGCTCCTGCTTCTATACCTTTCAGAGCAACCTAACCTGTTATAATTATACTGGTGAACAGTTTCCCTGTCATAGTTTCAGTGGTTTAATTTCTCTGTGTTAAGGTGTTGTTAAAACCCAAAGGAGCAAAGCAATGAAAAAGTTGCTGTTATGAGGATTAACTTGCCTTTGTAGATGCAAGAGCAAATAAAAGAGGTGCCAAATTTGGTTACTAAACAGGACCCCACCCCTGTTAAATTAAATAGTGATTTTCCATGTTCTTTTGTATTTTAGAAGCTTATAGTGGTTAGGGTTGCCATATTTCACAACAGTGAAAATCCGGACAGAAAAGTTGTTGAACTTCTTTGGGCAAAGTTGTTGAGCTGTTTTTGGCAACATCACAAAAGAAAACAAACGTTTTCGAGCTATTTTAAAGGAAAATCGCCAAAGGCGACACTGGGTTGCCATATGTCTGGATTTTCATGGACATTTTAGCAATTTCTGCCCAGACACTGCTTCTGACTGCAGTATTCTGGATATGTGGTATCAGAATATCTACTTGACTAGTTCAGAACTTCCATTTAAAGCCAAGAGGTATTCAGCGGTGTTTTTAGTACTCCCTCTAGTGTACAGATGTATAACGGAACCTCTCTGCAATTCCTTTCCAGGTTTGTGGGGAAAAGCAGAGGTTTGAGAAGCTGATGGAACATTTTCGAAATGAAGATAACAATATAGATTTCATGGTGAGTGTTGTATGTGTCACCTTATGTCACTTTGGATCATTGTTATTGTTTACTTTTAAGTGTATATTTTGCGTATAAATTGGGGGTTTCAAAACTTTCTGCAGTGGGCCTACCTAAAGAGGAAAAAGAATTTTTCAGCTTTACCCAGATTAACAAAGACAAAATGAATATGGTTTTGATGCATAAGTATTCAGCATGAGCAGTCCTTTGCAGCAGCACATACCACTCCATCCATGAGAGTCTCCTGCACCTCATGATCACTTTTTGGGAGGGCTGCAGTGGGGAGAACAGAAGGGAAAGCCTGGTCTATAAGCACCATTCTGAGGACCCAAGCTTATGGGCCCACTTGCAATGCTAACCCTCATTTCTAGGGCCATGAACAATGGGGCTCCAAGGCAAAGACCGTGTGGGAAATGCAATAGGCATGAGCAATAGGAGTTGTTTCATTGCTCCCCAAGCAGTGCTGCATGCAACACACTCTTTTTTACTTAATCATAGGATATATTTCCTTGGTGATCTCTGTGTTTCTTTGCTGTGTGTCCTAATGGGAAAGCTTGATTGGCTCCAGTTATCGGTCCTAGGCTGCAGTTTTGAAAATTTTAGGATTCAGAAAAAGTGTGTAAGCCAGGGGTAACCAATATGTTCATCCAGATGTTGATGAACTACAGTGCCTGTCATCGCTTCCCATTGGCTGTGCTTACTGTGACTGATGGGACTTGTAGTCCACAAGTTGTGGAAAGCACCATGTTGATTACCCCAACTTAAAAAGTCACCAACTTAAAAAGTGATACTGCCATGGTCTGGGAAGGCTTATTTTAAAGTAAGGAACAGTGTTAACTGAGAGGGGAAATGAAGTAAATATTTGCCGTCTACAGCATGCTTATGCCTCATGAACCAAAGCATAGATGGGGAAGTGGCATGCTATTCCTCTTCCTGTTCTACAGACAAATGTTCCACTTCCATTTTACCAGTTTCCTTGTTCCTAGTTTAGTCACTGATCCCCACATCCCCTTTTACTGAGAGAGAAAATAGACACTGAGAACAGACAGCGCAAGTGAACTATATGTTCCAGCATGAAATTAAAAGGCCACAAGATAAGTTTGGTCACTGAACCCATCTGTGCTCTCTTACCACATAGAAATTTATATGAAGGCACCAGGGTTTAGCACTTTGAAAGGGTATTCTCTGGTGTGAGAAGACCAACTTTGGATCATTTAGGCAATGCAATACTTTAAAAATTCTAGATGTTACTAATAAGGAAAGGCTGGTGTTTGGCAGCAGAAGCTACTCCTCTTTCTCACAAGGAAGGAGCATGTGTGTGCAAGGGAGCAAGGCACGTTTGTCCTAGAATCCTCTCTAATCTCCTGCGCTGACCATCACTGAGCAAGGATCCCTTCATCAGTGTTCCAAAGCAAAAGAGAGTATGTGAACCAGCCCTTGTATAAATTAAGAATACAAGATTAGTTGAATCACCTAGTCCAGCACCCTACTTTCCACACTGGCCACCCAGATGCTTCTGAAAAGTCCACTAACACAGAATACCAGCAGTCCTTCCTGACTTCATATCCTCTTCCAGCTGGCATTCAGAGGTTTATTGCACCTGAATCTGGAGAATCTATTCCCCTGTGAGCCATGTTTGACAGGTGGACGGGGCTTTCCACCTGTTAATCACAATGACACCAGGTGCCTGTGCGGATGGTCAGCTGATTGTCACTTGCCAAGTGTTGTGTGTAGTGCACAGGCCCTGACAACCAACTGATTGTCGGGGCTTCCAGAGTGCTATGCAAATCCCCTTTGGCTCAGCTTTGTCTTTTCCTCCCTGCATCTGACATCATCAGTTGTAGGGGCAGGATGGCATGGCTTGGTCAATCAAACTCTAAGGCCAAATGGGGAGACCTGGTGGTCCCAAGTAGGTGGAGATGGCAGGGCTGGCTTGCTGTCAGATTTATCCCTAAGTACTTCCCTCGAAAGAGGTGGCTTCTCACCGGCAGGTGAAAAACATCTGAGCCACCTCAGCTGGCAGTGACATTGAGCTTGGGATATCCCATGACACTTAGGTGTGCTATTCTCTTGACCGCACACTCAGCCTTCCCCTGGATCTAAGACTCCTCTTGGGATTCCTGATCACCACCCCCAGCTCATTAGGACCTTTCCCCCGGGTTGAACTCCTCCAGCCCCCCCTTCTCCACCCCCCCTTCTCCACAAGACTCATGATAGACTGTTGTACTAACTCAAGTACCCTTTTTATGCATGGTCATATGATATAGCGTGCCTTTATAAACCATGTAAACTGCTTGCAAAAGGGAAGTAAGAGATTTTAAAAAACCCCCACTGTAGAATATTTTTAACTTTTTTGGGCAGCTAACAGACTGATCATCTGCAAGGAGGAGAAAGTGGCGACGTCTAGTTGACTCACCAGCCACAGGGCTCTTTCTGTCATGAATAAAGCCCACAAGTTCAGACTGTGAGCACAAGTGGTTAGTTTCAGTGAAGAGGATGGAGGGGAACATAGGAAGTGGTCTTGCAGTAAGTCAGCTGGTCCATCTAGCTCTGGTTTGGCTGCACTGACTGGCAGAAGCTCCCTGCAGAGATCTCTGTGGATGCCAGGGATTTTGAATGATTGCATTTCCTCCAAGATTGGGCTTGAAAGGAAGGAGATAAGCAACGGTAGGGCCCGGGCACAGCACTTAGAGTTAGGGCTCATCCATTAGAGTGAATGGGACCCCGCCCCAACAGCCTCAGATCACACTCTGCCAACCCCCTCCTGCCTCCTCTTCCTTACTTACAACCAGTCCGGGACACTGGCTGCCAGCTTTTTCCTCCTTTGTCTGAACTCCTTTATGAAACTCAGAGGAGGATGGAATCAAACCTAGAGTTAGTTGGCTTCATCTGCCTTTGTCTCTGGCTCCACCTGGTGTTGGTCAGCCTGTCTCCCACCCTACCAATCCCAGTGGGCATCTGGTACCACTGCGTGGCAGAGACTCCAGAGAAACAAATCAAAGAACATCCCATTCTGATAGGCACCGAAGGTAAAAGATTCAGTGCAATAGAAAGCAATACATAGACAGGCAGGGATCACTGGTTTCGAGAGAGAGAGTTCATTGTGAGATGCAGTGCAGTTGCTCTGGGAAGAAGCTCTTCACCAGGCTTCCTCAACCTCAGCCCTCCAGATGTTTTGAGACTACAATTCCCATCATCCCTGACCACTGGTCCTGCTAGCTAGGTATCATGGGAGTTGTAGGCCAGAAACATCTGGAGGGCCGAGGTTGAGGAAGCCTGCTCTTCACCATCCTCCCCTTTTCAGGAGTTGTTGAAAGGCTGGGGACAATGAGATCTGACCAGTTAAATTAGTCCCAGCTGAACCTCAACTGTAGGTGCTTCAAGCAGAACTGGTTACTAAACCCTTCCCTGTCTTAGGGCAGAATAAACTGTCTGCCTTTTGCAAAATAGCAAGAAGCATTTTAAGAAGCATTTCTCCTTAGAGTGCACTTTTGAGATCTGTTTTTGCATTACATCTGGGAGTCAAGACTTTTGTTCATTGTGAATAAAGTTTTGGGTCATTTACATTAAGCCCCCACCTTCCCCCCAATGACATAAAATGAAATAATTATGCAGAAGGAGCCACTTGAGAATTAATGGCACATGGGCAAAAAGATCAGCTATGTCTGTTGCCATCTGGTGTTTAACAAAATCTGCATGTCGCTGGAAACCACCTGTGGGGCATGTGTTTCAAGAGGTTTGAGAGAGGAACTAGGTTGAGGAGGAAAAGAACCAGTGTCTGGTGGCCTTCCATGACTGGTTTCTGAGCCCGTCTGCATTGGGGGAACCATTTCTGTTCCTTGTATTTGCTGGTTGCTTATTAGCAGAACAGAAGCTATATTTGTCATAACAGTGTAAAAAAGGGTCAAGCAAGGCTCCACAGCACTTCTTGAAACTTGAGCAACTGAGACCTGACGTAAACAGAATGATCACTCTAAGCTGCTGACCTTTAACTTGACATGACACCTGGGCAGAAGAATGGGACCCCCCCCCAAAAAAAACTTTCTGGAATAAAGAAAAATTGAAAAGGCATTCCTAGACACTGTTAGTGTGTGAAGTGCCATTTTAAAATGATCCAGATATTTTGCTTCAGTAAACTATAGCTCATGATCCTTAAATATGTGCCCCATTCATGTGGAAATGAGTGTCAGAGCATCCATTTATTCAGTCCAAATAAATTGTTCTTGCAACGCTGGTTTGTATCAATCAGATTTTGGATTTGTAGCTGGAATGAAGGGAGAGAAGTAGAGATATTAATGATGGAAACTTTGTGAATTAGTGTCTGAAACCATTCCACCACATTTGGATCAGATAGTGTTTATATTTTCCACTGCTGTAGCTCGCTCTATCTATCTATCTATTCATCTATCCAGGAAGCAGGGAAAATGACTTCTAATGGGTGACTTCTTTTCAGTCTTCTGCTATTTGCTTGTGTTAATGCTACTCTCTCTCTCCCTGTCCCAGTTCACTGAATGTGTTTAGGCCAGACCTCTTGAAATGTTCAAAGTGCTGCGTTCTGCATACAGTACCATATTTGTCTGATTACAGTTCCCATTCTGAAATGCACACCATTCTAGGCACGACATATGCAATAATTGGTGAGAGGAATTGCCATTAAAGAAGAGCTTAAGTTTGCAGTATACTTTTTTTCCTGTTGGGAAAAAAAAATTGGGAGTGAGCCCAATGAATTCAGTCAGTGGGATTTACTTCTGAGTAGACATGTTGTAGGACATCTCCTCTTCTTCAAGACACATGCTTCTTACTCAGAAAACTTTATTTCTATTTTGTCAAGTATAATTCGTTCCCCACCTCCCACAAATTGTCAGGCATAATCTTGAGATGGTCTTAAGACATCCAGGTTGCACACAAGGCAGCAAACATTGCTGCACATGATTTGTCCCTGTGCAAAATGAAGGGTTAGCACTACCAGTTTCCATTTTTTGATGGTTCTTGTTTTACAGGTGGCGTGTATGCAGTTCATCAACATAGTGGTTCACTCAGTAGAGGACATGAATTTCAGAGTTCACCTCCAGTATGAATTTACTAAGCTAGGCCTGGATGAATACCTAGATGTGAGTACTGCCTGCTTTGGCTTGTTTTGTACTTGGATATGATTTTGCTGAGAATTCATTGTTACTTTCTGTGTTAAAAAAAGCGATAGGGAGTTCTTTGCTTTTACTTTACTTTTTTAAAAAAACCACACACAACAATTGCCAGACATTAGCCATACTAAAATAAAAAACTTCTCACAAAGACAATCCAATGAATAATCAACCACCATCAATACACCCTGATCCACTGCTTGAGATCTTTATGCAGGGGGGGAAATGAATGTTTCTCAGTTTTACCCACCTACCTTCCTCCCTTAGGGGTCACCCCTGGATGTTCTGAAGTATATCTTATATTTTCCCATGTCTTATACTTTTCCAGTATTTTATACTTTCCCCACAACGGGAGTGCAGCTCTCAGTCCCCAAAAGGTTGCCCACCCTGTTTGACCAATGTTTCCCATGCCAGTCTTTCCTTAGAAATGTCCATTCTGCCTTTAGTGCTCAACGAGCTAAATGCATGCTCCAGCTGCAAACGTCAGTGTCATGGGCTCTTTATATCAAGCTGTTCCTTGACTGCTCCGAGCCATGCCATCTTCAGAAAAAAGACCAAATTCTCTCACATGTTTCTGTTGACCGGTGCCTTGTGCTGCTGTTTTTTTTGCTTGCTGAACTTTTGAGGCTGCAACCGGTCCCAAATAATAGCCAGCCACAAACCTGGAAGAAGTCAGAAGGGGTTAGTAGAATCGCCTCTTAACGCTGCATTTTATGCACAGCGATCACCCACTTCCAATGCCAAGAAAATGTGAATGAAGCCAGATACTGTGCACACTTCTGGTGCGGTGACCTTTGCGCCAATGGAATGCTTCTGCCACAGTGCACCTCCACTGTGCTGACCTAACTGCTGAGACAACTGGATCCATTTCAGGAGTCCCGGCAGCTCAACACTCTCTCTGCTCCCCTGACTTCTCCTGCTCCCCACTTTCTCCTGCTCATTCTTTTGAGAAGCAGAGCGACATACACCGCTCAGACCAAAACTGTGCTGACTTTTGAGGATTCTATTCCTTCTGCATCCCTGTAGTTCAGTTGCGGGAATCATACAGTGGTTGCCTTCTTGGCAGCCGTGAGTTAACCACAATTGTGGAGCTAGAAGAAGCAAAGGATGACATGGGCGTAAGTGAGAAACTGCTGTCAAGAGGAATAAGAAACTTCAATTGCACACTTGAAATCCCCCACTCCAGTGTCACTATAATATTTCTAATTTCCGCTTTATTATGTCGTTACCCATTCCTCTCTCTGCACCCACACCCCTTGTCTTCCTTGAGTTTTGAACACATTTTTAGCGCTCAACATAGGAAGCTGCCTTATATGACCAAGTCAGTTATTTGGTCCATCTAGGTCTGTATTGTTTGCACTAACTAGCAATGACTCACCAGTCGCTCTGCTGGCCTGGAATTTCAGATGGAGGTGTGTGTGTCTTTCTCTGCCTTCCATAGAGAAGCGTATCAAGACCCAGTATTTCATCTAGCTCAGTATTGTCTATGCAGATTAGCACTGGCACTTCGGGGTTTCAGACACCAGGGATTGAACATGGGACCTTGTGCATCCAAAGCATGCACTTCATTACAGAGTTAGGACCCACCTCCTAGAATCCATAGACTTTATAATGGGACAGCTGAATTGTTTAGAAGGACAATGGGTTTTCTCAGTGCCATTTTTCTAGAAAAAGAGGTGCCAGAACTCTCCATGAACACCTCCCTTGTTCTCTCATAATGGCAATGGCGCCCATCTGAGAGGCGCCGGTACTCAATTCCAGTGAGTTCTGGCTGGGGAAAAAAAGCCCTGGGTTTTCTTAATCTACTCATTGCAGCCAACCTCCCAAAGGCAGGTTGAACTGTGATCTACAAAAACGTGGTTTGTTCTTCCAGTGATGTTCACCACGTGCAGCACGTAATTCTGACCCGGGAGTGGGGAGTGTCCAGTCTTGTGACTTAGAGCTGGAGCTTAGAGTCCCAAAATAACTAGCCAGTTCCTTTTCATCTCAGAAATGGGGATGTCCATAATTGGGTTTGAAAAGCCAATATGAGACTGCAGCTGATATGTAATGCTGTGTTGGTTAAATTGCTTTCTATAGAATGAAGTCTGGGCTTGATGTATTGTAATCACATTGTCTGAACGTTTGCGCCGATGCTGTGATATAAATTATAAAATAATACTGGCCTCTTAACATGAAGCAATGGGCTTTGGTTGGGCTTATACAGCAAAAGGAATATCTTTTTATTACTTTTTTCCTCTCGTACCTGCTATGAATTTGTGGGTACCAATTACAGTTCTTGTGTCCTATTTCTCCATCTTGAATTGTTTTTCATTCCTCTCTTCCCATGGTGCTCTATTATTAGGAACTTTTAACATGGAGACAGATTTTTTTTGTTGTTGCTTAGAATTCAGCTGTTCTTGCTGCTTTTTGGCTTTGTTCCATCGTATAACATAGTCAAGAGCTTCTTTCATGTATTCTGACAACAATACTTTGTGTTCCATATAATATGCTTCTCCTGGTGGTACAGTGCAGCATGGGGACTATTTTTCGTATTTAAACACTCACTTACTCACCATCCCAAGCTAACCCTTTTGAGTTATTTTCATTCAACCTTAGGCTAACAACCCCTCCCCGCTGGTAAGTTCAGTTCAACAAGAAAAACACTTTTGCTGGTATGGAAATGCCATAACAGCAGTGCTCTTAAAATTCCTTACACAGAGCCACCTTTTAAGTCAGGGTGAATAATGTGATGGGTATTTTAAAAAGTAACTCAAACAAATTGCTTTTTTGAGGGAGGGGGGAGGGTTGATGGTGATTTGGAGTAGATCACATTGCCAATATTACGCATTTAAAGTCCACAACTGAACAAGATGTGCATGATTGACCTTGTTATCCAGCAGAATCAATGGGAATTGGAGGAGGGAGAAAGAACACACCATGACAAGCTTCCACTCATGGTTTGTAACTTACCCTGGTATGACAACAACAGGAATGGTGACGGTGTGTGAAGCAGGGACTTCGGAGCACTGTGCACCCATTTTTTTATTAACTTATTATTATTACATTTTATTTATACCCCGCCCTCCCCAGCCAAGACCAGACTCAGGGCTGCTAACACCGGTATAAAAACAATTGATTGAAATACAGTGGTACCTCAGGTTACATATGCTTCAGGTTACATACGCTTCAGGTTACACACTCCGCTAACCCATAAATAGTGCTTCAGGTTAAGAACTTTGCTTCAGGATGAGAACAGAAATTGTACTCCAGCGGCACGGCAGCGGCAGGAGGCCCCATTAGCTAAAGTGGTGCTTCAGGTTAAGAACAGTTTCAGGTTAAGTACGGACCTCCAGAACGAATTAAGTACTTAACCCAAGGTACCACTGTACAACTTAAAAACAAGATTAAAATACAACATTAAAATGCAGCCTCATTTCAGTAGGAACTCAAATAAAAAACCTTTTTGGGGATGAAAACATCAAGTCTTCACCAAGGCCAGCTATCCAGACTGGTCCTACGTGGGCCAGAAAAAAGCCAGGGAAGTCCCCAAATAGGAGTTCCATCACAGAAGGAGAAAAGAAGAAAGGAAGAGGGGGAGGGGATCAATTTGATTCCAAGCCAAAGGCCAGGCGGAACAACTCTGTCTTACATTTGCTGCTCTTTCACGTTAAACCATAGTTTATTTTCAACTTACCTGAACCCAGAGGCCTGCATATATATTGCTTTTATTAGTAACAATGAAATCAACCATTTTAGCAACATGTGACTTATTTAGCGGTGCTAAACGATGCTGTGCCCCCTGCCCTATTTTGATCTTCCAGAAACTGAAACACACAGAAAGCGATAAGCTGCAGGTGCAGATTCAAGCTTATCTGGACAACGTGTTTGATGTGGGAGCTTTACTTGAAGATGCGGAAACCAAGAACGCTGCCTTGGAAAGAGTAGAAGAACTGGAAGAAAATATATCTCATGTTAGTATTGGCGCTTTAAAATGTAGACGTTGGGGGGTCTTTCTGGAGGCTGGTTTTTATTTGGTCATTCGATTATTTATCTGGGCATCAAAATGTGATTACAAATGCACTTTATTTCGTTTATATCCATTACTACCAGTAAAGCTTTTGGTCTTCTATTATTTTTATTGCTACCTTGAGAAGAAAACACACACACTCTTAAAATATAGAGGAAAGGCTAGTTTACCTGGATAATTGGTTTCCGTGTGATTTAATATTTTTAGTTCAGTCTGCAGTGCTATGCCTGCTTTTATCTTGGCAATGTCACGGACAGCGTGCCTGCAAGACATCATTAAACAGACACTTTAATATTACTAGGAACTAAAGGAGGCAAATTCCTGTTAAAGCACAAGAGGTTTGAGCAATTTCTGTCTGGAAGTTCATTTAGAGCTGGACTGAAAAAATGTCCTTGCGATTTTAGTCTTTAACTTCAGTTTTTGTCCCTGTTCCAAACTGACACAAATGTGGAAAAAAATATTTACCTGCTGTATAAATGATGCTCAATTTGTGGATTTCCCAGAAGTGCCTGAGTGATTACCGTTAGGAGCAGGATACTGAGATAATGGACCCTTTGCCAGATCTAGCAGGCCTGCTCTTTTTACTGCCTAGTAAACAGGTAGTGATGTTTGCTGCAGAGGTTTACTAAGATTTTTTTTGTGAACCAAACATCTGATTACTCTCTTAAGTGTTTGTCATCTCCCTCTCTGGGTTAATAAATATTTATAATTGAAACAATTAGAAAACACTCATTTTTTAAAAAAAAACAGGGGCTGCATCCAGACATAGCCATCCACAACTGAAAGTGCTCCTTCCGTTTGTGAAAGACACTTGATCCCAATGGCAGAAGGGGGAAAGGAAGCCATTTTGCACCAATCCTTCCCTGAAGCTTCTGCCCCCTCCCCCAGTCTGGAGGACACTTCAGCCTCCTAGAAGAGATTTTCAGAGGGTCTGGAGTGGAGCTCTGGAGCTGGTAGGAGCAAATCTGGAACCAAATCTCATAAGGGTACAGCAGGCTTCCTCAACCTCGGCCCTCCAGATGTTTTGAGACTGCAATTCCCATCATCCCTGACCACTGGTCCTGCTAGCTAGGTATCATGGGAGTTGTAGGCCAAAAACATCTGGAGGGCTGAGGTTGAGGAAGCCTGGGTTACAGCCTAAGTAGAAGTGGTTACATACTCCCAACTAGAGTTTTAAAACTTACACAAGCAATTTTGTTAAAAAATGTTTTTCCTATTAGGTCCAACTTCAATATTATTAAACTGCATGTGTGTGTGTGTGTGTGTGTGTGTGTGTGTGATATAGAACCAATGGTGTTATATCCATATGAATGAAAACTCCCTATATTAATATTGCATGCGTGTGGTCCTTGTTGTTCTCTGATCATGTTATTGACTCAAAACAGCTCTGGAGTATTTAATTTCAGCTGAATTACAATTCCAGATGGAATCACTTGGGAGAGCAGCTTGACCGAGAACTCTTGTTATAGGTTGGGTGTGTGTGTGTGCTAATTTACATATAAATTGCAAATTCCATGGACACATGAGGGGGGGGACACAAATAAGCAGATCTGTGTTTCATACCATAAAAGTGCATGCATAAATCTCTGTAGCTTCCAAGATATACAGTACTGTAAGTGTTCGCAAAGCATAGCTTACAGATTTAAAAATGTATTAGCCGCAGGGATCATGCTGGAATGGGGTGGTGGAGGAGTAGTTGTCCCTACTTAAGAATTACTAGTTACTAGTTATAAAGGCAAGAAAAGGCTGTGTTATAGGTGATCCTATCTGAAGTACTTGAACATGGCATCACTTGTGCTTGCCCCATGCCAAAAAAGTATGTCTCCAAGCGGTTTCCTGCTTGTCCCATGCTTTTAGGCGTGGATCCAAGCGGTTTTGTCTTTGCCATTCTACTTTCCCCTGGAAAACCCACTCTTTGCGTGCCCAGACAGAGACCCCCCCAAGACACCACCAGAAGAAATAATGACTCATGACAACGTGTTATGGAATTAAAATTGGCCACAACTTTATTAAACCTTTCAGATGTAGGAAGACCTTGGCTTAGGAATTGGGGGTATATCCCTCCCAGCCCCCCAGCCAGGGAACTGGGGCTCCTCAGGGTTAAATGGATCTGGGGAGGGTGCACTGCAAGACGCTTGTGTACGCAGGCAGCCCCCCTCCCCATTTCCACGCAACGCAGGGGAGTTCACTGACAACCTTTTAGTGCATGGCCAGTGACTCAACTCAAAACTCCTTTAACGGGGAACCTTGGAATCGCTGCCGTGTGTGTGTGTGTGACCACTTCATGCCCTCCCTCCCCCATTTAGGGAAGATAGACTAAAGGATTCCGCCCAAGGCTTAAAATCGCCACCCGAGACCACAAACTTGCAGTCTCGCCGCCAAGACTATGTACTCCTGAAAACACATTAGCGATCTGACAACCATTCTTTTAGGCCATGCCTAATGTCATCCAGCCATCCACTCTGTCGAGTCTGAAAAGTTCCAATCTGTTGGTTTTAATGTCCAAATGCTTCACAACTTGGCCTCCGATACGCAAGATTGCCAAGCGGATGGCCCTGTTAATTTTTCCCACCGCGTAATACAACTCAAGCAAACCAGAGGGAAGCCTGCCCATACATGGTCCGCTCGGCTTGCCCCGCCCCAGCAAAGCCGCTGATTGGACAGTTTAAACCAGGGTTTGGCGTGAACTCCAACCAGCCCAACCAGCTGGGGAGTCCCATGTGGCCTGGGGGTGCTGCGCGCCGCAAAGGGCGCCCACCGAAGGAGGTGTGAGCGTTGATTAGTGCTAAATCAGAACAAACTGCCATCAATTCTAGTGTTTGCATTTAGCCTTCCATATCTCCCATATCTCAAGATTTCATTAGTTTCATAAAATGTAACTATGATGTTCACAGCCTCGAGAAAAATAAATGGAAGTTGGTTCTTTGAGTAAACCATTACTACCCAAATGAAACTTTGACATCTCTCTCTCTCTCTCACTCACTCACTCACTCACACACACACACAGTTACATGGGCGACTCCCACAGCCTTTGACCATGTAAATTCAACACCAAACCTATTGATCCATCACAAATAGACCCTATGATTGTAAAGATTATGTATGGTTCCTATAGCTCTGGCAAGGGGCCTGTTCTTAGACATTTTACAGCATGAATAACCGAATGATACGATGTTTATTATATAATGTATGGCTCTGGCATGGCTCCCGCCACTGTGAATGAATAAGCCTTTTTGCCAATTAACACTCCCCTCCCCCACCCCTTTTATGTCTAGTTATCAGAAAAACTGCAAGATACAGAAAATGAAGCTATGGCTAAGATTGTGGAACTGGAAAAACAACTCATGCAGAGGAACAAAGAACTGGATGTTGTTCGAGTAAGTGTACCGAGTGCGGATTGTGCTGCTTAGGGTGCTCACTGGATGGTCAGCCAAGTTGCTCACAAGTATAAAACATGGAATCTGCTAGATTCACTGTTGCCCCCGCAATTGGCTACAGTTCAGTTTACTTGCAGTCTGCAGAAATGATTTAATCCTAAAGTTTGTGGGCATGTTGGATCAATGAAGGTTTATAACACTTGGGTTCCTTTCTGTGAGTCTCTTAGCCATGGAATGGGAGGACAGGAAACCAGCCGATATTCTGTCACTAGTATCTTCCACCAGAAGTCAGGCAATCTAACCCAAAACACAATAGGATCTTATTGGCTTAATGGATTGGGTGTGCCAATAGTACATATCATAGAGTCTTCATTACCCTAGGAAATAATTTAAACCTTTCTGATATTGCCAGTTTGTGGCCATGATTGAGGTTCCTTATCCAACTTATTAAAGGAAAACGCAGTTTGGATGAAGATAAAGTGAGAAGTGCATTTGCCGCAACCATCAAACATTGCCTTACAATGACTCAGCTGGGAATCCCATGTTATGTTGTTCCTTCAGTTTTGAGATGATTCTGCATATCAAACACATGTCGATTCTTTACCCGTGGGCTCTTTTTGCAGGAAATATACAAGGATGCAAACACACAGGTTCACACCCTGAGGAAAATGGTCAAAGAAAAAGAAGAAGCTATTCAACGACAGTCAACGCTGGAGAAGAAGATCCATGAACTGGAGAAGCAAGGGTCCATTAAAATTCAGAAGAAAGGAGATGGTGATATCAACATTCTTCCTGTTGGGGTGGCTTCTGGGACATTGCCCTCAGGGGCAGAAGCTGCCACGGGCACTTGTGGAGGATCAGCTTCCGGCTCTGCACCTTCGGTTCTCTTGCCCCCTCCACCACCACCCTTGCCATTGTCAGAATCAGAATCGGAAGCAGGTGAGAAATGTTGCAGAAGAAATGAGATTTGCTCAACTTAAGGTAGTGGGGGTTAGCCTATCCCCCTCAATACATCTGGCCATACTTTGTGATGACCACACATGAAAGAGGCTGGGACCCAATCCAGAGAAAGATGGATGCGGTGAATCAAGTGGTGCTTAAGTGTTCACTGGCTATCTAGGCATCTTACCTTAAAAATATTTACTTAGAAATTAATTCCCTCGAAATCAATATGGTCTACTCCCAAATAAATAACTTTATGATTAGACTGTTGTCGAAGTGTGCCAAACTGGCTCTGGATTACACCCTATGTCTTCATCATCATGACAAGTTAGTGAACTTAATAATAATAAAAAGCAGTGACAGTAATTGTTATTACTATAAGTAGTTATTACTACTACTGCTACTACTACTAGTAGTAGTATTAGGTATATGACACAATGCAGAGTAACATAAGCATGAAAAGGGAATGATTCCTCTACCCTGAGGAGTTTATCTAATCCTATTCTCTTCCTCTTCACTTTTGCTGAACGCCATCTTGTGTTTGAGGTCCATTCTACACATTGCATGATTTGCAAGGGTTTGCAAAATAACATCTATTTGGCAGCTTCTCTACTCTGCAGGCACAATGTATAGCAAAGTTCACCATGTGGATTGCCTATAGTTGAGAGAACTCCCTCGGGGTGTGGGAGGGAGGCGGACATAGTTTGGTTGAATACTTTAAAATGCTGTTTTGTCTTTTTCATTTCTCAGTTCAAAATGGTCCTGTGACACCGCCAATGCCTCCTCCCCCTCCCCCTCCTCCTCCCCCTCCTCCCCCACCACCTCTTCCTGGCCCAGCTGCAGAACCAGGACTGGCCCCTCCGGTTCCACCCCCACCCCCACCATCAGCACCTCCTCTTCCGGGAACAGCCTCCCCTACAGTCGTTTTCAACTCAGGATTAGCAGGTAAGAAGCAGCCAGTGTTGCTGGAGTGCTATGGAAATCCTATACACAATACAAAAAATGTCCTTAGTCAAAGAGGAATGAGTCAGAATGGATGTTATGAAAAAGTGCTCCAAAGTCTTCATTGCTTAATGAATCAAGGTGTCCCACTGCTGCAAAACCTTAGCTGCAGCAGTGAATTAAAAGCAAAATAACTTTCTAAAGAAATGACAAGAGGTAAGGTGATGGCCTATTCTCAGTGGAGGTTTGTGGAGAGGCAAATTTTTTCAAACTAAAAATTGTGTGTTGTTTTGCTGCATCTTCTCAAAGGAGAGATGGTGAGCACCTGATGGAGCCAATACAAAGGTTGAACACTTAAGAGATTCCCACCCCTCCCTCACCATTCTGCAGATTATGAGTAGCTAGCAGAAAAACGCTTTGATTTTATGAAACGGAGGCTTTATACAGTTGCTACAATCCCTTCATGTTATCTCACTGGTGGTGGAAAAGTGTTAGATGCCTCGCCTCAAACACTGAATCCAAATCTCCAAATTTGGGGTTCTTGCGGGCAGCAGCCTGTTCTGGGGGCTGGGGGGGGATTTTTTTTTTTATTCATTTCCCCCCCAAAAAACGAGGTGCGTCCTATGGGCCGGTGTGCCCTATAGGGTGAAAAATACGGTATATGTTTAAAAGCAGGTGGCTGGTTCTTTATTTTAAACCTTCTCTGATATCCCTTAAAAACAGGCAGAATTTGGATGCCTCTGTGCCACTGAGAAATTTATTTGGAATAACAGTAGCTTGAAGTAGCCAAGGCTAAAGCACTCAAGTGAATGTGTGTTCCCCCCGCCCCACCTTCCTCTTCCTGCATTGAGTCCAACATCAACAGTTGCTCATCCTCTGATAGTAGAGGTGAACTTGGAAGATGAGAGATTCAATTTCTTGTTCTTCAGGGGCATTGCACTGGCTGTGTAGCTCCAGCCTATTCTCTCTCCCCCCCCCCTTCAGTTTACAACCCTTGGCTTGGTTTTGTCATTAGTCACAATCCTCTTTGCAAATCTGATGTTCATTCAGCCTGCTAATACTCTATCTGTTGCCTCACTGCAATTAATACAGTTTCTGTTGACTTGAGCACAATTTGGAAGAATAAAAAAAATCATGAATCAGGCCGGCCCATTAACATCCCTGGACAAAACTTCATTAATGAAGAAAGACCCTCAACACCACAGTTCTGGGTTTGGTCCTGAGGCTGAATCTAGAGTCATTTTTGATGTCTTATTGAAAATGACAGCCACTGGGAACTGAAATTAATTCAGAATAGCTGGGTTTTGATCTCCTGCCTGTATATGAAGGAAATATGTTGCAGGGGGAATCTAACAAAAGAAAATAAAAAACAGCCTGGCTGGATCATGCCAATGGCCCATCTAGTCCAGCATCCTGTTCTCACAGTGGCCAACCGGATGCCTGTTCAGTGGCGTAGCGTGGGTTGTCAGCACCCGGGGCAAGGCAAGTAATTTGCGCCCCCTAACCCGTGGATTTGCGCCCCCTAACCCCCAGATGTTGCGCCCGGTGCGGCCGGGCCCCCCTGCACCCCCCACGCTACGCCACTGTGCCTGTTTAAGCACACAAACAGGACCTGAATGCCACAGAACTCTCTCCTGTGGTTTCCAGCAACTGGTATTCAGAAGCATACTGCCTCCCACAGTGGAGATAGAACATAGTCCATCAGGATTAGTAGCCACTGACAGCCTTAGCCTCCCTGAATTTCTCTAAACCTATTTTAAAGGCATCCAAGTTGGTGGCCATCTCTGCTCCTTTTGGAAAACATATTGGTGCTTCAGGAAACGAATGCTCCATATACAGTGGTACCTCGGGTTAAGGACTTAATTTGTTCCGGAGGTCCATTCTTAACCTGAAACTGTTCTTAACCTGAAGCACCACTTTAGCTAGTGGGGCCTCCTGCTTCTGCCACGCCACCGCCGCACGATTTCTGTTCTCATCCTGAAGCAAAGTTCTTAACCCGAGGTAATATTTCTGGGTTAGCAGAGTCTGTAACCTGAAGCGTATGTAACCTGAGGTACCACTGTATTGGGCTTCAGTAGTTTATTTGTTGGTAAACTAATTCTAGGTTATTGGTCTTTATGGCGTTGTTTGCAATCTTCCCATATAAATAAGTCGGGAAAAGTGTAGCTTCCAAATAATACTGTTTACTGCAGAATTAATATGGTACTGGACCATCCAATAATGGATGCTTCCTTTTGTTTGATACTTAAATGAAATCCATAGAAGGCTTTTGGTGGGCACATGCCTCATCCATTGCTGTTCTGCTACACTAAGATAACCTCAAGTAGGAAAATGCAATTTACCTTAATGGGTGATGATAGGTAAATACCTATTACCATGGGTAGGATGCCCGGTCCATAAACTCTATACGCCTAAGTGCAATTGATTATTTCTATGTAGAAAAATGATAATGTGTGAAGTGGTATTCAGGAGCCCTGATTTGTGATAATAGATTGTTCTATTCAATGACCTACGTAACAATAGCTAACCTTTTTCTTATTTATTCCCTCTGCTTCCTTGTAAGATGGGCCAATCAAGCTTTTCTGTAGGTTCCTTTTTGCTGAGTATTTTAAGTACATTTTAATCCCATTTTCTGCTGTCTTCTTTTCCTGTCTTGTTAACCAAATCCATTTGTGTATCACTTTAAAAACTAGCTTGCTGTGTTTTTGCATTCTCCGAAAGCGTGGGATGTTTGTTTGACTTGTTGTGGTGCAAAAGCTCTGTTTAGGAGAACAGGGGTTTCCTAACAACTCTCCACACCCTTAACAAGCTATACTTCTTAAGATTGATTGGGGGAAGCCATGACTGTTTAAAGCCGTGTCATTGCTGTTTTCTATGTGTGGTGCGTATGTGGCCTTGGTTTTTCCATAAAATAGAAACTCTAAGGGTATTCTAAGGCATATCATTGCATGCAGCATTGCATCTTATGTTAGAGACTCATCAAGATCAATCACTTGGCTACCTTCAAACAGAAATATTCTTAATATACCTTCCCTTCGTGATGTCACCACACATCCAAACAAGTGCATCTTTTAAGCAAATGAGAAGTAGCTTCAGACCTTTGAGTGGATAGTGACATCATCACATAATATCGGGCTCACTGCCTATCAAATTGTAATTCGCAGCTCCAGTTTTGACAGCTGACAAAAGATGTGTGGAAATTTGCTTAAAATTAGTGGATGAATTTGTGGAATCTATTACAAATGTATCCCCAGTCTGAAACTTTGCACAAGGGTTTTGGTGCATTATAGGGGAAAGGGGGGAAAGGATAGATAACAAGATATTTGGGGTGTACACATTCCCAGCCACCATACGTGAACAATAGTGTCCTTTGGGAATGTGAGTTTGCCCATGGTAAAATTCACTAGGTATGCTTTGCTTGATGGTGGACATAACAATTGCATGTTTCCAACTTCACTTTCCTGGCTAAGTAGCTTCTTCAAAACTGGAGGAGTAAGAAGCAGGGGTTTCTTGACTGTGTGAAGCTTGCAAAAATGTTAACAATTCACTAATTTAGTTTTAAATTCATGCTGTCAAATTGATAAACTGCTTGTCCGACTAAATAATAATACACATTGTGGCAAAATAAGCGAGGATTTTCTCGGGCAATACTTGATACTACCATTGTAGTGCAGGATTTTATCTACTGTTGCAAAACACTGTGCATTGGAATCTGCACTGTGTGTGTGTCCAGTTTCAAACTGGAGTTGGTCCTTAATGACATGAAGGTGAGGAAGGAGCTGGTTGAGTTGATTAATTAACCAAATTGCTTAAAGCTTCAGAACCAATTTAAAACTTCTGCCGTAATTGATGTTTTCAGTGGCAAATGTTCTCTAGAATGTCATTTCCTGAATTTTATGTGCGTGTCCCCTGAACTTCATGAAGATTAATGCTTACAGTGAATGTGTTACTAATTGCTGGATATTTCCAGCGATGGACATTTAATCAGTTCCCTTGGCTCTTAGGGTTAGGAAGTTTCTCCACCCCTTAGTAATTAACCTAAATTTTCCTGCTTCAGCTTATTATTCTTTGTCCACCAGTTAATGGGGAAGGCATGTCTTCAGAGCTGCTTTGGAAAATGTAGTAGACAATCACAACGAGAGATGGTCAAAGTAACAAATAATCCAAGAAATGATTGTGCCGAGACTGGAGAGTATTCTTTTACTGTTTAAAATACAGACTCTGGATTCTTTAAATCTGCAGCATAATTTCCCTGGTGGCTGCTGTCAATTCCAATTGTTTATATTCAGCTTAGAGCTTCTCTTCTTGCATTTCCAAAACACCACTTGCTTGTTTAGGATTGAGGGCTCATCTACTCTTGCCGTTTGCCCTGCACGTTCTAGGCACAGGTCTGCATTTTCCCCGTCTGTGACTGAGTGCTTCCCCCCACCCTTGCTGCTTTCCTCAGGAAAACCCCATCTTTACTGCTGAATTGGAGTAAGCGGCCATTAGGGTTTTCCACGAAGTTGTTGTCAGTGGTAAAGAATGGGGTTTTGTGGAGGAAGGAAGGAAGGAAGGTAGGAAGGAAGGGGGAAAACACTCAGACACAGACTTGGAAAGATTGGACCTGTTGCTAGAAATGTGGAGCGAAGGGAAGTGCGGATGAGCCCTGAGTGAGGTTTTCAGCATGGTTATGGACTTCAAACTGGTAGTCCCAGTGAATCAGTGACACATGATGCAAATGTAACATGCAATAACTTGGACACTTTATTGATTGATTGTCCAAATGGCCCCAGGGTGTGTTACAAAAAATAGTATAATTAAAAGCAAATGCAAACTTTAAAAACCTAGAATAAAACCCAAAGCAACCAATGGCAAAACAGCAATCCACAGCGATACTGATCCACTCAGAAAAAAGGCCTTTGTGAAGAGGTGCATCTTGACCAATCACTGAAAGGCTTGCAGTAATGACACAAGATGTGCCTCAGAGTGGAGTTAATTCCACAACCTGGGGGCCAACACAGGGAAGGCCCTTTCATGAGCCACTGCCACAAAGAATCATATAATCGTAGAGTTGGAAGGGACCCTGTGGATCATCCAGTTCAACCCCCTGCAATGCGTGCCACTCCCCCCCCCGGACCCTGCTTAGCTTTGCAAATGTGCTAGCAGTTTTATTGCTGCATGAGCCACAGAAGGAGGCAGCACTGCCAACAAGGCCTCCCCTGCTAACACCTGGGCAAGTTGATGTGGGAGGAGAAGCTCCTTTAGCTGTCGTGACACTGATCATGCTAAATAAAGGTACAGATCACACATTTGCAATCCTAATTAACAGATGCATGTTTGTGTGTCCTCGCTTGCTTTTAAAATCTGGAAGGTGTTGTAGGTGCAACATATCACAATATTTTCCTGCTGGGAATTGGCAGTCTCCCGGCTCATGTCCATCACTCCATAAATGTGGCTGACACCTGACTTTCACACCTTCTAGATGCTTTGCAATAAACCTCATCCCTATCAGTTAATTCTTGTGTGGGCATTTGGGCACCACCTTTCATGAGAGAAAAATACCATATACTCACACTTAGTTTCTTTAATGGAAATGCTGAATCAGAGAAGCCATTGAGCAATCGCTCCAACTTCAAGTAAGACAGAAAATGAGCTGCTCACTACAGGAAGGGGCGGAGCTCACATCTGGAAAATGATGAGGTTTTCTGCCTCTTAAATGGAGTGAGGCTAGACAGCACTCACCGGTTGGTACCTTAGTGCCCCCGCAGAAACAGCCTTCGGTTGAGTACCACTGGTGCCTTTTACACATTTAATGGAGACTGGAAACTTGAGTCATGTTTCTATGATTTTTAGGTAAATGTATGGTTATTCTTCCTTTAATAGGCAACTCCACATGATTTCATCCAATAATCAGGCAATGTTCGTGTGTTGGGTTAATTTTAGTGCGGTCAGAAGAATAATAGTAGACCATCACAGGACGTAGCTAAAATCACATGGGTAAATAGAGTACAATTTTATAGACTTCCTGCAGTGATTGAATCGTGTGTTCTCATCAAATATAGGGAAAATAGGCACAATTGTACCAAAACATGCTTGTTCTTGTCAAACCTTTGTATGAATGATAGGCAAACTTCCTGAATTAGAGAGAGAAATTGTCTCTTCTCTTCAAGCTTTCTAGCCAGCTCAAATTTCCCCCAACACTTTACAATATTTGTTTACTTCTTGTCAGGCCTCCTCCAGTGTTGAAGTGCCATCCCCATAAGTACTTCTGGATTGCTCAAGAGGCTTGTTGCCTTTTTCTGAAATGTGTAATTGTACTCTCTGCTTTGTTTAAAGCTGTGAAAATCAAGAAGCCAATTAAGACAAAGTTCCGCATGCCAGTTTTTAACTGGGTGGCTCTGAAACCCAATCAGATTAACGGGACAGTCTTCAATGAAATTGATGACGAAAGGATATTGGAGGTATGAAACCTGCAGATTGTGATTTGGTGTGTTTCTCTCTCTCTCTCTCTCTCTCTCTCTCTCTCTCTCTCTGTGTGTGTGTGTGTGTGTGTGTGTCTGTCTGTCTGTGTTTTGGAAGTTACTGTATCCTGTTAAAATGCAGTCATTTTGACCTTGCATCATACGTACTTAAAGAGTTTTAAACACTCCATAGACCTCAGTAATCACTCTGTTTGATGGTCTTGTTGACATTAAGGTAACTAGAGTCCTATTCTGCTGTGCTACGTGCAGTATTTTTGCTAATCTTGCAATGGACCAAGAAACTTCACAGAGCATCAAAGCCTTCTCCTCGTCACACAGTCACCTCTCCCTTTCCCAATGCCCTACAGCTTCTACACTTTTCATTAATTGTATTCCCCCCCCCCATTAGACATAGATTTCTAGACTCCTTCTTGTTTCTGTTTGGTTTCTGTCCTAGGATTTAAATGTGGATGAATTTGAAGAAATATTCAAGACAAAAGCCCAAGGCCCGGCCATTGATCTTTCTTCAAGCAAGCAAATAACTCAAAAGGGATCAAACAAAGTCACGCTATTGGAAGCAAACAGGGCTAAAAATCTTGCGATCACCTTAAGGAAAGCTGGAAAGACTGCAGATGAGATATGCAAAGCTATTCAGGCGTAAGTGTAAAGGCCGTTTTACAAAGGTGGTTTGAGGCACGTTGTATTAATTGGTCAGCAGTCTTTCTGCAAGTTGCTTAGATCCAAGGAAGATCCTCATATGCCCGTAATGCTCATATATGCAGTTGATCACCATAAAGCTGTTAAACTGTGCACACTTTTCTGGAGTAAGCCCATTTAATTTTGCTTACTCTGCATATATCACAGTAACATGGGGCAGGATTCACCTAATGAATCCGGTCAGTGAAAGCCCTGAACAAAGACTTCTACTTGTGCAATGGGACTTTCCCTCCCTCTATTACACCTCCCCTCCCAAACTGGTCTTGGGGGTTTGGGAGAACCCCCAGAACAATGTGCAGAGGGGGGGGGGTGTTGTTTCATCTGGCAAGCTGAAACGCTTGCTGTGATGGAAGAAACTGCCTTTACGCAATGTTGAATTCCTTCCATTATGAGAACTGTAAAAACCAACTGGTGGTTTTCTGAAGAATGTTGTTCGTATTTTTCATCTATAATTCTTGTCATGCAAGGCTTTCATTTCTAGCAGCAATTTAAACACTATTGTGAGATAAATATGGTAGCTATTAAAGGAATGGGAAAGGGCTAGGTTACCCCCCCTCCCCTTCACAGTGTTTGAATTGAGTCCAAGTGTCTTGAATGAAATGCAGATTGGTGTTGTGGTGTTTAGGCTGCGTCTGCAAATACTCAACTGGCAATAATAAAATGATCCAGTAAAACACTTTTAAAGTACCTGAAAGTCATAATGCTAAAAACATTTCAGTGCAATGGTCATGCTGACAGCCATTCGTTTTTAAAGTCTTGCAGAAGCTGTCTTGCAGGAATGTGCTTTGCATTTCTTTCAGAAGAGTGGAGTGCAGACTGATTTCCTGCAGTAAACCGTTCTCTGTGTTTGAGGTTACCACAGTGAAGGCGCTCCTTTCCCCTATATCCTCCCTCTTCCATTAATGTACAAATTCTCAGCTGAGCTTGCTGGGAGATGCTACGGGGCCCTGGGAGCACTTCCTACAGGAGGAAGCACACACCCAAATTAAGGAGCATGAAAGGTCAAAACCAACATTTTGAGATTCAGTGCAAATGGAACCTGTGTGTAGACTACAAATCTCAATTAAAGGAATTTGCCTTTTTTCTGCTCCTATTTGCATAAAGTTCATTATGCTTGTTGCAATTGTGTTCTTTTAGCAGCTTTAAAAATACAATTACTTGGTCTTCAGATGCTTCCCAGAGCAATATATAAAAAGCAGCCAAGAGAGTTCTCAGTGCAGTCCTAACCACCTATATTCAGAATTGAAAAACCCCAAGTGGCGCTTCACACTTAATATGGTAATTGTTTGCTGCGATTGTACCTGGCTTACAGTGGTGTTTCCTACAGCAAATACATAAAATGCCAGTAACTTGTGCATGTCTTTCACTTACAGATACCCATATTCAAGTACTTAGGGACACACATCTATTCACACTTTGCATATTGACTGCCAAAATTGCCAGTGTGAAATAAGTGCGCCCACAGCTAACATGATTATTGCATTAAGTTTGCCTTATTTGTGGGACGCGGGTGGCGCTCTGGGTTAAACCACAGAGCCTAGGATTTGCTGATCAGAAGGTTGGCGGTTCGAATCCCCGCAGCGGGGTGAGCTCCCGTTGCTCGGTCCCTACTCCTGCCAACCTAGCAGTTCGAAAGCACGTCAATGTGCAAGTAGATAAATAAGGACCGCTCTGGCAGGAAGGTAAACGGCATTTCCGTGCGCTGCTCTGGTTCGCCAGAAGTGGCTTAGTCATGCTGGCCACATGACCCGGAAGCTGTACACCGGCTCCCTCGGCCTATAGAGCGAGATGAGCGTGCAACCCCAGAGTCGGTCACGACTGGACCTAATGGTCAGGGGTCCCTTTACCTTTACCTATGCCTTGTCTGTAGAATTGATTAGTAGCTTTAATAAGATGCATTGATAGAGGAACTCAGTGAAAACAGAGCTCTCTGCCTCTTCCTTCCCTGTAAACATCTCTTCTTTTAAATATATTTATATATTTTTGCATTTGGCCAGGTTCGATTTGAAGACTCTACCAGTGGATTTTGTTGAATGCCTGATGAGATTTTTGCCCACGGAAAATGAAGTGAAAATGTTGCGGCTTTATGAGCGGGAGAGGAAGCCCCTTGAGAACCTCTCAGACGAGGATCGTTTCATGATGCAGTTCAGCAAGATTGAGAGGCTGATGCAGAAGATGACCATCATGGCATTCGTTGGCAATTTTGCAGAAAGCATCCAGATGCTGACTCCAGTGAGTGAGATGGGGAGAGTAGCTCCTTCTTGAATGGAATTCCATGGTGTGGCTTATGCATGTGCTGCGCTCCTTTTGGAGCAGTTTGTTTGTTAGAGATGGGCTGAAGTTATCCCCTGCTTGATCATAGAATTGTAGAGTTGGAAGGGAACCCAAGGGCCATCTAGTCCAACCCCCTGCAGTGCAGGAATATTTGCTTATCTTTGACACATTACCTCTAGCAGCTGCCTGGAACTACATGGTGATAAGTTCGTTGTGCACCATTGCTTGCTTGCCTCTTTCTGACCCCATTGGGCCCTTCATCCTAAATTTTGTGAGCAAAGGTCTACTCAAGGCATAAGGCCATATCTCCTCTCCCTTCATGTTGCTGTACCCTTAAAAAAACCTGTCCCTGAGTTTTGGCACGTGCTCCAGAATAGTATGGGATCTAGCAAAGGACCGTAGCAAGCCAGTGGGTATCAACAAAAGTTGGGCACCCTCTCTTGTGTATGCAGGATTGCCTTTCTGGTTCAGATCCAGTTGTAAATAGTCATTTGCCATCCATATGATTCTGACCCAAGCACTATTTGGGCATTCAAGCTCACACAGTGTGAGTGCACAGCACTTGGGGTCACATGTGTTTCCCTCCCCATGTCATTGTGGCCCATGCCAGCCCCTCCCCAATAAGGTTTGCATGTTTGAGAGGATATCAGCAGCCTACCAAACATTTGTAGGCTCTCCTTGTGACCTGCAGTCCTGAGTGCTCAGGATTGCAGTTCATGAGGACAATCTACATGCATTTGGAAGGTTGACCCTACAGGCATCCTCCCAAATATCTCAAGCATCATTAGGGAGGGGCTGATGTGAGGTGTCATAGGAGCTGGGGTGAAGGACTGTGACTTGGCTCATCCAGTTAGTATTCTGTGAACCTTAATATCTGACTAAGGCTACACATACACAATCTGTCCGTCTTGTAGAAGCCAGTGGGTGTCCGTTTTTTGTTCACACTTGGCTTTTACAGATGTTCACATGATTTCTTGTTTTTGCCTCTAGCAACTTCATGCAATAATTGCAGCATCTGTCTCAATAAAGTCATCTCAGAAACTCAAGAAAATCCTGGAGGCAAGTGTTTATTTTGTTTATTCAATGTTGTTGTTTTTTTTAAAAAAATATTGGTGGTAAAAACACACACCCTTAAACAATGGTCTTTAGGGGGCTATATATTTAAGTTAAAATGACCCCTTTCCTTTTTATTACAGAATGTTATGTGTTATTAGTTGATGCTTACAATTTTTCCCACCCCTATGATTTCCATAGATAATCTTGGCTCTGGGTAACTATATGAACAGCAGTAAACGAGGAGCTGTTTATGGATTTAAACTGCAGAGCTTAGATCTGGTAAGTAAGGGGAAATCTACCCCCAGTGGACTTGAAAGTAGCTTTGCTTGGAAGATTGTTTGCACATCCCCATTTATTTGCATGACCTGTATGAACAACAGTGGTTTAAGCATCCTTTTAGTGAGTTGTCAATGAGCTAGGGAAGGAATGGAGCCATTGGCTTAGATTTCTAATGTCATATTGTCAAGACAAAGGTAAATTTCAGTTCCCCATAACTTCATTACCCTCCCCTGGTTTGTTTTCTCACCATGATTAAACTCTTCCTTACCACTAGCTGCATCAGGTAGACCCCCTGTACAGATTTGCAATGGCAGAGAAGTCTGTTTAGCACTGCCCTGTCTTTTCTGCCAGTTCTTGTTATGAGTCTCTCCACTTTCTGGATAATAGCATTGGGCCATTCATAAAAGCAATATGCGATGGACCCTGTTGCTAGGGGTGGGGAATGAATGCCTCTAATGACCTGTAATAAACAATAAATACCAATGCTACAAAAATACACCGGACAGATTTAATGAGATGACAACCTTAATTGCTTTAATGGCCTATAGTTTACCTGATTCAGATTATTCTTTTACTTGTGGTTGTCTTCTGACAATATGATGAATTATCATGTTTAAGTAACATAAATAAATACAAAACTATGGGCAGCAATTGCAGGGGTCCTAAAATCCTTTACCTGTGGTCCTCCAAATGTTATTGGACCTCAGTTCCCATCAACATGGCGAATGATCAGGGATGATGAGAGTTCTGGTCAAACATCATCTCAAGAATCACATGTTCCCCTCCCCTGACCTGTAACATTCATACAGGGCTATGATATCTTCATTGCATTGCACTTATTTCATTGTTTCGTGTGTCTTTTTCAGGGTGGCTAACCAGTGACCCTCCAGATGTTGTGGACTCCAACTCCCATCAGCCCCAGGGGTGGTGGGATTGTAGCTCAGCCACATCTGGAGAGTTATAGTTTTTCCACCCTTGCTTATATAGGCAGATCATGGGTTGGCTGCTAAGGAAAGTTAACTCAAGGATGTTGAAGCTGAATCTAACATACTTCTTTTGCCTCTTGTTTGCAGTTACTAGACACAAAATCGACAGACAGGAAACAAACTCTATTGCACTATATATCAAATGTTGTGAGAGAGAAATATCAGCAAGTATCGCTTTTTTACAATGAGCTTCACTATGTGGAGAAAGCTGCTGCAGGTAACATAGCCACACATTCATTTCCCAAGTACTTAAAAGCCGGTTCAGATATGTTCTGTGGATACTGTAATACTGTAATGCACCCATGTCCTAGGGAAAGCTACCTGTTTGGAAAAGAAGACCTTGCAGAAGACAGATGGGCGTCTTAAATGTTGTGAGCACAATAGGATACAGAAGCATCATAATTTTCAAATGCCTTCTTGGTTCTTCTAGCACACTGTTCCCTAAAGCTGACAGGAGCTTTTCCTCTTTTCATTAATTGGGCTTCCTTCATTGCTCCCACACAGTTTGTGTAAAGTCCTTAACTTCAGGTGCAAGAGATGCACATCCTGTTGGAAGGCACGTCTTGTAAATGTTGTGTGAACATACCGAACAGAAAGGATCCTTCCGACAGAAATCTTTACATGTAGAGAAATCTTTACTTGGAAGGGGTAGGGAGGCCCTGCCCACCTGCCAAAATGGCCCACGAGAGGTGGAGGAGGTCAGATCCTATTCTCCTCCTCTGTTCTGCATGGTCAGGGTAGAAACTGTATAGGAGGCATCAGCCCTACTGGAGCATGTGCATCTATATTGTAAAGGTGGTTTAAAACAATACCTTCCCTGAACTACTCACCTTCCTTTTTGTTTGATGCATCTGCCCCCATCCCATCTCATTCCTAGCCTTTCTGTTTCGTTCCAGTTTTGTCTCTTGGATGCAAAATATAAGCTCGCTGGCCTGCAATTCTGTCTTGTGTGTGTGTGAGAGAGACCCTCCATTGTTGGCTTCTCAATTTTAATAGTAGTAGCAGGAACAACAACACATGTTAACAGAGATTCCCCAATTAAAACTATCCAGGGTCTCAGACAGCTATATCTCCAGGCTTTGCTACATGAGATCTGTCTAACTGGAGATGTTAGGGATCAATTAGGCAATGCGTAGTAACGTTTTGAATGTCTTTCCCCTTCCACCCTTTAGTATCCCTTGAAAATGTTCTGTTGGATGTAAAGGAACTCCAAAGAGGTCTCGACCTAACGAAGCGCGAGTACACCATGCACGATCACAACACCATGCTGAAGGAGTTTATTCAGAACAATGAAGGGAAACTGAAGAAGCTGCAGGATGATGCAAAAATAGCTCAGGTATTCTGCGTATCCCAGCAGTTGTTCAGTGGTCTAGCTTTCAGGAACGGAGAACTTTTGTTACCTTTTTCAAGCTCAAAGATGTTCCTTTTGGAGTAGGCAGGACAGGTATTCACTGATTCCTCTGTTCTAGTGTAGTGTTGTGTTGTATAGATAAAGGTAAAGGGACCCCTGACCATTAGGTCCAGTTGTGACCGACTCTGGGGTTGTGGCGCTCATCTCACTTTATTGGCTGAGAGAGCCGGTGTACAGCTTCCGGGTCATGTGGCCAGCATGACTAAGCCACTTCTGGCGAACCAGAGCAGCGCACAGAAACTCCCTTTACCCTCCCGCTGGAGCGGTACCTATCTACTTGCACTTTGACGTGCTTTCAAACTGCTAGGTTGGCAGGAGCAGGGACAGAGCAACGGGAGCTCACCCCATCACGGGGATTCGAACCGCGACCTTCTGATCAGCAAGTCCTAGGCTCTGTGGTTTAACCCACAGCGAGTGTCCAAATGAGTGAGCTCAGGCCAGTCATTCCCCCTCAGGGGGAATAGAAGGGGAACAATGAATGCTTCTCTGTGCTGCTTGAAGAAGGAAGGGTGGTTTAAAAAAACAATAGAATGTGTTTATTCTTTTGCAGTATTGATGTGACATCTGTCACTGAGAGTGACTTCACACCTTATGCAATAGCATTTCATTTAGTGGCATGTGCAATCATGCACCCTTAAACCTCTCTCTCTCTCTCTCTCTCTCTCTCTCTCTCTCTCACACACACACACACACACACACACACACACACAGCTATTTTCCAGGGGAAACACACAGATACTTAATGTTTAGTAGCTCCACTCAAGTTTCATTACTTATTTTCTTGGTTAAAATAATAATGGTAGAAACAAGTTTCTTCCTTTTATCTGCTCTGAATCTGCAAAGGGCAAAAATGGTTGAGTAATCCCAGCACAAGAAGGCAATTAACAGCAGTGCATGGCAGAACTTCAAAATGCATATTTTCAAACTGCAAGTTTATACTTGGAACTGGGATTTTTCTTGCTTCCTAAGGAAAGACCTGAAATTGTGCACTTTGCAAAACAGGTTGCAGAGCAGGCCAGGTTGCACTGGTAATAAAGGCTCCAATACACCTACACTCTTGTCTCTGCTGCTTCCTTCCTGATTGCTTGCCACCTGATCAGCCTTCAGCTTGTGGGGGTGGTGGTGGTTTCCTTTTCGTGGGTTAAACACCATCTTGCATAGTTTGGGTTATGCCTTGAGATTTGTTGAAATATATATATATATATATTAAAAAGTCTCTCTTTTACAGGATGCCTTTGATGATGCTGTGAAGTATTTTGGAGAGAATCCCAAGACAACACCTCCATCAGTCTTCTTCCCAGTCTTTGTTCGATTTGTGAAAGCTTACAAGGTAAACAGAAGTTCAGTTCACTTCTGTTATTCTTACAAATGTGGCCACACTTTCTAACCAAAGGCTTCCTCTGTGGTTGTGTAGTTTCCTTAGCAAATACACAGATAGCTCAGTCGGTAGAGCATGGGGCAGTTAATCACAGGGTTGTGGGTTTGAGCCCCATGTTGGGTGAAAGATTCCTGCATCGCAAGGGGTTTATGATCCTCGTGGTCCCTTCCATATGATTTATATGAAAGAGCCTTAAGGTTCCATCTTTGGGAAACGTGTCTCCGAACAAAGGCCAGATTGAAACTTGCCCAGCCTCTTGGAGGCTGCATTCCAACGATGACTGGGGCAAAATGAAACAAAATCCAACAGGAGGAAAGAGAAGACAAACACATGCCAGACATCAAGAACACACAGCACTCCTGCTGTGTTACACACATTCAGACATGCAGAGGACATGAAGGCAGGTAGACATGTGGCTGGAAAATCCGCCACTAGGTGACTTCAAAAGAGAGAGGGATTAAGGCCGTCAGTCGCTCCTAGCCACGATGGCTATGCTCCCCTGTCGGAGGCAGTATGCCTCTGAAAGACAGCTGTTGGGAATCACAAGAGGACAAATTCTTGAAGAAATTCTTGGGAGAATTTGCCGTATCACACCACAACGGGAAGCGGCACATCCAAGTTAAACTGGCTTTAATGAATTTGTATTTTGCTGAGAGAGCTAAAAACGAACCCCATTTTTTTGAAGTCGTTGCGAGCTCTAACCAGTGTGTGTATTTCATTTAAAATTGTCGATAGCAAGCGGAAGAGGAGAACGAGTTGAGGAAAAAGCAACAACAGGCATTGATGGAAAAACTTCTGGAGCAGGAGGCACTGATGGAGCAGCAAGACCAAAAGGTAGCAAACAACCAAGCCATTAATTGCTTTTGGTTACGTGCATTGATAAAGTGGCACATGTTGGTCCAGTGAAAGAGATCGTCTTATTGCAGAGCAGCCGATGTGGTGCAGTACAGATATTATTGAACTCCTGTGTTAGGGATGATGGGAGTTGTGGAATACACATCTGGAAAGCACCACCTTGGCTACTGCTGCCTTATTGGCTGAGACTGCTTCTCTCAAGTCTTTGGGATTGGCAAGGAACCAACATTGCAAACACCTTTCTGTCAGGTGTTTTCTCTCAAAGATAACTATTGAAGCTCTCTTTCTCACAAAGACATTTTAACAAGGCAGTCATATAAGAAACTTAAAAGGAAACTAGAGCGGTTTCATGTGTATGCCCTTTCCTGTTATTCCCAAATCTCCGAAAGGTGTTTATTCTCCTAAAGCCATTGATACAATGCTTGGAATTTGCCCTGTTTGAAAGATGCTTACTGAGAAGTAATAAGCATTTATCTCGGCCAAGCAATTCGATAATAGGAAGACATTCAGCACATAGTCACCCATAAGTATGCAGTGACCAAATGTGAAGGAAGGCTAGTCGGAAGAGGCTCAAAGAAAACGGCCGTTTCTAGCATTTTCCAGAGTTCTGCTTGTCGTATAAGACCCTCTCTTCCACGATACAATACAATTAGGAATTCTCACTAAGCAAGTTCAGGCTACACAAAGTGACTTCTACAGATATTTGCACTTCTACAGATATTTGCACAAAGCACCCCCACCTGCTTTAATGTCAGGATTGTGTTCCCCACTTTTCCAGTGTCTTGGCCCTCATGGCAGCTTTACAATTGCCATTGATATTGTGTAGAACAATAAAAAAGAAATAACAAAAACCATCGGCACTACAATGTGCAAATCACAAAAAGTAGCTGAAAGTGTTAGGATGTGACAAACAAGACAGACCGCACTTGACATCTAAACAGTAATAATCATGGTGCCAGATGGGTATGCCTGGGGATGGCAGTCCATAATCAGGGAGCCACCACAGGAAAGGCCCTTATTTTGATTAACCTCAGAAGGCCAGGACCCCCCGAGACAGGCCTCAAACGTTGTTCTCTCAGCCGAGAGGTTGGTGTGGGAAAAGGTGGTCTTGTAGATACTCTGATCCCAAACTTTTCAAAGTTTCATAGGTTAGAACCATAACTTCCCTCCCCCCCCCCTAAAAGTGAACTGGGAGTTAGTGAAAGTGAGTGCAGGTGAAATATGTGTAGGGCTGGGGAAAGACCTAGTGGTTGACCTAGTGGTTCTAACTCTGTACGGGGCAGGTACCTAAGTTACACCTCAAAGAGAAGAGCAGGTGTTTTCAGCATTTTGTTGGCCACTGCTTTTTACCGTCCTTTGCTCCCTTTCAGTCTCCGTCTCATAAAACGAAGAGGCAGCAGCAAGAGCTGATTGCAGAGCTAAGACGGCGACAAGTCAAGGACAATAGACATGTGTACGAGGGGAAGGATGGAGCTATTGAAGATATCATCACAGGTAAAATAATAATAATAAGGAGGAGGAAGAGGCTGTTCCAAAGTGCCCCTTCATAGCTTTCACTTTGCAAAGCTCTAACAGAGCTCTTTAAAGTTTTATAAATTGATTTCATTGACAGTAATCACATGTATCAGTCATTTAACAAATGGTGCACATTATATAGCGCTCAGGGTTTCAGGCCTCTTGTTTGGCAAGGCCTCGTTGACATAACGTTTGTGTATTATTTAATTTCTCCTTCACTTCAGCATGCTCTCATAACTCAAGCTGTAGACCACGTAGAGCCTTATTAGACGTATTTTTGCAACAGGTGCATGCCTTGCAAACTTTTGAGTATTTTTGATCCACGTGCAAAGCCACTGGTGTTGAGCCTTGCTTTTAAAAGTTCTTGTTTTGTCCTTCAAGTCCTACTAATGGTAATTGCTCCAGCATTAAATACGTGATGGAGGACAAAATTGTGTGATTTGGATTTGTTGAACGATTTTGAACTTCAGAGCTGCATATTCCTCTTGCAACAGACTAATACTAGTCCTTTCCTGCAAACCATAATTGAACGCAATAGGCTGACAATGGCTGGGTCTAATTTATAGCAGCCGTGACAAGTACAGTGTGGGCAAACTATTCCTGCAACAGACAGGTGATTTGCTGAAATCTGATTTAGTGGCTTCTGTGACAATCACAGAGTGGATGAAAACAGCAGCAGCTAATTGTTAATAATTTCTCCATAATCATCAGTAATAGGTCCCTGAGTATGAGTAATACCAAATGCAAGCAACAAATATGTTGTTGTTTAGTCGTTTAGTCGTGTCCGACTCTTTGTGACCCCATGGACCAGAGCACGCCAGGCAACAAATATGGTGGGTTTTAAAAACATCCACGCACAGAGGCATGGATCCTAGCCAGCCAGGACTTCACTAGCATCACATGTCTCATTTTCAGTGGTAAATTTATGGCTGATCCCTGGCTGAGACTTTGCCTAGGGTTTACTTTGCCCACTCTGTTGTTGTGTGATTTCATTTCACTAAGTTCCAAGAGCAGTCCATCAGAGTGCGAGAACAGCCATGCAAATAAATGTTGTGCTGAGATAAAAGTGTGCACTTCATCATGCCCTTGTTCATACACCAATTTTACCTTTAAAAAAAACACCCCAGTAACTGTTGTGATTTGCAGAAAGATAATACTACTGGTAACCCAGCCAAACAAATCCTATTGTGGTTAAATGACTGAATAAGCCACCTCAGGGTGTCTTTAACAAAGCACTAACAATGTACTAATACAATAGATCTTTGCTTCTTACTGTATATTCTGTCTTGTCTGGCTGTTATTTTCCATGCAGTGCTGAAGACTGTGCCCTTTACTGCTCGAACGGCCAAGCGTGGCTCTCGTTTTTTCTGCGAACCTGTTCTCACAGAGGAATTCCATTATTAAACTTTTCCTCTTTCACACCCGACGCTCTTTAAAAAAAAAAAAGGTTGCTGTAGGTTTTTGACGTTTCTCTGCAATATAGCTGTTTGAATGGATTAGTGATGTTTGGCATCTCGTCGGAGTCATATTTGACATCGCTCATCTCATTGCATGTTTTTGCCTGTCAGGAACCTTTTTTTGGTTCCCTTCCATCCTCCCAGTGACCGTTTGTTCTACCTTCCGCATTTCAGAGTCACCCTGTGGGCTCAGCGCCATAGAGCAGCAAGTGATGGAAGTCACAGAAATGTCCTCGAGGCCCATGGTGGCTGCGCTTCAAGCCAGCCACCACAATTTGCAAGGGATGGTTGTGGGTTGTAATGACAAATGTGATGGGACAGTTCACTTGGCTTTTCTGTGTCTTCTCCTCTGGGCTCTCGCACCTCCTTTACTTCTTTGTGACTTGATCTATGTTGCATGAGTCCTGTTAAGCCAAGCCTATCTCTGGAAGCAAATCTAGTATACATCAGTGAGCCAGGCTGAATGTTTATGGGCTTTGTTTTATGGCATGTAAAATGAAGTCACTGCTTTGTGATCTGTGAGCACATATTTCCACGTGGGTCCTTCTAACCATCGCTTGCATGTTTGTGTTTGCATGTGTGAACAAGAATAAAATAAATGTGGTCGTGGTCCCCACACTCACTCCCTTCGTTTTTCACACCCACAGTCGTTAGCTTCAGTTCCATGGCAACTTAATGGGAAATCTCCTTTGAACCAAGTGGTAGCCTCACTTGAGATAGAATTCTGCCTTTGATCAGTTCAGTCCTTTGTAATAGTGGAGGCTGGGCAAAACCCAGGATCCAGGCAGACCATGGTTCTGAAAGCAGGCCTTGACTTCTGGGCCAAGCCATAAGAAATAAATTTTAAATAATTCTCATGCTAAGCTCATCTAAGGCCAAGAAACAAAGATTGAGGGGCTGTATGAGGAAACTACCCAGGTGGCAGCAGATAAGGCCTAGTGAAGCAATATGATCAAAATTGCCTTGCCATAGAAGATACCCCGTGTTATTGTCATGGAACTGGTTCCATTAACATCTTGCACTGTAGAATGTTTTTTAAAAAGGAGTGCTGTTTACGCTGCATGTGTCTGTCAATGCTGTTGTCTTTGATACAAGAACCAATCATCTTAAAGCAGCATTTCATTTCCTACTGGTGTAATATGTTTTAATGGGGAGCTTTAAAATAAGAATGCTGCCTGTTAACTCCTCTTTTGCTCTTTCAAGTTAATTGCTGGACAGTCATCCTGGAGCCAATGTTCAAAGCAGCTTGGAATTTTATTAGTAAGAGGCTTATGATGGCCACCTCTTCCCTTCCCTTTCTCTTTTTTAACCTTCTTTAAGCCTCCACCTCACCCACTTTTGCTTTACTTGCTAACATGTGTGGCTTTTTACATTTTTTTTAAAAAATAAAATATATATATTATTATTTTGCTTTTTGGGCACAGAATTGAGTTGCTCTTCATGTTCCATCCCATTTTTAACTTAACCATCATTCTGTGTTTTTTCCCCCTTCTGTTTAGCCTTAAAGAAGAATAATATCACTAAATTTCCAAATGTTCACTCGAGGGTAAGGATTTCTTCTAGCACACCGGTGGTGGAGGATACACAGAGCTGGCAAGCATCACTTTTTACTTAGCTTCCTCCTCTCTCTGTATGCCAACACAAAAACTGCTGCAAATCACAGCCAAGTTTAAGATAAAGGAGGGATGGCGCTGTAAGCGTTTAGCAGCGTTGCTGGTGCTTTTCGGTCTTTCTTCTTTCGTGTGTTTTTATCTGTAGCGTGTGGGATGGATTAATCTGCAGGTCTTGCCTGTGCTGGATGACGTCACATCACTTAGTGGCTACTCCCTTTCCAGACTCTTCCACAAGATAGATGTTGTTGCCTCTGTGTTGTACTGATGAGTCTGTGTTCTGCAGAGCAGGGAGAGAGGGGAGGAAAGGGGCACAAAGTAGGATTGCCAACTATTTTACAGGCTCTGTGCTCCTTTTTTTAAAACAGCAGCCCATCAAACAGCAATATAGCATTTCCTGACATAAGCATACAGTGTACAAGGCTTTGCCCGTTCCTTTTCCATATGCCAGGTGGTTCCAAAAGGCATTTTGCCATACTAAAGAAATGTGGGAACCTCTCAGAAATGGGAGCTTATGTACAAAGATTTATTTGTGTGCTCTGTCTACCCTGCAAGGACAGTGGATTCAGGCACTATTAGTGAAGCAAACCCTAGGAAAAGAGAAAAGGCTGTGTGTGGATCTTATGGCTGTTAGTTGCATCTTAGCAATCAACTATTATTCCCACATCTACTAGCCGCCCCTGCCTCCCCAGTTGGGTCTTTGGGAGGCTCCTGTGATTTACAGCCAGTTGCTTTATCCAAAAGACCTCGGGGGCTGCTAGTGAATCCTATTCTTGTAGGCTGAGTAAGCGCTACAACTAAATCTTCCCTGTGAGGGGGGACTGTCATTCTCTTTGCTACTCTTTTAACAACGACACCTTTGTTTGCCTTTCTGCTTCAGTAGCAGTGCTTCCCATAGCAATGGCAGCCATCCTTACAATGTACGCTGCCACTGAGAGCATGTGGCTGGCTTCTTAGAACTATCAGTGCGGGCTCTGGGAGCATCAGCTATGTTGAGGGGCAATTCCTCTGAAAGTGCCCGTTTCCTGTATCCATCTCATTCTCCTGGAGCAGGAGTGTGCATGGACCTTAGAATAAAATCTAAGAAAAAACAATGGAGAATAGTGTGTGTGTGTGTGTGTGTGTGTGTGTGTGGATAGCACCTTCATGCTGCTATGTATGGGAGTGTGTGTGCGTAGGGAGTTTATAGGGAACCCTGTTGGTGGAAAGGGAAACAAATTCAGGATAGGTGTGTGCTTTTTGCTCCTGATGCAGCACTGTCCCTAGTTTCAGCAAATATTAATAATAATAATAATAATAGTTTATTAATACCCCGACTATCTGGCTGGGTTTCCCGAGCCACTCTGGGTGGCTTCCAACAGAATATTAAAATACAATAGTCTATTGAAGCAAATGGGACTGGCCATGTGGCTGCTGCTCACAGCAGCATTGTAGGGTAGGGTAATGTTGTTGGGGCAGCAGCCACAAGCAGTCCTACCCATGTCATTCCCTTCTTTTAAGCATAATCAGGACCATGCCACTGCTAGCAGTGTAGACCAACTGGCTCTTAAAAGTGCCAATGTAATACAGTAGTCAAAACTGCTGGCATTGAGCAAGTACATATTGTGCAAATTGTGAATGGTTTGGTAGGTTGCTGCAGTCTGGAAATGTAGCACAGCTGGGGAGGTGTGATTTTAAAGGGCTAAGGGGCCTCCAGGGTAGAAGGGGGGTGGGGGTGGGAAAGAGGAGCAGTGCCTGCTTATTGTTTTTGCTGCTGCTGTTTTATTTAAAAAACCTGGAAGGCTTCAGATTGGCTTGCTGGTCATACCACTAGCAAACACAATAGATTTGCCTCCTGTGGGAAGCAGAAATTGGTAGCATGTGGGGCAAAGGAGTCGTTAGCTGGATCTGCACTGATCTAGAAAACATTATAAAAATATAGCTCTCAATGCAATTTCACATGGGCAACACTACAGCGCCCTGTTGTCCCATTTTTATAACACATTTTTCATATGATAACTCACCAGTATAGAAGAGTCTGAGGTCACAGTCTGAAGAGGTTCAGAGAATGAATGAAGCCTGGGTCTCAGGGAAAATTAGTGGCAAGTGACAGCCAACCAGCATTAGCATCTAACCCTGCTGCCATCCTGTCTTGTGTGTGTTTTTTTTTTAATAATAATAATCCATACCCTCATTTTCATCCTCATAAGAAAATGCAGCTGATGCAGATTCATGGTGGCCCCATAGTTTGGTCCTTCAGTGGCAGAACCCTGGTGTGGAAGCAGCTCCCCACCTGATTCTCTCTATACAGAAGAAATCTGATGGAAGCTTTTGCTATGCAAGGAAATTGCGAGATTGCTTCCGCAGCAGAACCCTTTTCATACCTAGATCCGTAACCCTGAATAATGCAGTAGGCAGAAGTTCCATATTAGTAATAGTCAGTGAAGAGAGAGACCCATCAGTGCTGTTCTGCTCGGCTCTCTTGGGAGCTTAAACAGTCTCCTTTTCTCTTTTGCTTCAAGCTGCTTTGATTGGCTACCAGCAGGACTCTTTCCTTGTCTAGATCCAGAGGCACAGGCTAGCCCGCTTCTGACACCTTCCTGCTTCTTCCCCGCAGATCTTAGAAACCAGCCCTACAGACGAGCCGATGCGGTGAGGAGAAGCGTGAGGCGGCGTTTTGATGATCAGAATTTACGCACTCTCAACAGTGCTGAAATAGCCATGTGAGCCGGATTGGGAGAACGTGCATGTGTAAAGTAGAACGTGTGCTTGATTGATTCCTTGCCATGTGAACTATATTTGCGCTACCATTCTAATTGTGGACTTTATTGCAGTACATTAACTTATCTTCTGAAGGGCTCAATAACAACAGCAAACACATAGGAACACAGAGGGAAAAAATAAGGGGGGAAAAAGATGAGCTCTCCACTCAACTGTAACTACCAAGTGCCTAAAATTCAATTACCTGCTCAAATTAATCAAAGCAATAGGACTTTATTTGATTGGGTATTGTTTTACACCAATAAATTTGTTCAGTGTTTTTAACCAAAATGTAAAATACATATTGTATTTTTGTTTTGTTTTGTTACATACCATTTAGTGAATAGCCTTCAGTGGGCTTTCTTGATCTCATGACTTGTAAATAGGTAATACTTGGAAGTGATCCGCTGTGGGTTTTTTTAATGATTTCAATACATTCCTCCTGGACAGTTTGACTTAGTTTTGAGATTCTGTTGCACTTATTATGATGATGATGTATGCATACATCTTCATATGCATATGTAAGGACTTACCATATACGAAGGGGAGAAACTCATTAAATTGTACCCTTTTAAGAAAAATGCATTCCTCTTAAGGGTGGGGAAAACATCCAGAAAACAGAAGTTGATGTAGATGTGATTACATTTTACAAAGGGTTAAACTTAACTGGGATAAGAAAGGCTTGGATAGTGGGGTTTCAGCTGTAAATAGGATGTGATAACATATGGCTTATTTTAAATACACAGCTACCTGCTTTCAGATTCTACCTGCTATATACCAGTTGGTAGTGAAGCTGAAGTGAGGAGGTATAGCTCATAGAACACAATGCAAACACAGAAGAATCATGGATGAAATTCCACTACTGTTTTCTACAGGTAGAGGCAGCTTTTGGGTAACAATGTTATTTATTAATTAGCACTAAGATATTAACTTCTCAGTAATCAGTATTATAATTCCTGAGGACCACAACTGTTCAGTTGTCGGAATAATGAAAATCTGGTGCCCTGCCGAAAGATTTGGATACCCTCCATAAATAAGCTTGTACCTCCATTCCACAAGAAATTCTGCCATGCGACAATCCAGGTTGGCTTATAAAGAGCTGTCTCTCAGCTGAAATGTAGCTAGTTAACGAAACAGTTTATCACTGCATACATTCTCAAACCTGAAATAGATTTTTGTATCCCAGTTCAGATCTGCTGATGGATGCAGCATCTTACAAGAAGTGTAAGTCAGATGTGCAGTTGGAAATTGTAAATGCATTTGCACTTCATTTCTTCCAAACATGTGGGTTTAATAGGGAACGCGCAAGCTGTTGAATGCTACAGTGCACAGATGACTTTCTCATTTTAGAAATGTATCTGCCTTGCGCTTGTGGCTATCCTTCCCAGATTAGAGTGCTTGTACTTCAAATTTTTAACCAGTTGAAGCATTTAAAGCAAAGTTTTAATTACCAAGAGCGGCCATTGCCAGCCCCACCTACTGCTTACAAGGCAGGGCACTTGATTTTCTCTCCCAAGTCAAAAATCAGACTAAAGTTAAGGGACATCTTGCTTACAGCTTTCCTTTCCTGGTAGCACTGAATCACTGTTAATTGTAAAATTTATTGTATAGTATTTAACCACTGAATTATTTTCTTTTTTGTTGTGCTTATGTGAACCACTGGTAAAGGTCCCATATTCCTTTAATAATGTGTAGTTATATGATAATGTTTCTAAATGTACAGATATTTTGCTACAAATTTGGTGCTTTTTATGGTTTTTACACTTCTCTTTAATTCCCACTCTAGCCTCGGGGTAATATTGTAAATATTGTTTAAAAATGCATCAGCCTGTGCTATACAATCTGAATGTTATTTTAACTTATAGTTTTGTTTTTTTATATTTAACTAAATGGACAGTTTGGGGCTCAAAAGTTATTACATTGACATTTGCTTAACTATTTACAGAGAAGTTTATTTTAAACAAACTGCCAATTGTTCTCTCAATTTACAGCAATGTGTACTTGACATGTTAAAGAGAACATGCCACGATTGTGCCATTTTCCTTCACAGAAAGATGAATGTTTAGGTTTGGGGGAAACAACATTTGGTAATATAATTCAAGGAGCTATGAGAAATCACAGTATACTAAAAATATTTAGAAAGGAACAATGGGCTGTAATATTGGCATGTTCTCTTCAATATTTTATCTAGTAACAGACCTGCTTCTTAGCAATATTATAGGTGTTTTATAAAAGCAGTTCATGTTACTTTTCTGATCTGTTCATGGCATATGATTGAATAAACTATTTACACTACTACAAATGATCCACAGCTCTTCCTTGTTACTCAGACTGATCTATATGGGGCCCTAGAACTATGCAGAGTAGCAGGGCTGTGCTAAAACAAGAACCAGAGGGCTGCATGTAGGCGTGAGTTCCTATTGGCACTGGACTTTTTCCACAATGTAGTAGTAATGAGCTATAAACAGGTAACTTCATTACCATGCACTTTCTCCTATAAGGTTAAGAGCAAACAACCCTTTTTAAATTAAACGCTGGAAAAATGAAACCTAGGGATGGGATGAGCGGACCACATACTCAGAATTGTAGAATTGGAAAGAACCCCATGTAACTATTTGCATTGCCTGCACTTAATACAGCTGCTTTACTTTTGCATTAGGCAAAACCTATTTGAAGAAGTTTCAAATGATGCAATATATATATATGTTGTTTCTCTGTGAGACGTAGTGGGGAAAGTTCAAACGTACAAGATATGCAAACTAGAGAAGAAATCAGATCGTAGCAAATAAGATATGGGGCACGACAGTTTGCAGAAATATGAAGAAACTAACTTTATACTTAAAGCTTTTTATTTTTAATGGAAAAATAAAGACAACGCTTTAAAAAGTAATGTTTACTTAGAAACATGTTTCTTCATGTAAATTATGCAAGGCGGCAATAAGAAAATATTTTACATAAATATCACTTGCATCGGAGCGGGAAAACGGCTACCTTCATAGCTGTTTTAAGTACTGTGACACTTTCCCCACCTCTATACCAGTATGTAGCTGAGTGTGAAGCATGATGCGCTACCAATCCATGTACAGCAAACTATGCAATTAGTATGAGCGAGTTAACCGTACTTGCAGTTTCTCAAACAGGAAGCCAAATATGCAATTGTTTTTTTTCTTTTCCTCCTCAACATTAACAAAATACATATTTAAATTCTCTTCTATAAGCAGAGTCCCAAACACTATGTCAGCAGGAAGTCATAGCATTTTACATTCTCATTCCCTAACACTTACTGCTCTGGAATTTCCTGGACGTTTCACTGCACTCTACCTTAAGCTATATAACTAGACAAAATTAGTAAGAATAATTTTTCATTAAGAAGTGATCACCATAAAGGAGGGATGATTCATTTTGTTGCGCCTGAGAGTATTCAGAATGCACAGTGTACAACCCTGTACTGTTTGATGTCTCCCCCCATACGCTATCAATTGGGGGGGGGGGAGAGAAGGAAAAATCAGTGAAAATGGCTTCTCTCCAATCAGCAGAGTTCCCTTATAGGAGTGTCAGTTCCAAGCCACTGTACTGTGAAGCCAACCTTTTACTTGCAAGTAGAGCAAACTGTTACACAAGCGCCATAGAAATTGGTAAAACCTAAGGATAACAACATGCCTGCTATATTTGTCCTTATTTCTTAATTTGCATAGTAGAGGCAAAATTCACAAATAAAAAGGCCAATCTTGAATTACCACCACTATATATTGTTAAGTATTCCACTTCTGTGCTGTTACAGATCTTTGACAGCTCCTTTCTTTTGTTGCTGTGATTACACATATATTAAAAAGGAAGCACCACACTAGAGTACTTAACTTAACCAGTAACACTGTGTGAGATCAGTAATGTGTTGGCTGTACAGAGCATTTTTAAAAAACAGAAAAAATACTAGTGCACGCTAGAAGACAAGGTTTAATAAGTGATAAAAATGTACAAAAATATTCAAATCAGAAAGATTTTAGAGTCTGTACCACAGTAGTCAATACTCCTCAATGTATAGGGCTGATAGTTTTAATCAAAGGCTGGTCAGAATCTATTCAGTACAAAGGAAAAAGAACAGAATAAAAGGAGACCAGGTTTTCAACATTAGGTCAACATCTTTCAAAAGAAAAGTATTACGTTAACATTGATTTTTCTAGACAAGAGTATTGCAACTGCTTTCCAAAACTTGGTGGTACATTCTTCGGAAGTCCTTAAGGCAACATATTGCATCAATTTAGTCTGATTTTGCTATTTTCTGTAACATTAAGATTAATGCTGAAATAATACCCTTAGCCAATTTGGTTTTTTTCTTTGTACATATACCAGGTTCTTCTCTAATAAAAAATGGCAGCTATGTTATTACATCAGCATACCTTACAGCCTTGAAAATTAAGGGCCTATTAGGATTTCCATTAATTAATCTATTTTTCACAGTTTTAAAACTTGACACTAAAAATTCACTTCAGGGTGAAACTCGATACACATTTCAACCTAAAGTCAAAATTCAATAGAAACCACCTAAAACATCATTTTGGCCAGCAAGGTAATACACAAAAACCCAATAATGGATTCTGGACTACCATAAATGAAGAAAAAATATTTTCCCCTCTCTTCTTCCTTTCCCTCCACTTGCAAAATAAAAAAGTAATTAAAAAAACCCAACAGAAATGGAGCCCAAGAAAATTATAGGAGCATCTTTCTGAACAGAACATGTGCACCCCTTACCCACCCCCAGACCTTATTTGACAAGAAAAACAAGTTTAGGCTTTCATAGCAAGAGCTGTTTTATAGACACAAGAAGCCCGAAAGGCTCAAGTACTTTTCCAAGCCGCTACTGAAAGGGCTCAAAAATAAAAAGCTTTTCTGTTCATCTTAATGTGCTCTTTGAAGAATGCCAAGGTGCATGGGGTATATATACAGGCTGCCTAGCTTATTAGAAGCAGAACTTCAGCTTGAATTCTGAATGTTCACCGTCTTTGACAATTTGCTGCCAGGCACACAATGATATTATTTGAAATATTTAGTTATGCAGTAGAACTGAAAAGCCATTGCTATGCCAATGGAACATTGGAATCCATTTCCTGAAATGAATCATCTATATTTCTTATTAAATCACATTGTAAACATATTTGGTATAAATACTTTTTATTGATCTTCATCCAGTTGTTCCAAGAGGGTCCTCCTTTGTTTTTCTAGTTCACCTTCACTTAATTCACTACCAGAGGTATCCCAATTACCCTGAAAAAGGACAATGAAAAATAATTGATATACTCTTTCCCACAGTTTAGAATTCAGTCGTTGTAGTTACTTTGAACATTTCAGGATTTATTAAGAGCTGCAGTTTGGCCATCACTAGACAACCTAAGATTTCATACTAAAAATCACTTGAAACTCTCAAACTATACAATTTTTAGCACCACTGGTAAATTACAGGCCTCAGGCCTATCTACTGACCAAATTCAAATAACTACTTTTAAATATTACCTCGGGTTAAGAACTTTGCTTCAGGATAAGAACAGAAATTGTGCTCCGGCGGCACGGCAGCAGCAGGAGGCCCCATTAGCTAAAGTGGTGCTTCAGGTTAAGAACAGTTTCAGGTTAAGAACGGACCTCCGGAACGAATTAAGTTCTTAACCCGAGGTACCACTGTACAAGAGATGTGTATTAGCTAGAAACAGTTCTGGAGACCAAACAATAGTTTGTTATGCTTGAACCACAATAACTTAGTCCCATTAAGCCATTATGATCCACAGTTGCCACTCTACTGAGAATTAGCAGAGCCAATCTATATTGTAATTGGGCCAGGCAGAAGCCAGCAAAACTTAAATGCAGATCATTAAATTCTAGCCTTTAGGTCTTCAGCTACAGCTAATAAGCTCTCAGGAAATTTTGTTGATGAAGAGAAGATATAATGTTACACTTTAGTCCATGCTTCCTTATACAAGCTTGGTGTTTAAAGGAAGGATATAAACTTGAAAGGCCAAAACAAAACTACAGCTATACAAAATGACCTCTTGGGCCAATGTGTGGATCAGTTATCCACCAATTTGTTCTTTTCCAAATGTTGTGATAGTTTTGGTAGCTTATATGTATTAAAATACATCTGTGGCTGTCCAGATAATGGAATATAGCTCCCATCACTGCAGATGACTGGCCATGCTGGCTGGACTGATTGGCACCCAACATCATCTGGAGGGCCCCAGGTTTTTTTTAAAATTGCAGAATAACTATTATGGGTAAAAAACAAGCAATAGTGACACCGATCAGAAATAGCAGATCCTTCCACTCTTAGACCACACAACCACTAATCTACTGGTAAGATAGTTAACACAATAAAGCCAAGCAAACTCACAGAATCTTTGCCAGGTCGCTTTTTAGGAGGTGATTTATGCTTAGATTCAGATCTTTGCCTACTTCTTTCCTTTTCATTTTCTCTCTCCTTTTTGTCTTTTTCTCGATCCACATCTGATTCTGGAGAATCCTGTACAGAGTAAAATAAACAGTATAAATCAAGGATGCACAGAGAATACACTGTAGAAGGGTGGGGCCAATGGGAATCTACCTCTAGTTCCACAAGAGTCTTTCTATTATCCCAAGCCTGTATTTCTATCAGTTCTCATTACCACACAACAGTCTGGTGAAGACAGGCAGGAATTTCAACCTGGGTCTTCCATGTTCAAAATACTAACTTTCAAAATCATGACTGAACATTTAAAGAGAGTTAACCTAGCTCTTACTCATGCCAACTGGCTGCAAGTCTTAACAAGACTTGTCTACCTGCAAGGCTTCTAACTGTACATCATATTCATAGCACAGAAATTATGTGCAAGTGAAGCACAACAAACTGGATTCAGACTTTCTGGCTCAGGAGAAGTATCTAGCAGCTTGTGAGCTTTCAGGACAGGAAACTTCAGTGATACAGAATGCTTTAACTTTCAAGAATTCAGTTAGGAAGGAAGACAACAACTACTTTTTAGGAATTTTTTAAAAGAAAAAAATGGCTGTACCAAATGTACAGCCACACAATTCACATACAAATAATAAAATAGTGCACTGTTGTTCAATTTTATTAAGTGCGCCTTAATTCTTCGTTTCGCAGATAGATACAAGAAATTGAGTGGGGTGGGGGGAGAACAGTGCCAAACTGAGGTAAACTCACAGACTTGTGTCTCCTCTTTTTGTTCTTCTTTTTGTGTTTCTTTGATTTCTTGTAGCTTCTCTCTATTAATGCATTAGAATTAAATAGGTATCAGGGTTATTTAAGTTGATAACTGCTAAGCAATCTCTATTTTGCTAGGTAAGATTTTTTTTAAAGTACCAGATTCCGCGCTGGAGGAGCGTTCGGAGACTGATCGAGAGTCTGAGCGTTGCCTCTTTTTCTTTGAATGACTGTCATCATCCTCAGATTCTGAACCCTTTAAAGCAAGAGTATTTGACATGTAACATTAGTTTTTAAAGGCTGGGTGGTAAAAAGAACCAACTGAATACTGCACTCTATCTTACCGAACGAGAGCGAGACCTTTTTCTGTGATGTTTTTTTGATTTTTTAGAATGCTTCTTGTTCTTTGAATGATGGTGTTGACACTCATGCTGCAGCATTGAAAGAATAAAAATGACTCATTTGAAAGAGTAAGCATGCGTTTTGTTAAATTTTTTGCTACACAAATACAGTATGTATAGCGTATCTCTTTAAGTCTCTATTCTGAAATACTTCCTCTATATACTTTTATTTTGAAACTGCACTGCATGCCTTTTTGGACACTGGCTTTTATTGGCTTTGCAAAGCCACACTTGTTCATACTCTTCCATCTTCTTAACAGCAAATGAGATTTTGGAAAGACAGGACACTTCTTGCAAATAAAGATGTTTGGGAGGTATGAATCACAACATTTAAAGAGCAGTTCCAACAGTGGGAGGGCTGACATCTTCATGTAATCCTTCCTGATGATGAATACATTACCAGTGTTTAGGTTATTAAAAATATAATCTAATGAAAAAGATGATGCCAACCGTTAAAATTAATTACAGATCACTCTCAGACAGGAAGCTAATGTCCCCATAAATATATTCTACAAAGCTATGCTTTCAATAGTATTTTGTGTCCAGGCAAATGCTGACACCTGCTGCTAAATATTTTAGGGGCAGCATCCTTCTGTTATTTGGACCTCAGATGAAGCCTGAATGAAATTGATCCAAGCTGGGCTGCCATCACCCTTTCAAGCACCTTGCCACAGTATTCCCCATTCAATGATAGTTGTTAAATAAATAACTTGGTCCAGTGATGCCCCCTTAAGGATGGCTGGAACTTGCTCCTGCCCCAGTGAGACGTTATTCTCTTTGGTCCCACCCAGCTAATCCCCTTTGGCTCACTCTAATAAGCAAGCTAGGCAAGGCCTTTTGTACTCCAAAACCTTTGGAGAGCACCAGATTGGAGAAAGGCGGCTTTAGTTCATGAGTTGTCCGAGGAAAAAATTGGGAGAGTGTCCGCAAGAGAGAGAAAAGGGAAGACTTCACCAACTTTTGGCTCTGGCTCCCACCCACCACTTGCATGCAGGCTCCAACAGATTTTCACTAAGAGATACAGGAAGAAAAAGTTCTCCACTTCTATTTTAGGGGATCAGTTCAATAAGTTAAGTTTTTAAAAATCTGTTTCAAATCTATCAGACAATGCTCTTATCATAGTATCATTACCTCTAGTAAATAAATGAAATCTTTAAATATTCTTTTTCTTTCTGATTCTAGAGTGATGTCTTCAAATGCTGGTTCTTTCACAAACCTTTCCCGAATCTATAGATAAAAGAATTATGTATACGGTTTAGCCAGCAACTTTGTTTTTGTTTTTTTTAAAAAGAAAGATTATGGCTCAATAGAATCTATTAGTTAAAAGTATTGTGTTCATAAAAACCAGATCATATAATGATGAAACACACTCCTGCTGATATTCTTAGCATAGCTGAATCTTAGCCAAGTGCCAGTGGTAAAGACAGAAACATGAGGTGCTTTATGTACGATGCTTATAAAGGTTAAGAATTTAGACCCCACATCAATTTTCTTCAGAAATGCCTTCCAGTATTCTCACTGAACATAATCCAAAGCTTTTCCAATCATCAAATATTCATACTGTGCCAAGTGGGATTAATTCTTCCTTGACTTCTAGAAGAGTACCCTGTATAAAAACCTGTCTGATCCATGTTTGGAATATCTGATGCCACAATTTTAAATGTGAGAAAACATTCAAAAGTGCATTTCATTCCAAAATGTATCTATTATCTCTGTTCTTAAACAGGACCCTTTTGCATCCTCCTGGGAAGAAACCCCACTGCCCAACCCCATGACCACTTGCATTAAAATCTTTCAATTTATTTCCCTGCAAGCACTTCACCTATTTTATTATTCCATTTACAGTCTTTCTAATTTCATTTAAAAGAAATTTTACTTAGAACGATACATTTAACTATTATTGGTCTATTGCTGCTGTTCATTACTTTTGATAGTTATAGTTACACACACACACACACACACACACACACACACACACACACACTTCATTTAACAATGGGAATGCTTACATCTTCCCACACTGCATCCATTTCAATTGGAGGGGTTGCTTGTTTTAGCATACTCTTAAAAGCAGACTCTTTCCGTTTCATTTTGCGGGCTTCTTCTTTCTCTCTCTCACGTTCACGAGCCTCTGCCTTTTCCAACAGCTACAAACAAAACCAAGTGACCATTCAATGTAAGGGCAATGGAAAAAAGGGAAAGCAATCAAATCCCATTTTGCAAGGGAGTACTTTTCTCATATTTGCTGTGCATGTGTCACATATAATGGTGGTTCAGACGCACCACCAAATCATGTGATTGAACCTAATGTGATCCATTCATGAGTAGAACAGACTTCCCACTCACTATGTAGGACTTTGCCTTCCTCTCTTTTCACTTGAGCACCTCCAGAATCCCCTCTGGGGAGTCCCTCAATCATCTGGAGCTGATCTGGGGTGTGTGTGTAGGAAGGAGAAGAGGAAGTCATGTTGCATGAGTGGAGGTCTTTTCATGCAACATTTGGCACCACCCATGATTTGGATTCTATAAATGACTAACAGAGCAAATTCTGATACATCATAGTTTGCCACTAAACTTTGATTGAAACTTATCTGAGTGGAGGAGGTAGGATGCAAGCCTGAGGCTCCTCAACTGTGATTTGCTTTTAGGTCTAAACAGCCCCATCAATTCCACACTTTTCCACCTATCATCATTAAGTTTATATTCTAGCATTTGACAATACAGATACTACATACTTATTTGCAGACTTGTAAACATTTTATCAAGTCTTCTTAACATTAGGATTTTTAAAAATATTCTAGATTTTTAAAAGCCCAACTTACACTATTGAAAGCTAGCTTGATATTTCCAGCATCTAAAGTGGTAGCTCTTTTAGTTGAACTGATGACTGTGACAAAGTCTTCAAAAGTAGTATTCACTTCAACTACAAATCCTTTGTCCTGCAAAACAGCAAATTTTGATGACACAAACTCATGTTACAACATGACAGTGTGGAATCCCAGCTCAAGGTATCTAAACCCACTCATTTTGGACTGGAAACACTGGTTTTCTCCCAGCAACTAAAAACACATTCCCCCTCACCTTTAAGATGTCTTTTATTATCTTTTTTTCATCATGGTAGCGTGCTTTCAGATCTTCAACATAAAACTTGAAGAGATCAAGTGCTGTTGAGCCTGAAGAAAGAAACTACATCGGTTAAAACCTCCCGCTAACCCAAGAGTTGCATTTCTTATTACATTAGTAACCCTGCTTCTATCTACCAAAAATGCACAAACATTACCTCCATCTTATTTTCTACAGGCAGGAGAGAATATACTTACCAGGCTGACCAAGCATGTTAGTAAATCGAATATCAGAACTTATGGTTGGATATAACTCCATCCATGATGACATTGAATGCAGCTGGCCATGTTCATGCAGCTCATCCAAAAATATCTGCAGAGGAAACAGTAGAAAATGGGGAATCTCACAATCCTGTATATTAAATGGCAATGAGTCGGCCCTGTCATTTTTACTGCCCCATAGAATGCTACAATATAGCATGTGGACCTCAAATGGAAAAACATCTAACATACCCGTAGGACTGCAATACTAATAATGTCTACTCAGAAATTAAGTCTCACTGAATTCAGTGGCACTTACTACCAGCTAAGTGGAGTTAGGACTGCAGTCTTGAGTAGGGGTGGCTAACCTGTGCTCCCTGATGATGCTGGACTACAACTCCCATCATCCCTGACCATGGGCCATACTGTGACAGACATGCGAGGAGATGATGAATCAGAAATAAACTTTCTTCAGGTAAAACAGACTATGGTGAAGCCATAAAATGTTGACCTGCAACATTTTTTAGTATTTATCTACACTCATTATTTGCACTTTACAGAATACCAAGATTGATGGTAACCTATCCCAAACCTAATAGTTCATTTTGTCACTAACCTGGAAAGATTCTCTGTTTTTACGTTGCCGTCGTCTTTCCCTGAGCAATCCCTTCTGCTTTTCTTCCTCCTCCTCCTTTTCCAAAGCCCTTATGTGCTCTTCGAAACAAATCAATGCATCCTCCTTATCCATATCTAGAAAAGCAGCATACAAACATTTCAGAAAATGAAGGGTGAGGTCCAACTGTGGTAATTTGCTTGTGCCACAATCTTCTGCTTGCACAAACATGACTTCCCTTCCTCTCCTCCTCCACAGCAGCCCCCTGCCCCTGGAAAAAAAAATCTGCTTCAGCAGGTAGGAGGTGAGGGGGGCTGAGAGGAAGGGAGAATCCTTTTGTGCCTGTTGACACAACTGGATCTTTCCCAATGCTGAGGCAAGCCCTTTTTAAAAAAAAACTGGCTAATGCTTTTGGCAAAGCTTTTCCTTTGTTTCTCATGTAAGTTTTATAAAGTCTCAGAGGAAACCATAGCCGCCTCTTTAGATGTTACATTATCAGGGGGGAAAAGAAGGAACAGGCATGGGGCAAATGTGCTAACCCGACCCCCGCACCATTCTCATCAGCATCCAAGTTCTGGAGGGCAACTGCCTGAAGATTGGAGCCACTTGTGCACAGGAAGCCTCTAGGAGTACAGCAGGCTTCTGACATCAGACAAGTCTCCTTCAACATCCCTGCCTGCCCCAACATTTTTAATGGCAATTTCTCACTACAAGAGCAATCTGTAGCAAGCCTCAGAAACATGCACTCCCTCCCTTCATTTCTGCTATACCAATGACAAGCTTTCGATTTTAAAGTAACAGCAGCTTCCAATGATTTCCAAACCCAAGATACCTAGGTGCTTTGTTTGTATTCATATTATCTATCTATATATACATGTCTGCGCGCACCCCCCCGAACAAAATATTAACAAAAAATACTGCTAAACCGTATAAAGGAAAATAAACTGATTAGGTCTGAATTGGATCATAGTCTGTGCAGTGCTGGCTCCTGCATTCTCCACCAAGAGCAATGTGAGTTGGGAAATCCTGACTGCCAAAGTAACAATGCTGTTTTATCAGGCACACCACCTCTAAACTGGAGCAAGCTAGATTGAAGGTTAAAGATCTGAGTTGCTGTTGCCATCAGATCATCACCAAGATCAAATTCCGACAATAAAGGAACCAGGGTATTTTGAGTTGTATTTAACTAAATGTTTGTGCTAGTGCATTGGGATAATCCTTCCTCATGCTGCCCCCAAGTCTGCTCCGAGGTGGGAAGAAAGCCTGGAGCAGATTTAGGGGGCACAGAGGGGAAGGAGAGGGGGAAAACTTTAGCACTACGTGGAATACAACCCTGTCTCCTTACTCTGAAGTTCCTCATCTTCTGCAAAGGTAGGATTGTCCATCAGATATTGCTGAGCCTCTGACCAGGTAGTACAGTATGTGACATTAGCCATATTATCCAAGATGTTTTTTAATGCCTCCCAGTTCCTCTTCCTTAACTGCTTGGCCTGTTCCTGAAAAAGTTAAATGAAACATTTAATGGCATTTGTTTTGCTAAAATGCTCGGTATCAAACATTACCAACAGATTATTAAGAGGGGGCATTTTGTAGCAAATCTGCCAGTCTGAAGCAACTACATAACTTCATCACTGAACAAGAAAGAGACATCACACTACTTTGCATCGCCAGGATGCGTGCATAATTCCGGATAGACTAGAAGACTGTCCTCAAGAAATGCCTATGGTGTAACCACCACATCAAGCTTTTGCTCTATTTTGTTCGGAACTAAATTAAGTAGTGCCACATTAAGGAAAAGACATTGTCATTTGTAGAAAATCTTGATATGATATTTGTTAAAATGTAGAGGAAGACAGATTTATCTATAGAAAAGAGGAAGAGGAGTAAGTGGGTGTGTATGCCCCCCATCTGAAGAAATAAATTACCTTTTCTTTCTTTGATAAGAAGAATAGGACATCTTCATAGATTTCAAGACGATCACGTTCTGATATTGCATTCCAGACTTCCATCTCTCCAAACATTTGTTCAGCTTTTCTGTAGATAGAAATAGGAAGAAAAAAAGCTCTATAAATCACTTTGCTCCCGCTCTTTCCCACTGGTCAGCCAACATCCCAATCCTTGCCAAATGTGTGAATAACCAAGAGAGTACAAATGTGTAATCGTACGTAACTCATGTTTAATATTACAAAATCATTCCAGCTTGCACAACTAAAATAAAAGAATGTGTTAACAATATAGAATTTTTTAAAATTTCTATGTGTTGTATTCCAGCTCCTGCCATTTCTTTTCTCCCATTGCTTTGATGAAAGGTTTTTGTATTTTTAAAACACACAAGAATGGATCCCTTCCTTGCTTGCATCCATTCCCAATACATATTTTGCCAACAGTCTCAGTGACAACTTCTCATACACTGCAGTCTTTGTAGAAATGCAGAGGCAACCGTGGTTTGTATCTAGACTTTCAAATGGCTGCAGAGTCGGAGTTTCACTCACAACAGAAAAGGGGAGGGAATAGATTTCTGCCAAGTCCTCCTCCTCCATATAAATCTGCACCAGACAGGAGGCATGGGCAGCAGAAGTAGAAATTGGAGAACATCACCTTGCAACAGTGACTTTGCACAAATTGTTATTCCCTATAGCACAGTATTTGAAACAGTATTTTAAAGTGTTGTTTTTTAATTCACATTCCCCTCTTAAGTCTACCCAAGCTCAAGTTTTAAATTTTGAACTGTACAACTAGTATTATGCATTAGATTTATCTTACTTGTATCTGGTAGTGGATGTCATCTTCTCATGGTTCTCAAGGAAACGCTGAAAAGATTCTTTTGCCTCTTTGTATTTTAATCTTGCTTCCTCTTTTTCTTCTTTCTCTGTCTGGACCTTGTAAGCATTAAATGCTTGCTTCTTCTCACTTAGTTTTGCCAAAGCACTACAAATTAAAGAAAAAAGCCATAAACCTATTGCTAAATGCAGTACCAACTACAACTGATCATTTTATGAAGATTCCGTTTAAAACTGCACACAGGGGAAGAGTTTCAAAGTATTTAGTACACAATTGCTTCCCCTCAAAAAACAACAACCCAGTTTTAAAAAACCATGCAAGAGGAAAACAAGTTAAATTTGTTGATTTATTTAAAATATATACATAACTTGTTTTTTACATGTGTCTCAAAGTGGCATACGAAGGAAAAAAAATACAACTTACACAATTTTTAAAAGATTTAAAATATCAGAAAATAGGAACATTAGGGCAGCATTCAAACCATGAGCTCACTTGAGCTGTCAGAACATCAGTTTATACAAACAACTAATTAAAAGCATGTTGATCAAAAAGAAAATAGAACAGCATACCTGTATCTTGGATCGTTAATTATCATTTTCATAGCTTGCTCCCAAGAGGCGTTGGATGGCACACGCTATGAAGACATGAAGTAAATCATGTAACTGATCAAATCAGTACTTCTGTTTGTGCAATGGTAGCTTTAGGAATGCTAGCTAAGGTAAGAATGGCTGCATCTAAATTGTGCAGTGGGGCATAGTTGTCAAATGTAATGACTCAGATTATTTGGTGGCAAAAGTGGGTAAATATTCTGCTTGGTATGTTTTTACTATAAAAATAAAAGAATATTTGTACAAAGGACTGTCACTTTTTTTGCTTTTCCTGTAAAAATGATAAACTACCATAAAACTAGGAAATGATAAATTTGGTACACAAGACACTTTCTATCTTCATGAGTATTTTTAGCCTTCTCATAATTTACTTACACTTCTAGAAATGGTGCATCAATTAGTTTGTACATGAAAGCAAACCATAGTTAACAGATTCAGGTATGTAGCCGTGTTGGTCTGACACAGCTGAAATATATTAAAAAATTGTCCAGTAGCACCTTAGAGACCAACTAAGTTTGTTCTTGGTATAAGCTTTCGTGTGCATGCACACTTCTTCAGATACACTGGAACTGAAATCACTATATATAAGGGTCTGGTGACTTCTGTTTCAGTGTATCTGAAGAAGTGTGCATGCACAAGAAAGCTTGTACCAAGAATTTAGTTGGTCTCTAAGGTACTACTGGACAATTTTTTTACATAGTTATCAGATTACTGTTAACACACCCATCTGGACTGCTTTGTTTCTTCCTATACCATACAGAGGAAACAAACTACATTCTGATTGAAACATAGCACTAAGCCAGGGTTTGTCATTTGCTTTGCCCCTAGTGCTAGTAAAGAGAAGCAAAGCATGCATGATTGTCTTGTATATGATTTAGCCTTTGTTTATGGCTTATCATGAGTGAATATGACTAGTGTTGCATTCCTTATTTTCTAACTTTTTTTGATAGGGTGGTAAGCTAATAAAAACAGGACTTTGTCCTTTTGATTCTGCAGTGATGTTTCATTAGTAACATTTGGGATGTAATACCACTTAATAAAGCAACATCAGACTCTTCAGAGTGAGAATTTACAAAGAGTTAAGTGGATAACTGAAGTTTTTTAACACAACCGTTTTTCTTTCTCTTCATTCTGCCCTCCTCCCCAGGCCAATTCTGCAAATGTGGAACTGTTGTGCCACCAGAATGCTCTTCTCACATAAAAATTTCATTTGTCTTTCCTTCTTTGGTCCCACTGCCCCCCGCAAAAGACCTAAACAAATGTAAGAATTTTTCACCAATACTGGAGCATGATGTGAAAGTTTATACCAAGTACATTTTGGCTAGAATATTCTTTCCATGTTTACTTCAGTATGAATGTTATTCCATAAAGTTTCTTTCAAAATCAGCAATTCTCCCAACTCAAGTATATTTGCAATTCTTGAAATTTTAAACAGTAGTTGACTCAATTTAAAAACCTTTTCTTTCAATAGTTCTTTAAATGCTTGCTTAGCTTCTTCTTTTGTATTCCATGTGTAGGTCTTTTTAACTGGCTGGGCATCTTCTTCGTCCTTTTTGGCGGCAACACTATGGATTTAAAGAACAGCATGCCGCTTTAGCAAAAACCAGTACTAATTAAATGTAAGAGACACTAAGAGTGGGAACTGTAAACAATAGAGCTAATGTCTCCCAGGAAGTGACAGCATACACAGATGAACCCAAACAGACTTCAGGCGTAATGTGGTTCCAGGATACAGCATTATCTGACAGCTCCTAGCCAGTGGGTTAAATCCTTAAAAGATCAAGCAAATCACTGCTCATGCAACAGGGCTTTCCTGGCTCCTCCTTTCCACTACAAACCATGCAACTCCCTGCCTCTCCCCCCCACCCCCCAAAAAGAGCTCTTGAGAGTCGATAGACCCTCTAGACCTATGTGGGATGGGGTAGTTCCGATTCCTTCAGAACTAAAAATATATTGGTTCTCCACTGAGAAGGAAGAAGCAATTTCATACCTGACAGTAGTTATCAGACCAGTAATTTTAAAGAGCTGTTTGCTCTAATGTGCTAGTTTTCTTGCAAATCAGGTAAAGGCTGAAGGCAATTTAATAAGGCGTTCATAAGACTGTTATGTATGAAATGCCCTTGACTTTTTTTCAAAACCCAATCCATTAACTAATTCATACACTTTGCACCTGTTTACACAGCCTATGTGCTGCATGGTGCATGTACAAATGAGCTTGCAAATGAATACATTTTTGTGTGTATATATGTTTTTGTTTGGATTTGAATGAATGTGGACATGAGGGGGGGATGGGGAAGAGGTAGCATAGCCTGGAAGATTAGCTATGAGGGAAATACAGCCCTTGGGATTTAGTTTCCCAACTCTAATAAAATATACCCTTCTAATGGCCAAACTACACATTACACTATTTAAAAAGTATACTTAAACATGTTCTAAAACTTTTGTTCCACAGAACTGCCCGTATATATATCCAAAGGAAGAAAATAATGGCTTGGACATGGTACTGTCAAGTCCATTCATACTTATCTCACCTTGCCAAGCCTTTTCACTTTCCCAGGATGCACATGAAAGCCTTCCGCATCTAGTCTTGATCTCCCTCCACTCACTGGATGTGAAGGGAGATCAACTAGGTGCTTCTGCCTCTTATAAGTGGCAATACAACATACCACTTAGGAATGGAGAAAGAAAGATTAATCTACAGGGGAAATCACTCCAAATTTGCTAGGAAGGCTCCCAAGGAGTGGGAGGGTTGACTCTGTATCCACTAATTTCCTCATCTGTCTGCTATGGAGTACAAAACAATTCCCAACCCTTATTTTAACCAAGTCTATTCATGCACAAAAAAGGGAGTGAGGCACACAAGTTCAGAAGCAGTAAAAAGGTGGGGAGGCGAGTTATTTCCTTTCGCATTCCCCGCTTTTTTTTTTTTTTTGCCAAATCCAATTCCCTACCCCCACCCCAAGTACTGTCTTGAAAAAAAATAGAGATTAGTGCACACCAACTAGACATAGCATTACTTACTCTGAGGATTCCTGTTTAGGAGCTTCTTCGACAGAGTTTGTCACAACTTCTGCAGTCTGTTCCTGTACAACAGGAGCAGCTGGCTGTACCTGCTCATCAGCTGTAGCAGTGACCCTTTCATTTTCTATAACAGTAGCAACAGTGGAAGGCTCGGTTTCCGGAGCCGATGCAAGAGATGGAGCAGCAGGGACTGCTGGGGCAGCTATAGGAGCTTCAGGAACAATGGCTGCAGCATTTGTAACCCCTGGTGCGACTGCAGACGATGTTGGAACAGATTCCTCTGGTTTACCGCTACATAAACAGCAGACATCATATTTGTGTTAATAACCCTGCCAATCACAGGAACAATGCATTTATCATTGAGAATTATTCTGGGGGAAATCCAATTTCTCTTCAGATTTTGACAGCCTACAACCTTCTTACTGGATTGTGGTTTATGTCTTTAATTATATATTTATAATACATACTTTCATTTTAAAAATTCAAGGAGCATAGAATCAGCATAAAAATAACATTAAAAACATCATTAAATCTTCTAGAGTGCAATTGGCCAGCCTAAACAACATAGTTTTCAGGAAAAGCATGAATGGAAGGATAGTTCCTGCCAGCTCTCTACTGGTAGAGTTCCATAAGGTAGGGTCTGATGTATATGGCTTTCAGATTACTGGTTCCAACTGTCCAATGTAAACTTACACATTATGAAAAAAACTGCAGACTTCTAGGTTTGCAGAATGCAGTGCTGAAGACTAATAGTTAGCTTAATTTGCCATGCTAATTAAAAAAAGCCAGTTCTGCAATTTGTTTGAAAGAAAAGGCGAAGTGAACAACTATGTCCATCTGTTCCCAAATCCCCCTCCTCTATTAGGTAATGTATATGTTTCACTCTTAAGCAGTATGTGGACCGAGAACTCCCAGAAGTGCAAGCTGGATTTCGAAGGGGCAGAGGAACCAGAGACCAAATTGCAAACATGCACTGGATTATGGAGAAAGCTAGAGAGTTCCAGAAAAACATCTACTTCTGCTTCATTGACTACGCAAAAGCATTTGACTGTGTTGATCACAGCAAACTATGGCAAGTTCTTAAAGAAATGGGAGTGCCTGATCACCTCATCTTTCTCCTGAGAAACCTCTATGTGAGACAAGAAGCTATAGTTAGAACTGGATATGGAACAACTGATTGGTTCTAAAGTGGGAAAGGCGTATGACAAGGCTGTATATTGTCTCCCTGCTTATTTAACTTATATGCAGAATTCATCATGTGAAAGGCTGGACTGGATGACTGGCAGAAAGTGAGGAGGAATTGAAGAACCTTTTAATGAGGGTGAAAGAGGAGAGCGCAAAATATGGTCTGAAGCTCAAGATCAAAAAAACTAAGATCAGGGCCACTGGTCCCATCACCTCCTGACAAATAGAAGGGGAAGAAATGGAGGCAGTGAGAGATTTTACTTTCTTGGGCTCCATGATCACTGCAGATGGTGACAGCAGTCACAAAATTAAAAGACGCCTGCTTCTTGGGAAAAAAGCAATGACAAACCAAGGCAGCATCTTAAAAAGCAGAGGCATCACCTTGCCAACAAAGGTCTGTATAGTTAAAAGCTATGGTTTTCCCATTAGTGATGTATGGAAGTGAGAGATGGACCATAAAGAAGGCTGATTGCTGAAGAATTGATGCTTTTGAATTCTGGCGCTGGAGGAGACTCTTGAGAGTCCCATGGACTGCAAGAAGATCAAACCTATCCATTCTGAAGGAAATAAGCCCTGAGTGCTCACTAGAAGGACAAATCCTGAGGCTGAGGCTCCAATACTTTGGCCACCTCATGAGAAGAGAAGACTCCCTGGAAAAGACTCTGATGCTGGGAAAGATTGAGGGCGCAAGGAGAAGGGGACGACAGAGGATGAGATCGTTGGACAGTGTTCTCGAAGCTACCAACATGAGTTTGACCAAATTGCGGGAGGCAGTGGAAAACAGGAGTGCCTGGGCTGCTCTGGTCCATGGGGTCACGAAGAGTCGAACATGACTAAATGACTAAACAACAATATGTTTCAGTACTAAGAAATACTCAGGAGATTCTGAAATAAAATGTCTGTTTAAGGCAACAACAACCACCCCCCACCCCCCAATATTGGCAATAATGCATGTGGAGGCAGCCGAGCAGAGGAAGGTGAAGTTTAGTGTGCAAGTGGAAGTCTGTTCTACCCACAAACAGCTAGTGTAAATATAGTTGTATTGATACCACCCTTATTTTAAAATTCCAGCTCATGGAATTTTTCTCGAGTAAAATATTTTCAAACATACCTGTTTTCTTCAGCTTTAATCATTGCTGCACAAAAGAAATAAATTGTTGTCAGATTTATTTATAAGTTGAATAAAAGTGCATATTAGAAGATAAAGTATGTTAAGACAAGTACTAAACTGATCCAAATGCAATAAATTGTATCAAAATATTGATCTGCAAAGTAAGACTGTGGCGTCTGCGTGGAACTTGGGAATAGAGGCAACAATTCTCTCACTTAAAAATTACTGAAGGAAGCTACTACTACTGGGTGACAGCTGCTCTTTCAAGTGATTCCACAATAGCTATTGTGGTCAATTATGTTATTTTCGTCTTTGTCCATGACAGCTTAGCCAACATATTCTCTCTTTTCCTCCCCCAATAAAGACATTTATTAGATTAGGGACAGTTTCATTATATAACAGCATCCAATCCTGACTTCAATGACTAGAGTTATCTCTGCTACCCAGAGAATACGGTGTATGCCAGGATTGCAACCTTTGGCTCTCCAGAAGTTGCGGCATGACAACATCCACTATCATTTTGGCCATGATGGTTGTGGTTGATGGAAGCTGAACAACATCAGGAAGGCCACAGGTTAGCCAAGCCCTGGATTATACCCAATAGGTGCTAGCTATAAATCAAGACAGAAAAAAAGGTCCCACAAAATTTACCTTCAAGATCTTCAAGTTCCTTGGGTTTTGCCCAGCGTGACTCTTTTGTTTGGGAATTGTAGTAGTAAGGCTTTCCAGAATCAGACTTATATTCCTTCCACGGACATTTTGACAACATTTGCTAGAGAACAGAATGTTTAGAAAAAACGTTTTAAAAATCATTCCGTAATATGACACGCCATATATTAAAAATGCCTATAAAATCAAAGGAGAGGCATGCAAAGCCATATCAAAAGAAACAAAGGACAAAATATAAAGGGCTGCACGTGAAATACCATGCCTGTAATGGAGCTTTTGGGGCACCCTCTTCCCACTGCAGCCCCTCAAAAAGCTAATCCTGAAGTTTAGGGAACTCTCCAGAGTAGGATTCAATGTGGCACGAATGGCTGCAGCTGGAAAGGAAAACTGGCACACACTCCAGCGATAAAAGGCATTTTATACTCACTGAAAACATGGTCAATTAAATAGGCACTCTTCTCAATTTGTTTATTTTACCTCTGCAGGTGTTTTGAGATCATCTGGTTTCTCCCAGGTAGACTGCTTTGTTTCAGTATTATAGTAGTATGTTCTTCCGTCTGGTGACTTATGCTCTGACCACATAGATTTCTATGAAAAACAAAGCTTCGTATCAATAAATTCTGCAACATGTCTAGGAAGTGCAAGACAAAGTGCCAAAAAATGTCTACAGGGGTAAATTGATACCTGTTTCGAAGGTTCCTCGTTAGCAGAGCTGTTGGCCGGGGTGACTTGCTGCACTGAACAAACTACTGGAGGTGTAGGCTAAATATTAAAGAGGAAAGCACACTTCTGAAGAAAATACAGCAGCTTACTTTTTCTTTAAAACAATGTAAGATTGCAAACAGAAGAATACACAGCTATAAGTACAGCATACCCCCAATCTGTAAAATGGTCCCATTCGGATGCAATGCTAAGCCATGCATGGTTCATTAATTCTAGGCTTCACTACTAGGAGTGGCATTAGCATTCCCAACCAGTGTCAGAGGACTCACGCCAGAATAACTGCAAAGGTGAAGTCCAGGCAAAACTCATCTGCACCTGAAATCTGTAGTCAGGTGAAGCAGACGTCTTCTGGATCTTGTGGGAAGTGATAGCTACCAACTCTACAAAGACCACCACTATCTAGCACTCCTGTTCCTCAGTCTGCAGTCCTAGCTGCCCTCTCCAAGTCTCCTGCTCACAAGATGCCACTACATCTCCAGGAGCAGACTGTGATAAGAACATACAAAGAGACTGCTTGATCAGGTCAATGGGAAGCTTAGAATGCTGCAGGTATGGTGGCATCCAATGACAGCTCCTTCCAGGGGAGTTCACCTCCTCCAGAACACACCATCTCCCCACTTTCCAGACTCATAAGCTCTGAAGATATAGCACCTGTCTTTTCAGAATTCAGCTTTAATTTACTAGTCCATAGCCATTACCGCCTCCAAGCACCAGCCTAGCCCTTCAACCTCCTCTCCCAATTCAGAGGAAACACAGAGACAGAGCTCCCAGCAGTTTCAGAAAGATGCTAAAAACCTCCCCCACCATACCCAGTAACAGTTCAAAAGCATCTGTTTCTGTTCTCAGCAAGTTGTCTCACGAACATATTATGAGTTCTTTAAGAGCACATTATAGATACAGGTGAACCGATTGTCATTGTGTACTTGGACTTTCAAAAAGGTTTCAACAAGATACCTCACCAAAGCTTTCTGAATAAGCTTAGATGTCATGGATGTAGAAGAGATCTCTTCTTGTGGATCACATATTGTTTAGTAGCAGGAAGCAGAAAGTAGGAATAAATGGGCAGTTCTATGAATGGAAGGAGTCCCCTATGGGCTGATTTTGGGAGCTGTGCTTTCAAAACTAGTTTATTAGCATCTAGAGTAAATGATGAGTAGTGAGGTGGCCAAGTTGCTAAATTGCTGATAACATTAAATTGTTCAGGGTCATTAAAAAAGAGAAGTTGTGAGGAGCTCCAAAAGGACCTCTCCAAAGAAAGTGAACTTTTGGGAGCAAATAAAATGTGTTTCATTCATGTACGTGTTTCAGATGAGCTGACATAAAAGTCAACCATGTTGTTGTATTTTATGCACATACACTCTTGTTATGCATACATGTGGATGTTTGGAAGGTATGTAAAGGAACCCAGGCATCCAATGCACAGGGCAAGGTGCAATCTCGCCTTAGCATGGAAGGGAGAAAAATCATGGAAACTGGACAAAGTTTAATACATGAAATTATTAAATTGCCCAAGCAACAAAAGTTCCTTGCTTACCTGAGTTCCTGGGGGGGCTAAACCTATGAAATATAAAATGATAAACCATATTTCAGCACAACCAGAACAATCCACACCTCCACATTTGCTTTTAATGTGACTCAAAAGACTTTAAGACCACATGAAAACATACATGTTAAATTTTACAAGTGACTTACAATTAACCATTTCAAGCAGACTGTATTATGAATTTACATTCTGGCAATGAGCAGATAGTAGATGCAGCCAGTCACTTCTTGTTATAAAAGCTTTCCCCCTGAAGCTCACTGAATATTTCAAGAATCTCTCAGTTACTCCTGCCTACTTTGAGCTTCAAACGAATAATTTTCTCAGAACAGGAAGGCCAGAATCTGAAATGAATGCTCAAAATCTAATGATCCACAATGTTGACAACGATGAAGATCTAACTGTCACGTTCACAGTTCTATGCAAGAGTCACTATATTCAACTCCAGCACGTTCAAGAGACAATACTCACATGCTAAAACTGGGACCTGTAACAAAACATTGTAACATGCAATGCTCCTGTTCAGTGTTCCAGTCATAGACAGCCATGTCTCCCTACATGATATTCCCATTTGATTTCCCATTTCCCATTCCTTCCCCATCAATCAGTCAGCATTACATGGCCTGTGGGTAAGCTCAGAGCTTATAAGGATATTTTTGGGGTTCCCACTTTTTGGGGTTCCCACTTTGCCAAAAGTGTTATTTTTTAACTTTTTTGTGCTTCTGTAAACTTCAGGGTTCCCAAGCCTAGTGAAATTTCCCTCTTGTGCATGTAAATGTTTTAGGTATGCAAGGATGCTACACTCACTCTCTGGAAATAAGAGGGAAAGATGCTGGTGAAATTCTCCATTGGTAAATGAACAAACTCTTTCAATTTCAAGTCATAGTGTGAGGTGCATCATACTTCAATCCCAGATGAATCCTTCCACAAAAAAATCCTACCTCCTTGTCAACAGAGTGGGAAGCACCTCAATGTTTTAGTTCATTGAGAATTAGTAAATAGGAAGAAGGCATATTTTCAAATTCTCCTTACATACAGGCATTTGTGCATGTTTGGCATGTGCACCATTTTCGGTACCACAAAGGGGCAGAATGGGGGTGGAAGGCTCACTTACGGCCCGCTGACACGTTTGGTACCTCAGAATGGAACCCCCACATAAAAGAGGAGTTGCCTGTAACTGAATAAACTCTTAATTTTAACCCACATTATTATTAACAAACTTCTTTTTAGTTTTGAACCTTTTCTGGTTAAATAAATAGTGAATTCTTTTTACATACCAATTTGAGAATCCATACTGTTTACTCCTGGCTGTAGGGAAAAAAAAAAAGTTAAAACTTACACGATGTATTACATGCTAACTTGAGCAAATTCAACTATAGGAGCTTGGTAGCAGTTACTGTTTTATAGACAGAAATCACTCTTGGAACGTAAAATATTAACAAGACAACATCTCCCTCTCTCACACACTCTCGTCCCACTGAGGACTTAAACCCAGTACTACATTATGACATTGCCCTGTAATGCCTACCCCCTGGTAAACAACCACCAACCTTATTTTGCCACCACAACCAGTGAGTAACATATCACAGCTTTGCAAAATGAAGTAATGGTAGTGAAGAACAAGGGATGATGAAGCTTTTCCATTTTAAAGAAGTTAGGATCCTATGTGCAACTTTAAGAATCCACCCCAGCCTTTTTCCTCTGCCTGCATTTCTTTCTGCCTCCCCCTCCCAACTTCGGTAGGTCACTCACACGTGGAGAAGTGAAGAGAGGTAGTGGAGCAATGGAGGTGTCCCTGCAAGCCCTCTGCCACTTGTCAGCCAGTAGGAAAGCCCCCTTGCCAGCCAACAGCCAATGAGAAAATACAGAGACTGAGGAAGGCACTACAAACAAGGTAATACTGGGAATTTGATAAGGTAGTTTTTGCTTTGAAACCTAACCCCTGCTTAAGAAGCAACTCTGCTATGTGGGTGGTGACCATTTTAGGCACATCCAATTGACACACGATCGCCGATGAGTGTGTGTGGTGTGGTGTAATGGAGCGCACTTATCCGTGCTCCACCAATGTGTGCAAGGGCTGGGAACGGACCCTCTGCACGAAATGGTTGCTGCCTGTATATAAAGCTACACATCACACTATCAAAGCAGCCCTACTAGTCATGTTTTTGATAGCGCTTCCAATATGATTTTCAAATGTCTGCTACGACATGCCTCATTCTCCTGGATGCTAAAAAGGAGCTATGAGAAAGATGAAGCCGACACTAAACATGGCTAGATAATGCAATTCGTTAACAAGCGCTTGGTGAACCATATTATTGTTCTGCCAACCGCTAAACTTGGAAAATCTTCAAAGGACTGTTTCAAAAGATTGAACCAATTAATCTTGAAATTGAAATCCTATGAGTTGCTCTCTGTTATTCCAATTAATTACTGTGAAGGTGATGCAACAGTATAGCAACACTATGTTAGTCAAGTGAGAGGTGATGAATTTTTTTTTATGATAATTTGACCTAACCAGAAAAAAGCCTTTAGATTTATACTATAAATATGCCATAGCTAAACAAATTTCCCGAGGGAGCCTTGTCCTTAAATGTTCAGCAGCACAATCGGGTGACAAGGCTCATGACATCACCAGGCCTTTCACATCACCTCACATTATTTCAAGAATCCTTCAATACAGGACTATCTGCTCGGGTAAGTTGTCACATAATAAAATTTGATTTATTTTGTTTTTCTAACAGGGGGGAAGGGGCTGGGGGGGGGGGGAAGAGAATGGAGAAGTCATTTTGTGTGCCACTTTTGTTTTGCCACTTATCTTTTAGCATTTGCTGCTTTAAGCATAGCTCTGATGCTGTAAAAATATTCCCTGGGTCCCTGAAGCTGCTATTCAGGTGTTTTAGGAAGCTTTACTTATTCTGAATGCATGAAACTGAATTATGAAGACATAACATATAGTTTAGCACTAGACATCTCTCTCGTCTTCTCCACCTCTGATACAGTTTCAAGACTATGGCAGAATCCAGTACCTTTTAAAATTAACCACAGTTTGTTGTTACATTTGATAAGAAAAACTGTAGTTTATTTAAACAATTGTTTACTTAATCTTTAAAGTTTACCGTTTTATGTTTTACCGTTGAAGAGTGGGCTATTGTAAGCAATGTGCACAATATGTTACTTAGAATGACCCTTGAGGCTGCTGTACTGCCAACAGCCCTAAGCAGCATGGCTATTTGTCAGTGATGATGGGAGTTGCACTCTACCATCCCTGCACTAGAATAACAAAGTATAGCTTAGTGAGAAGGGACAGTCTGTGACAGAAAGAAGTCCAGAATCAGGAGGAGAGGAGGGAGGCCAAGAGGCAGAGATGTCAGGCTGTTGAAGAAGCCAGGGTGCCTCCCTGTCCTGCTACTACAAGTTCTCCTCCCCTGGGTCTCCCAGGACCAGAAGACATATGAAGAGAGAGCAGCAGTGACAGGCATGTCAGCATAGTCTCAGAATGCTTGGGAAGGACCTGGGAGAGATGATTTAGGCAGCTGTGGGAAGGCAGGGACTTTCAGCCTCTACAACTGCCTCGCAGGGACAAGATCTACTGAGAAGAATTGCTGTGCTCATCAAGCCTAGCGCTCTTGAACAGACATTTCTGCTAATAAAGAGTTAATTTCACTTACTCTGGGTGCTTTATTCCCGACAACTGCTCCTGACATTAAGTAGGAAATAAATCACACACTCCTGTACCTTATAATAAGAATAAGCCATTAACATAACCCCCCCATAACAACATAGCTGGAAAATTATTCAAACAGGTGAAAAAATATGCATTGTATGTTAGGTTAAAAATAAAGTACAGTTAGTCAACGGTTTAAAATCACAAAATATAGATTTAATAATTACCGGCCCTGTAGGCTGCATGGGAGCATGAGACATATGGGGTGCCATCATCCCAGGCATCACTGATTGCATCATTCCAGGCATCTACAATAAAAGTATCATTATAGTACGTGTTTACAAGTTAATACAAATTGCTACATATGTAACTTTTTATGCTAATAGAAATAGTGTTTAATCCTGCTCAAACATAAATAAATTGGGGCATAACAAAGAAATATAACTATGTAAAGTGCTTTATACTCCTAACAAAATATTTATCCAATAGCTTAATGGTGTTCCGGGTACAAAATTTTAAGGTCTTACGTGATCAGAGGAATTTCTGTGGGCATGGGATTATTAGCTAGAGGGCCAACAAATAAGGGCAAGATTTTTCAGCTACTCATAGTGGTCTGTCAAATGGGTACCCAAAGCAAAAGATAAAGGAAGTGAAGTTTCAGGGTGGAGGGGAAAGCAGAAAGGTTCTCTCAAGAATACAGGGCTCCCAAAACTCAGTGTTTTAATATTAAATAACCCAAAATATTAGCACTATTCATGAAACACTGTAGGAATGGGGCCCAAATCAATTAAGCATCTAATTCCAGTTCCCAAACCCAATCCATGTGACTTATGTAAACTCTAATAATCTTGAGGGCTCATTTACCTCATCTATGAACAGAGGATAATACCTGAAGAACTTGTCTCACAGGGCTGGAGTAAGAGTTATGCTTGCAAAGATGTTCCAAGATGAAGAGTACTATAAAGTTTAAGAATTATGACTGCAGGGTTCAAAAACATGAACTGTTAAAAAAAGCTGAGAAAAGCATGCAACAGGGATGCAAACTACCGTAGCTGCTTAAAACCACAACACTGCCCTTGTTCCTGAAAGCATCATAAATATGCTGAAGGGGGCTATTCTTCACATTGGGACGTTGCAAGGCAACGGTTATGTGGGGGTCTAGCAAAAGCCATTCAAGGCAGAGACCCAATGCAGTTACTATGAAGAATTAATCTGTTTGTGTATGCACATGATATTTTAACTGGAAATGAATTTTGTAGAAAAGCTAGAAGTTTTATTTCCGATTTTTTTCATCAGCCCTTATTGGGGGACTGCAACAAGTGGATGACAACAAGAGCAGTGGACTTTACATATGCGTGTAATGTATTTAATTGGCCATATTCAGCCAATTTGATTGGCAAGCCCCACAAAAAGTTCTTGGGAAATCACCCCCCACTATAAAGTGACAGTCCCTGGAGGATTGGCCAAGTGACCCCATTCCCATGTATCTTCAGGGAGCATCAGGTTACTGCTCCCTCTTACCTTCCATCTTGTGTGGAGGGAGAGGTATTTGGTAGGGCTACTGCTCCACCCTCAATCCACAAGGTTTTCTTGGAAGCGTGAGGAAGAGAAGAAAGAATGGGAGTGGCCCTCCCATTCCCCACCATCCTGTAGAAGCAGGAGAAGAAAGGAGTCTTGCCCCACTGCTGCTTCCAAATAATTGTGTTCCATGTTAGAGATGCTCCCTAAAAGCTTCTATCCAAGTAGCTTTTGAAACAAAGGATTTCTTAATTCAGAGATGCCAGATTAATAGCCTCCAGGACACAAGCTGTATGCTTCCCACATTAACAGAACTTGATAAATCCAGTTTGTTCTGATCCTGGTGAGCCACAAAAACTCAATGTTTATCCAATATATGATGGGCCACAATACATGGTTATAAAGCCTGTTAACTGTGTGTTTAACAGCCCTGCTTTAACTACTTTGAGGCAACATTAATTTTATGGGTTATGCACACAATTTTCAAGTTCAGGGTCACTATAAACCAAGGGCAGAAGAAAGTGAATTCTATCATCAGTAGGAACAAGCTGTTATTTAAATTAAGGGAAAAGGTCCAATGGAATATGACAAAATACTGTGGGTACATTCCCAGTGGAACTATGGGTATTTGCCCCCAAAAGCAACAAGGAGAGAGGTTCTAAACAAACAGATAAAAGTTCATGGGAGGGCAGACGTGGGAGTCTAAACAGATGGATAGCCACACTCTTAAGATACAAAACTCCTATATTCTGGATACCAAACCACATTCTGACCTACTTAAAAACAATTGTTTCTAATAATTTACCTCTAAAATACACACCGAAAGATAGAAATTTTACTGACACTATTAACCAAGGGAAAGTTGACCAGCAAAGCTTCACTGGAGAATACAAAGCTTTTGTAGTAAAAATCACCGTTGAAAGTGAGCAATTACAGAAAATAACACTCACTGCCCAAATTACTTTGCATGTCTTTCCTTCTCCTCTTTAGTTCTTGTTTACGCTACCCTACAAGCATCTGAACTAAAAAGCTGTCACACTGTTCATAATCTGGAAGCATGCCACCCACAAATCTGATCTATGAACTGCATGCTAGGACAGGGTTCCCTTTATTCGCCTTCAACTAGGACATCAGGGAAGAAATATTTGGAAGCTGCTGGCTTTACTGAAAAGGCATCTGACAGCCGGGGGCGGGGGGCAATCCTAAGCAGAGTAAAGTCTTCTTTAACTATCGTCAGAAGTGGGATTTCTCCCAACGATGGAGAAGCAGAGAAGCAAATGCTAGACAGAGTTTAATATTTCTGATTCTTCTAGATAACCATGGAAGAGACAAATGAAATGCTACAACCTCTACAATTGAGAGAACAGGGAAAGTAAAGTGCTGAGAGAAAGGGCTCAACTGCTCACTGGCCATACCTCTCACGGATTCTCAAGGAGAACACAGGATATATGCTCGTCACTGATCATATAAGGGCTAAACTCCTTCACTTCACAGCACAAAGGCCCCATAACTATAAATATTCAGGAACTCCTATAAAAGGCATTACAGTGGTAGGGTTCTGTCTTCTTTTTGACCTACTGGTTACATGAATTAAAATATGTCTCAACTGAGAAGAAGTGATTTGTCTACTTGCAAGACAACTTTCAATTCAATGAAGTCAATAATGTGTTTTTTCCAAAAAGAAAAGAAAAGGTAGTTTAAAAACTGTAGTGATGTGAAGCTCAGAGTAATCAACACCTACTGAGTTACGGAAAACCCTAAAATGGATTAAAATTCATGCTTCAAAATGCACCTTTTAAGACGCTATTAACAAAACCAACAAAAACCAACTTACCTGTCCCATTTGTGGCCCTCCCATAGGGGGCATCATTTGAGGCATCATTCCATGAGAGACTGGAGGCATATTGGGTGGCCTTTGGCCCATAGGATGCATTCCCATGGGAGGGTAGTGAGGCATACCCGGATGTCCCATCTGAAAAAACAATATTCGTGACAGATCAAGATTCCAAGATAATAAACACAATGGAAATAACCTCTCTGGGTTCCAAGTCAGGTCATTTAGGTATTGTTGTCTGCTATAATAAAGTTATGGCCTCACATGTTGTTTGCTTCCATGAAATTCTCGGATTCATCAATATATTTCTTCTTAAGTTTTCTAACGTGAAAGTAGATTACTCTCAAACTATAATATTCCAGTCCACTGGTTTTTAATGCTTTCCAGAGTTTCCACAAAAGCAAACCCCAAACTTTTGATTCTTTTGCAGCATTACCCTATAGAGTAACTTAGAACATTGAGTTATAGAGCTATATAGTTATAGAGCTATAGAGTATAGCTTAGAACATTGTGTGAGATATAAAAATGCTCTTTCATGAACAGGACTTCCCCAATTTTTGAAAAAGGTTTGTATTTAATATGGACTCCAACAAATGAAACTGGGTGTAGATGCCCTGATCCAATCAGGAAAAACTACCACCTCTCCCCACTATCATTCACAGAAGTCTTTATTGTATAAACATCTCTTTCATTAACAGTAGGATTCCCGTGGATCCAACCAAGTATCCTCCCTATCTGCTAGGCTTTTATGAATTTTAATTTCTTTATAATGTTAAAGTATTGTAGAAAGCTTAAACATTGACTCAGCCTCGATAAAAACAGAAATAGCAATCTGATTACCAAGAATGTCCTGAAATTTTTATCACATTTAGAGATGTTACTGAAGAACAGCCTTAAGCTCCAATCCTCACTGTATTAATATAAAGGCCAACTGAAGGATATGCCACCTGCACTTAAGTAGTGCATGGCAAGTCATGATGGATACTCAATGTCTCCTGCATCCAACCACAATTGGATGAGGGCTGCATGTTCGATAGAATTGCAGTTTTTAACTTCCTAAAGGAACTCAAGCAGTATTGTTTAAAAAACTAAATAGAATTAAATACAACTACTAAAAACAGCATATTATTGGATTACTTCCCACATTATGTGTCTAACATGTATACACCTATTTGCCATTCAGGCCATTACCCTGTAATGGGCAAAAAAGAACAACATAAAATATGAAACTATCCTGACAATCATGAGCATATTATTTTCAACTTACTGTATTGGCAAGTGAGCACTACCAATTACCTAAATTTATGATACCTCCGTGGGACGCGGGTGGCGCTGTGGGTTAAACCACAGAGCCTAGGACCTGCCGATCGAAAGGTCAGTGGTTCGAATCCCCGCGGTGGGGTGAGCTCCCGTCGCTCGGTCCCAGCTCCTGCCAACCTAGCAGTTCGAAAGCACCCCAAAAAGTGCAAGTAGATAAATAGGGACCGCTCTCCAGCGGGAAGGTAAACGGCGTTTCCGTGTGCTGCGCTGGTTCGCCAGCTGCGGCTTAGTCATGCTGGCCACGTGACCCGGAAGCTGTCTGCGGACAAGCGCCGGCTCCCGGCCTCTTGAGCAAGATGAGCGCGCAACCCTAGAGTCGGTCACGACTGGACCTGATGGTCAGGGGTACCTTTACCTGACCTTTATGATACCTCCACATACAAGAGGTTCCCTGCTACAGAACTTTATCTTCCAACTCCTGGAGCAGTGGGCTATAATGGAGGGGAAGATGAGGCATAGGAGGGGACAAATCTTGCCAGCATGCCCCCACTCCCCTCTCATGATTGTCTTCAGACACTAAACTGAATACCTGATTGGGCCTTGCTCAACCATTCTTCATATGTACAGACTTGCAACTAAAATTTTTGTTAAAAACAGCCATTTTCTACCTTAGAGGCCCAACGCCAAATTTACATATTACTGTCACCAAACAAAAAGTTACCCTTTTCTCTCATTTTATGAGCACACATTGCATCCAGCTACTTGAAAAGCACAAGGTTAATCAAAGTATGAATCTACTTAATACATAACTTGATAAGCAGCTTGCTGGTAACGAAGTGGCCCAAAACTTGAACAAAAGGACTTCGGACATGATGTGCTTAAGAGATCAAGATAGGACAAGACGTCTGTGCAGAAAAAGCTCCATTATTAGAAACCGATTATGTTAGAAGCATGAAGTACACTCTTTTTTCTTTTTTGGGGGATGTGTGTAGGGCGTGGGAAACAGAGAAGGGCGATTATGCCGGACTGCAAGTTGCCCCGGACCTCTTATAACAACTACCCATCTCCAGGTTAGACCAGAACCACTCAGGTTAGACCAGAACCGTACCCTATTCTTCGACTTCAGAGTTTGAGGATCACGCTGAAAGCGCTCAGAATGAACGCGCGACGGGTAACTCCACGCGGGAGTTAACGCAGCGGGAAAAACAAGTCACAACCATTCCACTCACCATGAGGGGCTCTCGGCCCATACCGCCACCGCCGCCTCCTCCACCGCCGCCGCCGCCACCTGGTCGCATCGAAGGATTGAGGAGGCTCCCGCCGCCTCCGCCGCCGCCACCTCCGCACCTGCCCAGCAGCCTCCCCCGGAGCGGCTGGCGGGAAGACGGGCCGAAGGGCAGGAGGGGTTCGGGCTCCCCTCGAGGCGGGAGGAGGGGAGCCAAGAGGCTGACGGGCTTCCCGGCCGGCCAATCCGGGCGGCCTCCCATGCGGCTGCTCTTGGGCGACTGCTCCGGGCCGGGAGCCCCCACGGGCCGCACTCCCTCGCCGGGGTTGAGCTGCATGAGGGGAGGCGGCTTGGGCAGGGAGAAAGGGAGCGGCTGAGGGGAGGCCGCGGCGGCCGCCGAGTCCCCGCCTGACATCGCCTCCCCTGGACCGGGCCCGGCTCCGGCGAGCCTGCCCTCCCGGCTGCGGGGTGTCTAAGCGGAACCGTTAGCGGAGGAGCGGACGGGAAGAGGAAGGAGGGGCGGGGGGCGGCGGCCGCCCTGCGGGGCAATGGGAGAAAAGGGGTTCCGTCGAAAGTCAGGCTCACCGACACGTAAGGAGGAGCGCCCTGCGCGCGCGGCTGGGCCGGAACAAAAAACTCACTCCAGGCCGGGTTGTGGGGAGAATTGAGGGCCGCCGCCGCCGCCTCCCGCTCTTCCTCCCCTCAGCGGGAGGCAAAAAGCAAAGCGGGGGGCGAAGGGGGAAAGAAAAAAGAAGCGCGCGTGGGGTCAGGGCTTATCCAACGGAAGGGCCTGAGGAGGATGGAAACTACAGAGTGGGAGCAGAGGGGGACGTGCGCGCAAAGGACACTGGGAAAATGGGCTCCCGCGAGCCGAGATCGGGGGCGTGGCTACGGAAAGCCAAGAGGTCCCTCGGCTGAACTGGAAGGGCGGGCGGAGGGCGCGAGACAGCGAAGGCGTTTGGCTTGCTTCCTCCCTCGGTCCCTTTAAGAGGCCCTGAGCAGTTTAATCCGTTAAGCGAGCTAGGCGGTGGGGTGGCAGGTGCGAGAGAGAGAGAGAGAGAGACACAGACAGACAGACAGACAGAAGAGGGCGGGGCTCCCGATGCGTTCTTCCGGCGTGGGCAATTTCTCGGTCCCACCCCTTTCGCGAGATAGATACGCTTCCGGTTTAGAGCCAGTCGCGTGGGGGGCGGGGAGGGGACCGCTTTGACTGGGCGACGCCGCGGCGGCCGTTTCGCGCGCGAGAACTTCGAAAGCGCCGTTGCCATGGCAGTGCGCTACCGGAACACCGCGGTCCATTACGGCCGCGCGGGGCCCCCCGGCACTCCGTGGCCGCCGGAGCGAGGGGAGGTAGCGCGGAACCTCCAGGCGGAGCTTGAGGAGGAGGAGGAAGGCGGCGGCAAAGGAGAGCTGCTGGGCGGCCTCGGGAGAAGCCCCGTGTCCCGGGCTACCCTGGCCCCGCTGCCGGACGGGGCGGCTCGCCGGTGGCCGAGCAGGGCCTTCTCCGTGCTGTGCTGCCTCCTGGCCGTGTCCTTGCTGGCTTTCCTGCTGGCCATCGCTTGCCTGGTACTGAGAGGTGAGGAAAGGGCGAGGAGAAGCGGCAGGAGACGCCTCAGTGCATGGGATACCGCTTGCTAGGCCTAGCGCCTTCCCAGCAGCCATAGAATCGTAGGGAAGGGACCGTGAGGGTAATCTAGCCCAACCCCAACCCTGCAATGCAGGAATTTCAAGGAAGGCATCCATAGTGATCCGTAAAGGTAAAGGGACCCCTGACCGTTAGGTCCAGTTGTGACCGACTGTGGGGTTGCGGTGCTCATCTCGCTTTATTGGCCGAGGGAGTCGGCGTACAGCTTCCGGATCATGTGGCCAGCATGACTAAGCTGCTTCTGGCGAACCAGAGCAGCGCACGGAAACGCCGTTTACCTTCCTGCTGGAGCGGTACCTATTTATCTACTTGCACTTTGACGTGCTTTTGAACTGCTAGGTTGGCGGGAGCAGGGACCGAGCAACGGGAGCTCACCCCGTCGCGGGGATTCAAACCTCCTACCTTCTGATCGGCAAGTCCTAGGCTCTGTGGTTTAAGCCACAGTGCCACCCGCATACTTCTGCTTAAAAACCTGTGGCACACTTTAACAGGCATTTGAATTCTAACTGATTTTTTTAATGCAATAAAATGATTGTCTAGTCGTGCGGCAGAAGAAAAAATGCTTGGGTGTGCCACTTGCTAGAGAACAATTTCTACCCAGAATTGCTTTGCCTTACAACTTTAATTGTTTGCTGTTTCTGCCAACAGATTTGCGATCTGAAAAAGGGAAGACCGATGAGAATATAGAAACAAGCATTTTAGGTAAGCTGCTCATGTCGCTTTATTTTGGAATAATGGCTGTTCATTTTAGGCTTTGTTTATTGGCTAATAGGGCTGGGCGATGTATCAGTATATTGTCCAAAATTGATTTGAACTGAAAGAGGGACACGACAGGGATGTCCCCTATCACCACTTTTATTTATAACAGTATTGGAAACATTAATAGCTTTAAGGAAAGATGAAGAAATAAAGGGCATAAACCTTGAAACATAGTGTTTTAAAGTAAAAGCATTTGCGGATGATGTATTTATAACAACTGAAACACCAATAGAAAATATTCAGTAAGCATTAATAAAAATGAAAGAATTTGGCGATGTATCAGGATTTGAATAAAGACAAGTCAAAATTATTAACAAAAAATATGGGGGAGAAAGATAGAAATGAGTTAAGAGAGAACAACAGGATTAAAAATAGAAAACAAGGTAAATTATTTAGGGGTATGGATTACAAATAAAAACACGGATTTATTTAATGACAATTACGTTAAAAATGGAAGGAAATTAAAGGGAATATAGAAAAATGGAACAAATTAAAATTATTAGAGGGGAGAGTATCAATGAGTAAAATGGTGATATTACAAAAAATCCTATTTTTATTTCAAACTATCCCAATAATAATTGGGACAAAGTATTTCATAAGCTGGCAAAGAGACCTTGACAATTTCATATGGCAGGGGAAGAAAGCCAGAATAAAATCAGAAATAATGATGGGATCAAAAGAAAGTTGGGGATTTGCAGTCCCAGACTTAAGAAGATATTTCGAAGCAGTGTGCTGGAACTGGTTGAAAAAGTGGATATTATTAAAAGATACTGAAGTTTTAAAGTTAGAAGGTTGGGACAAAATATATGGTTGGCACGGATATCTATTTTATGGGAAGGTACAACTACATAAAGGATTCATTTAGTAAGAAAGGCCCCATTTGAGGTATGGGAGAGAACGAAAGAGAGAATTACAGAAAAAAGCCCATGGTGGATCTCTCCACTAGAGGCAACCTCGACACTAAAAAATAATATAAAAACTATCTGGCCAACATATAGATAATTAGCAGAAGAAACAAATGGAAACACTAAATAAAAAAATTATGAAGAACTCAAAACAATGGGAATAAATTGGCTAGAATATTTCCAATTAAAGGCAACGTATGAGAAAGATATAAAAACTAGGGGATTTGAAAACAAAATTTCAAAATTTGAAAGAGAGGTACTACAAAGTAATCAAAAAACACTTTAAAAAATGTACAGATTGTTAGAAAAAGTACCTTCAGATCAAGAGGTACAAGGAGAGAACATGCTAAAGTGGGAACGGGACCTAGGCTATACAATCGATTTGGAAGACTGGAAAAAAATTATTGGGGGAAATATAAACTTTACAGTCTGCAATTCATTGAGGGAGAACTACATGAAGATCCACAACAGATGGTATTTGGCTCCAGATAGATTATGAATAGAGCGAACAGTAACAACTCAATGGATGATTACTTTACATAGATCAGACACAAAAATGCTAGTTTTGTTCTAACCATAATGAAAATTACAACATTCTGCACACATATAATGCAAACATGTTCCACTCAATATACTTAATTCTGAGTAAACATTCGTAGGGTTGTATTGTAATTGTCATTTTGCTAGTTTACTTTTATTCCGGATTTGATCTTTATTCTACAGTGGAGTTGATGCATCTCTCCTGTGGCCAAATTAAAATTGTATTCCAGGTTTTCACTTTGTTTCTCTTCCCTAAGGATTTTGGAGTCTACTTGTTCTATCCTTGATGAGTGGACTTTCATGTTGCAGTTTTTCTTGGACAGTGACCTATTTTGATTCCTTTGAACCGGGAATGTTTCCTCCTACTCCACTCTCACCTGCACGATTCAAGTGAGTTCCTTCTTCGTAAGACTGAAATACGACCAGATACGGGGCTTAGTAAACCACTATAATAGATATGTAAGGAACAGCTTGTTACTAAATATGCTGGTGCTGTTACAACTTCATATTCGAGGAAACAAATTTATGCCAACTAGTGTTGGACTAGTCACCGGGACAGAGTCCATGGTGACTAGCTAGAGTACAATACTTCTATGTTTTTAGTTGAGAAATGCAATATTACCATAAACTGTTATACGTGATAGGATGTAAAATAGGTTTAATTTGTTATGTTGTATGTTAAGGACAGTTTTGTTGCCTTGTATTCACAAAATACAAAGAATGTGTTCTTTCTTAGACTTCATATTAAGCAATTTTACAAGTTAGCCAGCAGGGTGTGTCCTATCATAAGTTTTCATATCTTATATAAAGTCCTTTTACCTTTACTTTAGTATTCCTGAAACAATTTCAAGTCAAGGTAAAAAATAATTAAATCCATGATCTACAATATATACAGTGAACTACCCCCCCCCCCAAATTACCAATATTTATTGCTTTCTGTATGTAGAATATTTTGAATATACTCCCATTTCTCTGTGTTTTTGCTGTTTGTGAGAGTTTTATTGAAGGGAATTGGTAATAATCTGCTATACTTTGGCTTCTTCAGGCTTTCTATTGTGGTAATGAAATAATTTTTCATTTTTGGAATAGGACAATGACTAGGATTAAAAAGTTTTAATTTTAGCTTCTGTAATGTTCTTGTTACCTACATACTGGTTTTCTGCTTTTTTTCAGGCGAATGACTGGGCACTCCTTTCACATGGGCTATAGTATGGCCATACTGAATGGAATAGTGGCAGCTCTTGCCCTAGTATGGTGTCTCCTTTAGTCTGTACTGAGAACTTTCTCATAGACAGACAGCTTTCTAGACGACGCTTGAAGCTGCCTTCACACAAACAAACCATCCATGTGTTCAGTATACTTGCCTCAATCTCTGTTTTAATATGCTTTCTCCAAAATGATGCCAAATGTTTTAGGAAGCAGCTGGAGGCATTTCTAAAACAAATCAACGGGTGGGGTGGAGACAGATTAATAAGGAAAGGAGGTGTACACAAAATGTCCGGCTGCATGAAATGATTGCAGCATTTTCAAAAGACTTCATGAGGCAACCACTTCATGAGAATTAGCTCAGGATTGTTGCTGATAAAATGCTCAAAATAGCCACTGGATTAATAATAATTGCCATTATTCTATTATACCATTCAGTGAACTTTCAGGTTTGGTTTTGACATGCTGCATACTTAGCAACAAAATTGGGGGGGGGGGGGGTTTGAATCACATCAGTTGTGCTCATTCGATTTCAGAGGATTTACACTAACTTAATTTCATTTGGGAGAAGGTACAGCAGCGAAAGGAGAGACCCTGCAATTTCACTCAATTTCCACTATGGGACTTACTTTGTTCCTAGACTTAAAAGGACAGGGTTTGTAGATTGGAAAAAAAAAGGTTTACATACAGAACATAAATTCAGTGCAAATAAACTTGCTAACCACCTTAATTCTTATCTCTTGGGCAGAGCCCTACCGGGGGGGGGGGGGGTGTTAGCAAGTTTTTTTGCCCTGGGTGAAACCTCTAGCGGGGCATAGTTGAGTCCCCCAGCCTTTGTGTATGCATATGCAAGTGCACGTGTGAGTGCCAAACTCTACCCTTTTACCCAGGTGAAATAAAGCCTAGTTTTGCCCTGCTGTGGGGTCACTGAAGGGCTAGGACAGCTATATGTGTGTCAAAGACCTAGAAGACAAAATCACATAGCTTCTTTCTTGCAGGCTGATCCCTAATTTACAAGTCTCAACTCTCAGCTTCGCTCGCTCCCTCATGCCGCTAAGAAAGAGGGGCTTCCCATTTGACAGGCATCAGTTCAGGACCAGCTGTCAAGCTGTAACAATGTTACATAATACTTTTATTAGGAGTGCTGGGGGGGGGTTTCAATTAGAAGTATGTGTAGATTGTGCCACTTGATAGCTAAGAAAGCACTGCTTTAATTTTCACTACCTCCAAGTGTTGGGTCAAAATTCTGACTACACCAATATTGTATTAATGCGGCTGTAATGTGTTTTGTCCCTGTTCTCAGTTTAGTTTCTTTCTGTTCTCAGTGAGACTGGCTGCAAAAGTGTGTAGTGCTAAAATAAACTATGGCTTAGTGTTATGTGTATTAACCTTGGATTCATGGGCTCCTTTCTGTTGTCCACCTGTTGTAGCCACAAGGAGAAGATCAGAAACTTCTGCTTCTGTTTCAACTAACAATTATTTATTGGCCTGGTTCTGATAATCTTAGATAGATACAGTGGTGCCCCGCAAGACGAATGCCTCGCAAGACGAAAAACTCGCTAGACGAAAGGGTTTAGCGATTTTTGAGTCGTTCCGCAAGACGAATTTCCCTATGGGCTTGCTTCACAAGATGAAGCGTCTTGCGAGTTCTTGCGAGTTTGTTTCCTTTTTCTTAAAGCCGCTAAGCCGTTAATAGCCGCTAATAGCCATGCTTCGCAAGACGAAAAAACCGCAAGACGAAGAGACTCGCGGAACGGATTAATTTCGTCTTGCGAGGCACCACTGTAAAACTTTATTCGCATCAGCTGATGGCCATAGCAAAGGTTCTGATAATCGTATATTGACTTAAATAAGTTCAGTATGAATAAGGCTTGTGAGCATGCACATAACCCCTTCGTAACAGGTGTGAAAACCCCAGGAACTCCTCAGTTTACTTTTATTTCTCATTTCATCCAAATTGGGAAACAGCTTAGGAACAAGACAGAATATGAAACCGACATCAAACTGGATTCCTGCCTTGTTCCATTAACCATAGTTTTCTGATTAGGTTGAAATTCACTGGCTCAAAGGGAAGATTTATTGTCCCTATACATCTACTGTGTTTGAACTTAGAGAAACTTTTGTTGGACTTCAAACCCTGGTTTACAGTTCTTACTTGTTTCCAGAAATCATAGTTAAGATTAACCACAGTTTGAAGGGTCAGATGTGACAAACCATAGTTAATGGAAAGCAGAAGTGAAAGTTTCACATCTTCTCACAGCGACAGCAGGGGAAGTACTGAGGCCAGAGGCTCTTGCATGTAAAACTGAACCATATTTTAACACTGTCCAAACAGAACTGTATATTTTGCTTGTTACACTTTTAAAACAGCAGGGCTGTTCTCTTATAGCTTACTATCAGTGCTTTTTCTGGGGGTACTCAGGGGACGCAGTACCGGCACCTTTCTTTTTCTCCAAGTGTTAAAAGTGTGGCACTTCCTGTAACAACCTCATGGTGAGTACCGGCACCTTTTTTTCCTTAAAAAAAGAAGAAGCACTGATTACAATATGTATAGTATTAAAATGAGTACTAGGGTAACAAATTAAAATATTCTAATTATAATGAAAACCTGATAAAGTATGCAAATAGGCAAATAATTAATTGACTAGATTTTTTAATGTATGGCTTTGAACCAAAGAATACACATCCTGCTATTTTCCCTCTGTAGAACTTTGTTGTCTTTTCCATGCATTTCTGAGATTGGGGGTCCTTTTGAATGGAGTGTGCTGCACCATCAGAAGGCTGCATTTGGGAAGGGAGAGTGGGCAGGCAACATACGCATTCATTCAGATCATTTGGGGTGGGATTGTAGCTGATGCTGTGCCTGCAGGGTTGCATGGGTGCAACGGGACTTGCCTATCCTAGCCTGCTGTGCATCCCCCAAATCTTCTCTGGAGAGCTTCCCATCCTTCTAGATGTGGTTTTGAGGGTTATGGGGAGGGGGCTGAAGCTCCTTGTGCCAAAGGACCTGCAGTGTCGGATACAGCCCTTTGGGTCCAAGGCAAAGTATAATATAAACACATGTTCCTTTTAAATATAGAATATAATAATTGACTTTTTTAACTGGAAATGGATATTTGTACCGAACTCATTTTGTCCATGCAGTATTTTTTTGCGTCACAAAACCCCCCATTGTTTTTGTAAATTGTTTACTGCAAATAAACTAATCTTGTTTACTATTAGTGGTGTTTGGTCATTTATTCTGCTTTTGGTGATGTTAGATCATTTATCTTTTATTCTGTTACTAAATTTTGTTACCAGTCACATCATGCCTTGCCCCTCTTGAATATTATTGCTCACCTTAATATGTACATGTAGTTCTAAGTACTAGCTAGTAGAAACACCTATGTGTGATAGCTGTTGTGCAGCAGTCCTTCCCTTGTCCTTCTCTGAACTGTCCTTCACCAATAGAAGGGACCCCACTTACCAATAAAAGCATGCAAAACTGCACACACGGGGAACTGCAAAGTTACATTGGTATATGTATAGGGCAGGGACTGCTAACCTTTTGGGCCTGTGGATGTGTCTACAAAGCAGAGAAACTTGTGGGCATCATGCACACACCACAACCTAGTCTATTGGCTACAATAGAATGCTTCTTTCAAAACTTATTTCAGCCACAGGACCAACCCTGGTATTGGACCTCTTCTCGCAGTTGCCCAGCTTGGGGAATGGAGGGAGCTAGCCTGTGTAATACCACAAACCCTTGTGCTTTTAACACACAAGGGGGTTCATTCAAACCCCACTACTGCTAATGACTTTCTGGCTACTAACCACACAGCTTTTTTATTGAATGCCTGCCGACTCCCCAGTTAAGCAGTTTGTTCAAATGGATTATAGGAAAAAAACGGGGAGGAATTGGCAGTATGCAGCTCAAAATAGATCTAAATCAATGTACTATTGGTATAACTTGCACTATACTTAATCCAAGCTCACACTGCAAACTTAATCTCAACGGTTAGGCAATGGCAGCTTCAGGCAACAGTTGCAGGCTGCCCTCAGCCCCACCCCTTTTAACCTGGTGAAGAAATTATTTTATTAATAAAATAAAGATAAAGAGCATAAAGACATATTGTTACAGTAGGGTGAAAACAGCATAAGATTGGGCATTATCATTGAACATCTAGATGTTCTAAAACATTACAAAAATATTTCTCTCCCCACCCTATAAACCTTATAGGCTGGTTTAGATGTATTCTTTTGTAATAAGTTGGCTTGATCATTGTTACTATGGACCAAAAACCACAGCTTTTTAGAAAAGGATTCTTGGCCCATTAAATAGGTTAAACTGACAGATGGTGGCTGAGTTGCATGGTTGAGGTTGGATTTAAACCTGCATCTTCTGGGTCCTAGTTGGACAAAAATGTACCACATTGGTTATTCATCACTCAAGTCTCCCAAAGTAATCACTAAAACTGGTAGCCATTTCATATTGACTGCTGAAATGTTTCCAGGTTCCCTAAGTATTTAAACCAGATTGCTCCGTCCCTTTGGGTTGCAACAAGACCCAAGTGCAGCCAGAATATATGGGAGGTTGTGGAAGAGGGCTTAGCACTACAGTGGTACCTCGGGTTAAGTACTTAATTCGTTCTGGAGGTCCGTTCTTAACCTGAAGCTGTTCTTAACCTGAAGCACCACTTTAGCTAATGGGGCCTCCCACTGCTGCTGCGCCGCCGCCACCCGATTTCTGTTCTCATCCTGAAGCAAAGTTCTTAACCCGAGGCAATATTTCTGGGTTAGCGGAGTCTGTAACCTGAAACGTATGTAACCTGAAGTGTATGTAACCTGAGGTACCACTGTACTGGTATTACCTGGCATTTCTCATTTGCTTCTGCCAATGCCTCCAAGCAGGGAGGTATTGCTGTGTGGACCACCTAGCTGGGTGAAGAAAAGTTTATACTTGTCTTCTGGTTATCTGTGAGGAGAAAAAAATGGGATGTTTGCTTTCATCCAACCTGAGGTCTGTGTCAAAAATCAAGTCTCAAATCCACAGCAGCAATTTTGTCATGTTAAAAAATCAGGCATCTCATTCTTGTGATAGCTCTTTGTAGTCTGCTTTTAGGCAAGCTGTTGCATTTCCAGATAAAGCTCTGTGCTCAAGGGCATGTTAAACCTGTTTCTCTCACCCCAGCCCACCCACTGCATTAAGGCCCCTTTGAACAGAGGGGAGTTTAAAAGCTGTTTGTGGTCTGACAATGCAGTTTGCTGCTCAGGAAGCAGCACAAGCCCTTTAGCAAGCATAAAGTAGGGCCTCAGATTCTGGTTTAAGATAATTGCTAAAGATACATTTTTAAAAATCATATTTGCGAAATACATTTTCTTGAGAATGAAAGCAAAACGTTTTACTGGACTGATTTACATATGAAATTAGATTCTCTACTGCTGATTTATTCACTCTTCCCTCTAATTCTGTGCCTAGCAGTACCCAATTTGTGCCGAGAGTGCTTTTTATTTCTTTATAATTATGAGGAATCATAAGGAGTGAAGCCTTTTTCTATTATGGTGAAAAATTCCTAAAGGTACAAATGGCATAATTGCATTTAAAAACTATTCCCGTGCTCCAATCCTTTTATCAACTTTTTGTCGATGAGTTATAATTTGCTTCAGTAGCATAGCCTGTAGTAGCATAAACTCATCTCTAATCCAAATGTTTATCTTTGCTGGACCAGGAGGCAGAATATCAGCATTCCTCCTCCTGTTGAATAGCCATTGGAGAGCCATATCTGCACACTCACCTAATGAGTTTCAGGTGCGATATGTAGTTGACATAAGTTTGAGGGAAGAGGATGTGACATTTCAGCTACCGTATATTCTGTATCCCAGAATTGGAGCTGAGTGCAGTGGGTGAGCTATCAAGCTAGTAGGAAGCTCATTTGTGAAGGCTATTTGCAGATTAGTTGCACTGCAGAAGGCATGCTGGGGAGACCACATTACAAGGAATGCAAAAATAACTTTTGCTAGGTTTTAATAACAAAAACAAAAACTCTTTTTACATTAATTATAATATATCAATAAGCATGACCCATCCACCAACCCAACCACCAGGGTACTGAGAGAGCTACATGCTGCTCTTTATATACCATACCCAACAGCTTAATTACCACAACTTAACAGCACCTGCTATACTGCTTCACAGCTGTAAAACTGGCCGTTAAAGCTCTGACCCTTAAAAAAATACACATCTTGTGGAACAATAATGAACCTTCAAATTTAAAGAGACCATTCAACAATTTGTGGCTGGCAAACTGAAGAGTTTCTCATGACCTTGAGAGGCTTGCTTTGAAAGGTATGATATAGTGGTTAAGTGTAAGTGTTGGACCAGGAAGGCCTAGGTTTTAATCCTTGCTCGTCTATGAAGTCAATTAGGCAACCTTTGAAAGAGATTGGGTGGTTGGGAAGATAAATGGCAGAGGGAGAATTATGCATACTCTGTGTGCTCCCAGATGAAGACTCAGTTGAGAGTTGTATGGTGTTGTACACAGCCTTAGCCTAACAGTAACCCCTTTCCACTGCAGGAACTCTGCTGCTACGGCATCCTGGAGAAGGACCGGACTCTGCTTGAAGACTTTTAATGCAGAGTTCTCCAACTTCTGGAAAAGTCCATAGCTAAAGAGCTCATAACAGTAGACATGCTTACTAATATTGGAGTGGGATATAAACGTTAATTAAAAAATTAAAAGCTTATGAATTCTTTCTGTGTGTGTTGCATGGGTGAATGAGCAGCCGACGTTGCATCTGAATTTGTGCTCCAGAAATTATTTTCCCTAATCTGATTTAGATAGAGATACGAAATGCCTCAGTTGCTTCTTTCTCTACTGTGTTTTTAAAATGTGAGGTGGATATCTTCCAAATGTCAGTTATAACCTGCCTTCCTCCAGCATTTTTCACGTCTTTCAAACAAAGGTAAATGAGAGCGATGTTTTAAACAGATTGTGCTGGATGAGAATTATATATTTTATGTAGGCATTGTTGGGGTTACCCCCCCCGCCCACCAGAAATGAATTAGGTCAGACTGTGATAGTGAATGAATGAATGTGCCACTAGCGTTAGAGTGTGACAGATTAAACTGAAGCAGCAGCAGGGGTGAGCCTGAAAGTTGGACAATTGCAGGTGACTGAGGCATTAAAGCTATCAAATGGCTGGATGCAATCATTTTATCTGCTCTGAGCAGATAAGCAGCAAAAATCCAATGCAAATCATTTCAACTTGAGTGGGAAATGGCAAAGCAAGGCATTGTCTAGCCGGCCTAGCAAGCAGTGCATTGGGCCCAAAGCTGAAGTGCTATCTATCTGAGTTAACCGGTTAGGAGAAGGATACTTGGTCTATTGTAGGGGTTGGTGAGAGTTACAGGATGGTCTAAGAGTTGACTTTATTGGTGTTCTTTACCTCCTGTAAGCTTGCTGAAGTCTGTGGTGCAATTGCTTTATGCTTACCTATACAGTGGTACCTCAGGTTAAGAACTTAATTCGTTCTGGAGGTCCGTTCTTAACCTGAAACTGTTCTTAACCTGAGGTATCACTTTAGCTAATGGGGCCCCCCTCTGCCAGCACACAATTTCTGTTCTCATCCTGAAGCAAAGTTCTTAACCCGAGGTGCTATTTCTAGGTTAGCCGAGTCTGTAACCTGAAGCATCTGTAACCTGAAGCGTCTGTAACCCGAGGTACCACTGTATCTCCTTTGTGCTTGGGAACAGGTTTTGTTCTGATAATAACATGCCATATTACTTACATTTTCCCGAAATGGCTATTTGTCTACATAGGCTGCATATACACCAAATCCTTAAAGCACATTAAAAGCACATACACACCACCCATGAATCATGTGAACTTTTCCATGGAGAGCTCATAAATAAATTCGCTTACAGGTCAGTGGAGTGTGCTGCAAAGCAGTGCCAGTGATATTCTAGTCATCCATTATCTTAATTTCTGAACTGTCCCATTCACATAACACTCTATGCCCAGAAAATCCTGTTGTCTCCCTATAGTCCAAAGGATACCCTTGCTACAAAGAAACAGGAGGGCAGATTTGGGATAAAGCACTAATGGCAACCCAATAAGAGCTGGGCTGTATCAGACCCAGGACTCATCTATGATTCCAGTTGGGAAGCTAATCTAAGGTACCTCTGACAATGGTGTTTCCAGCTGACATACTAGATGGGTGTTGTTGTTTTCTTTAATAGCA